GCAGTCATGTACCAGTAAAGATTAACTCAAGTTCTGTCCTTTGACATCCGCACTGTGCCTAGTAAAGAGGCTTTCTACTATTCAAGAATGAATAGTAAAAGGTGTTTTTACAACCTACAGTTAAATTTCACAACAAAACAGGAAAAAATTCCACAATTTCAGTCATTAGCTAAGAACAGCCTTCATAAAACTGAAACAAACATATAATGCCAGAGAAAATCTACATCACAAAACTAAAAACAAACAGAATTCACTTTGCTAACAACAAGAAGAAAAGAAAACCCAATGATTTCATTCCCATGGAAACAGTGAAGTTGATTTTTAGAGTGAAAGATTTTAAAGTACTTGATAGTCAAAAAAATTATGTTTTTACAGGATAGAAAAATATGAAGATATGACTTGATGAATTGCAACCATGTTCCTACTACACTGTGGTTGACAATTTATTATAGTAAACCGAAAACTGGCCCTCAGCATTTTTGTAAGGGCAAGCAAGTTTTGTTTCCCAATAGAATGGGCAAATAGACAATCAAATAGACCAATAAATATATAGTTGTGATCTGCAACATAATGTACACCTTGTTTGTAATGGAATGATGTCTTGTGTGGTACACACTCTTTTGCAACTGCCTTACATAGTGTTGCAGCCACAAGATGTTGTTGGTAATTTCACTTACATCTGTTTTGGCAATAATATTGATTACAAAAGCACATGTAGAAAAGAGTTGCATTTTAAACCAAAAGGGTTATTCTGAAAAAAAGCATCCAAACATACAAGTTTCATTAAAAGAGAGCATTTTTCCAGGTTAACTCATGTGATATTATACACCTGTAGTTGAGTAGAGAAGATATCTTTCAAATTAATGATAACAGCTAAATGCATGCCTCCTCAATCTTGGGGTGTGCAATTGAAACAAAACCATATAAATTGCTAAATAACAACAAAAAAAGTGCATGATTTTCAAGCCAAACATATGACATTTTCCTAATATTATTATTTAATTCAACATAGATTAGAAGAAGAAAAAACTAAAAACCAAAATTATATATTTGATTCAAAGGGATCAAACACTATCATGTGGAATGTTAAGTGTAAGTTCCCTTCAAAGGTATTGTTTCAGTGTCAACTCAATTTGAAACAAACTGCAAAGGTTGGAAGACCTTTAGAAATAACAGTATTTATGGTGACCGGTTGGTTTAACTATTTTAAAATTATTTGTAACAACATATCAATAATATATATCTTTAAAAATACTTAGAGTGGGTAGTTATGGACTGTAGAGTGCTAGGGTTTTTACTTTTTATGTAATTTATGAGTGATTTTTTAGACAAGTATTCAACTGAGGGTTGATTTTTATATTTGTAGGGGTAAGTTTTTGTTGTTGTTTTTGTTGTTTTTAAGGATCAGTGGCATGTACTCAGATACCAACTTACAAAAAAAAACTTTTGTTTTGATTTGTTACCTATTTCACAAGAAGAAAACAGGCTTACTATTTTAAAGCGACAAAATTTTACTAGTTCTTCAACAAGATGAGCATAATGCCATTTTCTATCCAGCTAACAATAGCTTCAGAGTACACATTTCTATTGCTGTTATAGCTATTTTCTAAGAGTAAGATGTAAGTGTCTATTTTGTGTCAATAATCATTGTTATAAAATGTATTGTTATCATTGTTTAGCAGGAGTTGATTCTGCATAATAGAAAGCCCAGTCCTTTTTAAATTCACATGAGTGTTTAGTGCAGCAAATTTGTTAGAACTCATTTGTACACTCAACTCATTTTAGAGTTGGTTAAAATACAGACAAAAAAGGAAAATAAACAACTTGTTTTAGAGTTGAAAAATGCCCATGGATGATTTCTGGCTTTGCAATACACAGCAGGGAGGCAGGGGCTTACAAATATTGTATTCACCATAATACACCTTGTTTGCCCCTCAGAACTTTGCATAAGCACTGTCTTTCATTTCTCTTGGGAGCGCTGTAACACCCAGGAAAAAAACAAAGGTTACGCAAAGTTTCAGGGGGCAAACAAGAGGTGCTATGGGAGATAAGCTGGAGCAAATGGCGAATGAATACTTACTATAGTGGGAATCTTCAGCCATCCAATCATACAGGGTCAGTAACTTTTTTAACAATTTTTATGAGCAAACAGTTGAAGAGTCATTTGCAGTGGAGAAGAGTACTAAAAGCTCAGAGTACTTGGAGAATAAACTTGGAGAGCGGTCGCGCGGTTAGTCGCGCGGTCGCAAAGCTCCCTGTGGCGGCCTGACTTGTCCCAGGCCTCTGGAACGATGGCGGCCCTTGGCGGCCCTCTCTTCGGTTGCCAGTCCGCACGTTCTGTCTATGAATACCTCTTGGCGCAAAACAGATCGTTAATACTTTAGATGACGTCATGCCATTTTCTTGATTATTTCATTTTTTAGCACAATTAGAATATGTGACGCAAGCATTTTATCCACAAGTGACTTGCGCTTCTTGGAGAGCGCGTTATAATGGATGATTTGAGTTTCTGGTAATTTCCTGAACCTTTGCACTAAAAGGTATGTTTTTTTTGTGTCATGTCTTGGATCAGAATTTCCCTTAGATTTAAATTTATTATTTCTCAATTAGTAGCTTTTGGTAGAATTTGCGTTTCAGTTATAGCGGGAATATGTTTTTTTTTTATCACATTGTGACGTAGTTACAACATAATGAGTTTGAAAAGTTAATTGCTGTTCGAATGCAAAGTTTTGATCGATTATATTTGCTAGGCATGTCTTCTGTTTCGAGTTGTCCTATGCCTTTCACTACCTGTTTCATTTTACTTGTTTTAACGTCGCCTCCTGTATTACCTACTACGCGTTCCCATCTGTTACGTTTTCTTTTGTTTACTCAATTAGTTTATATTTATCCCAGTGTCATCAGGTTCATGTCTTCCCTCTTTTATATTCTAAAATTTCCAGGACAAAACCTCGAAAATTTGATTTCATCCACTAAGTTGATCAAGTCAGTTTGCCATTAGCCTACGTAGCAGGCGCCGGCTTTATTTAGGGTGAAGGGAGAAATATCGAGGACATGTGCGCTCTATTAAAAAAAACAACAACAACAAAAAAAATTACAAAAAAACCTTACCGTCGCTTGCCACGCAGACTAGTTTGCCACCGTAAACATTGACGATGGAAAGGAAGAGGATTTAGGCGCTAGCCTCTCTTATCTCCCTTTTTACTTTTAGGGTTAACGCTCAAACTGTCGGCTTTTTAATCTTTTCACAGTGGTAATTGACTTAATCAATTCAGTTGATAAGACAAACTATTTGCGATTCACCTCCACACCCACGCAACACAACAGTTTCATTAGAAAATAAAAACGGTATCAATTCTCTCCTGACAATATCAAAGCATCCTCAAGAAAAAAGGTTATGAGAATTACCTAAGGTAAAATGTTTCGATCTGTTATCGAATTCTCTCAACTAATTCTTTAAGGAAATCAGTCTATGGAGAATTTGTATGCGGAGACTGGAGAGTGGGGCTTAAAGAGTTAAAGCCCGCTGGTTCCAGTAGTCGTAATGGACAATGATGATGATGATGGCAGGGTGACAATGACGATGATGATGAAGTTGATGATGATGATGATGATATTTATGATATGATATCAAGAGTTTTTCGTTGGATTGTCTTTGCCTGTTACGAATAACTTATAAGTGATAAGTCGTTTGCCAAAATTTATCGACAGATTCATTGGTTTACTTTTCCTTGCAGGATGAAACCGCCTTCCTGAGCAATAAATGAATCATTTAAAGCTTCAGATGAGCGGCTTTCATCTTGGACTTTCACAGTTCGACTCATCGAGCTTTCGCTTGCTTGGTTTACACTACTCGTGAGCAGCTACTCCCAAGGGAATGCCAGAGAACAATAAGAGGAACAAAGAGAAGACGTTCCTTATACAAGAGAATGTGTGCGCTTGCGCCGGTACGAACACGGAATATCAGCTGCCACTATTCAAATCCGACACATCATCCGCAGATGGGGTCAGTTTAGGAGCTATGGCAAAAGCTACGTCAAACGATGTAGGGAAGGATGTTTCAAGTAGTGAACTACTGGTTAATTCCTCTAATACACAGCAGACTGCGAAAAATGAAAATAACATAACGCGTGATTGGTCAGATCTACATAAAAAGGACCCCTGCTTTGGTCAGAAAATTTCTAACGTACAGATTAGGGAAGGTGAGGATTCAGATCTTGATATCGTGTGTGTAAGCAAAACGACCTTACATGGAGGCGAGGAAAGGTGGAAAAATATAAACTGTAAAAATTTTGAGGAAGGACCAAAAGCTGAAAAAAATTCCGGAATGGACGTTAACACTGAAACCTGTTTTAAGCGTGATTCCTCAAAGCAAAACGTTTTCCTTGAGTTTGAAAATCAGAAGATGGTGATTACAGAACAACAGGTTACACAGATTGAAACTCTAAAACTGACAAACACGGCGTTGAATTTAGACAATGAACTTAATACAGAGGAGGAGGAGGAGAATTCTTCTTGTTGTATAAATACACAAGCTCTTTTAGAACTAACAAAGTCGGGTATATCGAACACGGAAAAATACGGTATAAATTCAGCATCAGATGCAGCTTGCGCAAGGAACGATTCATTTCTCAAAGCGAGGACTACTTCAATCAATACGCCAAGAACTGTGGAGGACAATTGCGAGATAAATCCCACATTGTTTGACGTACCTTTGATGTTTCCAAGACAACCAAACGTCGGGATTTCGCTGCAAAAAGAACCGCCAGGGGAGAAAGAAAATAAGAACGAACACTGTTTAGCTGACGTCACAAGCTACTCTACAGAGATCGGAAAAACAAGTTTAAATGACAAGTGGAAAGGAAAGCCATCAAATAGCAGCGTGGCTGCCACCAGCAATCAACAGTTTCACATTGTTGCTAAAACGCATCCCGACGGAGGATGGGGCTGGGTCGTTTGTCTTGGTGCATTTCTTGCTCAATTTATTGTGCTCGGAATGCAAAACACGGCGGGTATTGTCTACACGGAGCTTGTAAAGGAGTTGAAGTCTCCAAGAGGAGCTACAGGTGAGCCTTACACCCCGCAACCTCGTTCCCAAGGTCAACTCCTACCCGAGAAGGCCGGGGAGGACCCTGTGAACGAGCTGTGGTGTCTCGCTAGTGAAATGTCCTCAAATTATTGTGAGGAAAAAAATAACCTGTGGTGAAAAGACCATATCCCACATCTCACAAAGCGTTGCCCGGGTTCAGATCAGACGAAGGAGTTCGTTGTCAGTTCTCTTCTCTGCTCTGAGAGTTTTTTCCTACGCACTTCGTTTCTCCCCTCTCCTAAAAAAAAAGCATTTTGAAATCCCCATTCGATCCGGAATGGTAGACGAAGACCCCATACATGAATATGCTACCTGTAAATCAATATTTATAATTATTTATTTATTTATTTGATGTTCCTCCTTTCTTATCGACAGCATGGGTCGGGTCCCTAGCGACTGGTATCATGTTCTTTCTGGGCCCTTTGACCACCTCCCTTTGTGAAAGATGTGGCTGCAGAATTGTTATCATCTGCGGAGTTCTCATTTGCATCGCAGGACTGCTACTCTCTTCAATAGTTACCACTCTTTTTCCTTTTTATTTCACCTATGGCCTGATGTTTGGGACTGGGACAAGCCTCTGCTACTTTCCCACCATTATAGTTCTCTCCAAATACTTTAAAAGGCGCATAGCAGTCGTGAACGGCCTGGTAACGGCCGGAAGTGGAGTTGGGACATTGGTAATGGGACCCAGTGTGCAGGCGTTATTTCTTCGTTTTGGCGTGGCGTACACGTTTCGCATTGTGGCAGGAATGTTCATTCTGGTGTTATTATGCGGAGCAACGTTTCGCCCGGTTCCAACCAAGTACTCGCAGCACCACGACAGTCCTAAGGGGAGAGGGGCAAGCAGGATATTTGAATGGAGCATTTTCAAGAATAAAGGATATGTTATTTGGGTGATATCTTTAGCAACATTTCAGCTTGGATACTTTGTACCTTTCGTACACCTGGTAAGAGGATTATGAGTTATGTTTAAGTAACGGGTAGCTAAAACAACGCAATAAAAGAAGAGAAAGGGCTAATTATCCTAGCCGGGGAACGCGGGACTCTATCCGTGCGGGAAAACACTTCAGAAACGTTTCCTAAGCGAAGAAAATGAAATCTGAAGAAGCGCGTCAGGGAGCGGTAAGCTGCGGAAGGATCTCAGTGGCTTGATCCGTTTTCAGATTGGAGTGAAAATTTGTGCGGCGGGACTAAATTATACTTTTGATTTTTAGGTCAGACACGCTGAAGACCTCGGTGTCTCCCCGACAGATGCTTCGTTTCTGATCGGATACTTGTCCGTGGCGTCGACAGCGGGCCGCCTATTTTTCGGCAAAATGGCCGATCTTTCATGCGTCAACAGAATCCGTATGTATCAGTTGGGGGTCTTCGTGATCGGAATATGCTCTTTCCTTGTTCCCTTGGCAACAGGTTATGTAGGACTGACGGCTTATGCTGTTACCTTCGGCTTCTTTGAAGCATGCTATGTGCTCTTAATTCCGCTGGTCACAAGTGACATCGTTGGCCCACACAAGATGTCCTATGCTCTTGGAAGTGCATTCACAGTGATGGCTTTCCCGATGTTTTTAGGACCTCCTATTGCAGGTTTGTACACTTTCTCGTATAAGTAAAAAAGCTTTTTGGCAGCTGTTTCATGCATGGGAACAACTGGGACTTCAAAAAAAATAGCCACTCGAGGGAGTGCAAGTTCATGTATTAACACCAAACTTGAGAAAAACAGCCGACATTTTCGCGACGCCGCCATTGGTTTCCTCGCGAAATGACATCTGAGAAACGAGCGCAGAAGAAATTCCATACTGATGACGTGTTGCTACCCAGATATGGGGTTGTGCTTCTGTTCTATCGTGCCGCGAGCGAAATTTGCTTCAACCAATCAGAAGCACTAGTCACTTAAATCTGGGTAGTGACACGTCATCACTATGGAATTTCTGCATGGCCAGTCGTTTTACAGAGGCCATTTCGCGGGAAACCGGTGGTAGCGTCGGGGAAATGTCAGCTGTTTTCTCGGCTAGGCTACACTCTGCGAACAGAACCTTTCTTTAACCTTGAAAATAGCACCAAAACAGAAGACTTTTCTCTACTACTTAACTCTAACTTTTTTACTTATTCATTTTTAGTAAATTATCTCGAATGAGCACCCCTTCGTGAAGCAATAAAAAACTAACAAAGACGCCCTGGTGGCTAATTAATTCCAGCTCTTTTGGAATGATTTCTTTCCAGGATGGATGTACGATGTGTTTGGAGATTACGCTGGAGCATTCTACGCTTGTGGTGGTATATCACTAATTGCAGCATTCCTCATGTTTTTTGTCCCTCGAGTATCCACAAAAAGAAAGGAAGACAGCGACCTTAAGCTTAGAAAGCTTTTAAAGAGGGGACAAGATAGCAAAAGTCACTGGGAATTCTTAAGGATTTTGTTTGGCTGTCTGTGGAAAAAAGATCTACCTGAATCAAAGACATTAAGCAACGTGCAATACAGTGTTATTATAACAACAGAAGGGAAAGAAAACGTTTGAAATGGCTAGTGCGAGTTAAAGCATTTTTTTAGTTTTCCATAACTGTATGGCAAATGAACTAGGCCTGGGGGACTGCTCTCAGTAAGGTTGCTAATCAAATTATTGCCTCGCCACTTAGTAAGTCAGGTCCAGAACGTCTTAGGTCTCAAAGAGAAAGACATTTAATAGAGGGCTTTTCTGTTGACGATAACTGCGGTGTTTTGTCATATATCTGAACTGCTACGGTAAAACCCAAGTAACATCACGAATATCGTATGTTTCTCCTAACTATCCCCTCCCTCTAATAAACCTCAAGTCTATTGCGCGGCCAATAATTATAAAAGCCTCCAGCCTCCATCAAGACAACACCCAAATGGGTCATTTGAATAATAAGCTAGGCAGATACGATGATTCAATAAAGAAATAAATATCTCTCTTATGGGGCAGAGTTGGTAGCTACATACGAATAGATTCAGACGGTCTTTTACTCCCTCAAAAATTTCTTATTTGTATTCACATTTGTTTGAAATTGCCGCACTTTGTAATCACTGTGTGAATATAAAACCTGAAAATTTATTCAAAGCGTGAACAGCTAGGTCCAAAAAGGGGCCACATACGGGCCAGGGGCCCGTTTCTCGAAAGGTCAGGAAACTTTTCAGACCAGAAGGCAAATTTTAAAATCAAAACCAGTTGAATGGTATCACAGTTCCTAGCTTACAAACCAATCAATTTTACTGCGTTAACTGATAGTAGCCTGCATTGCAGGCGTTTTCTTTGAGCGCGCATTATGCTCGCGAAAGCGCCATGTTGAAACTCCCGAGGAGAGGAGGGGATGGGGCGAATCAAAGGGAGCGGGGAGGGGGCGGGGAGAGAGAAGAGAAAACAGGCAGCATTTTGGGATGAGGTAAAAGTGGTGTAGGTTTTAGTACTGCGAGCAAATCTTGTCCTGATGACCAGTGTGGAAATCGCTTTGACTTTCTCATTGCGTAATACACGCGAGATTCCCAGCCGCACCAATTCCAAAAGATTGACGGAAACGTAATAAACAATATAGACTTACAGTTAATTGACAGGCATCAATCTACTTCCCTATGCCGCACCAATCAAGAGCTCCGTTTGCCAGCGTACGGAGTTTCCCAAAGAACAATGATATCGGGCAGGTGTGTTTTTTTTTCTCCCCTCCCCCTCCCCCCTTTCCTTCTTTCGCCCTCGCACCTACCATAAGGGTTACTATTTCTACTCTCCCTAATCTTCCACTGTCATAAAATCAAAGATGAAAACTACAACAATATTACGAACACGAACAAGGTTTCGCCCATCCAAAATACGCCTGCACTGCAGGCTAAACTGATAGTTTCATTGTATCATTTTCAGAAATATTGAAACTTTGATCTTGAATGCAAACACGGCCAACCGGTCAAACAGCTTTCCGGGCCCGAAAATCTATCGGGACTTTCGAGAAAAGGGCCCCCATATTACCCTGGAAACAAACAAGTAATATTGTGTCCTTCCCATGACGCATTGCCGAGTTGATTCCGGGTGGCGGTTTCGGGGGGAAGTTCGAAGGAGTCCGGACTCCACTACCCTAAATATATTTACCTGACCCAGGATTGCTTTGAAACTAAAATATAGAGAAGCGTCCCATACGACTTTCATCTCGTGGCTTAGAAATGAAACTTGTTTTTCACGCTGCCTTTCAACCTTTGGGCTTATTCAGATTGACAAAATCTATATGACGTTATTTCACCGCTTATTCAAAACTATGTCAAATGCCGCATGCACTGGGCGGTCGTGACAGCGAGGGTCTACTATGAAGAACGGGTGGTAACGGCGCGGAAAAGTTAACAAAAATAAGTTAACAAAAAGTCCTGGATCCCGCCCAACTGAGTGGTGAATAAAAACCTGAAGGCCTGTTTACAAAATTTATGGGAAGTGGCGGCAAAAAACAAATGAACAAAGAAAAAAGATTCAGCTCCTTTAGTGGCATACAAATTCAAGATACGTAGTTCCTTTGACGTAATTCGTCTTAAACTTAAGGCTTCATATCGCCTCACCAGCCAATGAAAAAAGTTTTCAGCAGATGTCGGGGTATAGTTCATTTATCCGCAGATAAATCGACGTTGTTTGAACAAGAGCAGATGTTCACTGTGGTGTAAGATCAGGCGATAGAGGTATCAGAATTACTTTGGGTTATGAGCTCTCAAATCAATCTAGCATGTGATATACAGTGGAAGTTCTCGTAAGAGGACACCCTCGGGACGCGAAAAAGGTGCCCGTAACTGGAGCTGGCCGCTTACGGCAATGTAAAAATACAGAGTTTGTTTGGGAGTTGAGAAAAACGGGTTTGAGAGGGCGGCCGTTTGTAGAACTGTTCGCTCTACAGGAGAGTGTCCGTTCGGAAAGCTTTCACTGTACTTTGGATTCTTTCTTTTACCAGTCTCATGTGATTTGTTCAGTACAGCTTGTTTGGGCTTTGTTTTCGTTCGAGCGGGTTCAATGTACTTTAGTTTTACTTAATTTCCTTCTTGTTATCTTGTGAGACAGTTGACAATCTTTTAATATATTTCAATTCATGTCATTTCCACCATTAAGTTCATTACGAACTCACAATGGCTTGCTCTCCTGTTGGCTTATTTAGGTTAATGGATAGAAAATTGAGTCAGGTCTGCGCAAAGGTCAGGGGTAGATTCCCGGTCAAGCCGAAATTTTTTCAGGTTCTTTTTCAACCGCTTCGGTTGTTCGTCCTACTGCGAAGATCATGTTCACTTTCTTACAGTTGACTTTTCGTTCCGTACCGATGAACCGGATTTATTTCTTTCCGGTCTCCTTTTTGATTATCTCGAGGTTCATGGTTTGTTGATGTGATTTTTGTGAGCCTGGGTAAAAAAATCACAAAAATAAAAAAAATTCAAGGATCTACCAACAATTGTTGTCAAGTTAAATTTGACATTTGTTCAATTCACATATTTGTTTCCTTTTTTTTGTTGTTGTTCAGTTAAAATTTGACGATTGTATACAACTCCTTTCCCCCCCGCCGAAAACAGCCTAGGACTAGTATAAATGCATTCATTTCGTTTGCTGGAATTTTAAATTATGATGTCGTTAATTCAGAGAGGTGACTATCCCACCGCCCGGGACCGTCCCGTATGTTTTACTGCGTCCACCGAACGTCTACCCGGCTGTGAAATGCATGACTGCTATTGTCCGTCTTAGTATCGAAACTAAGCAATCACGGTCTTTATTTCCTAAATTGGTAATGTTATATAATCAATAAAATCTCGCAATTTGGTTGTGATCATACACATTTATCAGTATGGTCTCAGATCGATAATTCCTTGTGTCCAGTCCCGGTTAGTAGGAACAAAATTGCGACAGACCAGAGATCTATTTGATTTATTGATTCGATGTCTCTCAAAAGTCCTTCGAAGGTGATCATTTCACCTATTTTTAACAAAGGGGTGCGATTTGTGGAGGGAGGACTTTTATTTGAGGAAATACGGTGTCATTCAGCCCAACGTCAGTTTTCAAGTTGTCTATCCTTCGCCCTTTCGTCGTGCATTTCAGAAGGGTAATAAAATTGGTTATATTACCTCTCTGGCCCTCTCTGTCGTTTTTACTACTTAAAAGCAAGTGAACCAAGTTTATTCTACAAGCAACAACGGCCAAAAAGGCGATGTTTATAGTAGAAAGATGTTATCAGTCGGTGACACAGGCAGCTTCCGGAGGGGAGGGGGGGGGGTACTCCCTTATATTTTCCTTAAGGCTATGTGCAGCCCCAAAAGGTATGGTTTTTAACCGTTTTGGTCTGAATTCGGGTATGGTTTTCGAGGGAATACAGCTGCGGTGAACATATCTGTCGTTTCAATTCCAAATGAATAAGAAAGAGTCAATATGCGCATTCGAAATGGATTTTAAGACACGTTTTGTTGGCGTTCTAATCTTAGTAATGATTTCATTATTTCTGCCTACGCTATGTCTGAAAACGGGTGTGGAAAATGACAAATTTTGTTTGTCTGAAACAGGGTCACGATTTGGAGAACCGGGCAGCACATCCCCACCAAGAATTCCCAGGAGTACTCTCCCCCCCCGGAGGCGGCACGAAAGAAAGAATCCGAATACTTCCAACAGGAGTAGAATATTCATGTTATTTATTCATGTGTTTTACATTACAGTGTACTGCGGTACTGTATTGCTTTGCACCAATATATGTTAGGATTACTCTGGTCTAGCAACCCTCTGATTAGCATCGACCAAACCATCTTCTGACTCTTGCGTTGAACAATAGCTTGTTTTCCACATGTTTTTCCCAGTTAAAAATATCGCTTGTTAAAACCGCAAATAAACCTAATTTAAAAAGACAAACAAACATACAGTTAATACTTTTGTTTGTTTGTTTTTTAATTAGAACTCAATTAGGAGCTAATTAAATGTTATTTTTACATGATACAATGGTTCGCTTCCACTTCAAAAGCATATAATTAACCCAAGTTATTAAGAGGTGTTTTCAATCTCAAAATAAATACTTGACCAGGCAATGACTTTTGCAGTGCGTAAATCGATGTTTCATTTTTCAGTCGGTATCCTTCGCGATTGCAACAGGAGAATATTCCTGTAGAAATTTTCATAGCTAAAGTGTTTTCTTTATCATTACTTTATTGAAGGCCATACAGAGTGACTACGACATTTGCAAGAGCTCTTTCATGGGTAGGTATTCCTATTTTTTCGCGAAATTTTTGCCACGATGTTTATGGGCATCGCGCGCACGTTGTTGACGCTGTAAAACTGTCGTTGATTTGAACTTGCTGGAATTGTTTTAGTGATGCGATTTATCAGCGATTTTCTGGGCGAGCCTAACCAAAACACACTCTTTGTGGATTATCGTTAAAATTAGACGCGCCCTTCAGCAACTTGAGCCGCTAGAAAGCAGTATAGGAAACAAAAATGAGTGTAAATGAAGCAGGATAATGCTTTTATTCAGTTATTAGACTCTTATATACGTACATGTTAAACTTATGGTAGTCGTGGAGCCCTATGACAGAGCATGTGTTTTTTGCGGAGTTAATACCGCGCTTTAGGGCAGAACATTTTTACCAAATTTTTAGGTGCTCCATATTGAACTTTTAGCATTAGAAAACATAGATTTAAGAAGAAAGTTATTATTCTTTTTCTTTTTTTTCCGCAATCTTACTGGAGACATTTCACGCAACGATAGTTCCGAAACTGGCCCAATCACCTACTGAACCCTATTTCATAATCAAAGAAAATTTTTGAGGAAGGGGATCTCAACCGGCACCGAATTTTCGAATTCCACTTACCTATCAAGAAGCTCAACTTGGTCTGCCTCTCCCCGTTCACTAAGAACAAGTAGCTTAATTATATATTTGTGATGAAAAATAGACTGCTTTTCAGATAGTAGATCGCGATCGCGCTCGACTATCTGAACGCCTGGAACAGGCTAGGTGGAAATTATGAGATTTAAAAAGGATACAACTATTTCCTAAAGGTGAGATAAATAGTAGTGGATAAATACCCGTATCTAAGGCGTTTCACCGACCCTGAACTGAAGGGGTTAATAGATGGTGCTTCGGGAATTTTGTCACAAGTGTATTCTTATGATTTTTCTGGCGAATACTTTTCAGTATTTACCAACCTGCCAAATTTTGTCTCTTTCTTGCCTTTCTTGGTATTTGTTGGACTGAACAGCTTCCTCATCTTGTCTTCCCACATATCACTATGATCCCAAACTAGTGAATTCGTGGTTTTCAATCACATGCCGAGGAGGCCATGTTAGCGGTCAAAACAATAAACATTTCTTTTTTAGGAATTTTCATGAAAATGGTGTTTAGTTCCCAGAGAAGAGAGTTGCTTTTGTTTTTGAAATATTGGGTAAATTATAAAACTAGATTAAATGATTTAATAAATCTAATTTCTAATGAACCAAGCTTTTTTCGTCCGAGTATAACAAACGCTGACAATTGTGAAGTTTTACAACGGTTCCCTCATTGTCCCCAGAGAACAAGACAACTCTTAGCAAACATCCTCCATGAAGAATAACCTTTATTAATTTATACCGCTCAGGGTAGCCCCTTCAGACGCAAAAAGCTGTCTGTTATCAATGGGAGCCCATGACTGCAGCCTCGTAGATCTTGCTTACCTTCTGAACGTAAAACCCACCCAAGGGTGGCTTTTTCTTTGTGGCTTTTTTGCCCTACATAAGGAATAACACTCAGTGTTTTATGAGCTAGTTGAACAAACACATATCCCAAGTGGGCGCTCCATAGTCTTCTTTTTACAGAGAACACATTTGGGGATAAGCGACTAGAAAAACTGAACAGTCTTAAGTTAATTCGTATGAGCTAATCAAAATTGATACAAAAACTGCCTTGTAGAATATGTATAAGTATTGCTATTATTGATGAAAGTTAGCTTTGTCTAAACGAAATATTTGGCAAATTAATTACCTATTAATCCTTGTCCGATTAGCCTTGTCTTTAATTTAAATCTTTCAGTAAATGGCTTATCAGTGTCTAACCTGAGATCAGGCCCAATTTTAGCAGTTCTCATACATTCTCTCTTACGTCGCTACGCTGCCCGCCGAAATGTTATTTACAAAGCGAAACAAAAATAGAGCTTGATCTCGGGTTAATCAGTATCAGGGTACAGCAGAGGGTTGAACCCTCCAAACTGGTAATTTGTGATTTCATGGGTTTTGATCCCGTCATGAATGCCAAGTTTTTCCTTGGGGGTGAAGTGACCTCCATTTGAAGGGGGTGGTGATCTCAACCAATCACAACGCACGATACCTATATCCAGAAATGGATATCTCCCGGACTGATTAGCAAGCGGAAGTTTACGGTATAACACCTTTCTCACAACTGGCACTTCACCTGATGTCACCTAAGTTCGTTTCTCTTTCAGATATGAGTTCTTCAAGGTCTTTAAATGATGATGATTCTTCATCTCCTTCTAATTCTCCCGTCAAAAAACAACTCGATTTCTCAGCCAAGATAAGACTCATACCAGAAGGAGGGTGGGGCTGGATAATATGCGCTGCTGCTTTCGGAACACAGCTGATTGTTATGGGGATTCATAACTCGTTTGGGATTCTTTATACCACATTGTTAGAAGAATACAAGAAAACTAAAGCTGAAACAGGTACCCAAAGTAGACTGTTCACAGTCCCCTATTCTTCCTTAAGATCGTCAAGATCTAGCGCTTTACGTTATGGGCGGCCATCTTAGTTTACTTTCAAATGTTCGGAGTATAGCCTGGAAATGAGTGTCAAATCCACTTAGAGGGCGAGGGATGGTTTGGTGCATATAAATGAAACAAGATGGCCACCCGTACTGGTAAGCACTTAACCCTTACCCATTTCTCTTCAATTCTCTTTTCCTCATCCCATTCTAATCCGTTCTATTCTCTTTCATCTCGTTTATTCCCGTGCCACACCGTTCTGTTCATCTTATTCATTTCCATTCCCTCTTATTGCATCATCTTTGTTATTTGAACCATATTTAGTAGAGGAGACTGGTTAGGAAAGCCGGGAAACATCAAAGTTGAAAGCTATGGTGTTGTAGTTTATGTTGGAAGCTCCCTGACCGTGAACAATCCTTTGTTTTCTGTTCACAAATTGTGACTAAATAAACTAACGCAATGTTTCTATCGGTCAATAACTTCAAAATGATAGGAATGCTACCGTAAAATTCCGAAAATAAGCCCCGGGGCTTATATTTTTCAAAGGCCCTTTTTGAGGGGCTTATTTTTGGAGGGGCTTATATTCGGAGGGGCTTATCTACGGAGGGAAATTTGCGTTTCAAAATCGATTGGGCTAGCCATATAGTTGGAAGTAAATTTACCGTTTTTGCTTTGTTATACTTTGTATTTGAGGGCAATTTTCCAAGTACAAGCCCCCGGGGGGCTTATATTTGGAGGGGCGATTTAACGGAGGGTTTTTGCGTTACCGGTTTTGGGATCTTATATTTGGAGGGGCTTATTTTCGGAATTTTACGGTATTGAACGTTGTGCACGGTCAGGTTCAAAAAAGCTAACAAAAACCTATAACAAAGGGTTTCCCAACCATTCCACTTTAATTAACTATGTTTGAACTGATGAAATGTATAAAAAAGTCATTTTTCTCATTCCATTTCAAAGGTTTAATAGACTACATAATTTAAAAAATGATTATGTACAGAGCCCAAAGGCTGCTGTTATGTATTTAAATTTGAACACAATTCCCTAATCTCATTGCAAATAGTTCTTCAGCCGCTTTGGGTATAAACTGTTCAAGATCAAAAATATATTGTAGTGAGGTACCTCGACAGTACTACACAATTAATCGATCACAAAAAAAAAACAAAAAAAAAGATTGTAAACTGTCACTGACAAGCCGGAGATTTCACGAGAAAAACTGTTTCTCGTCTTATACTCTACATTTTTTTATTTTTTTTTATTTTCCAATACAGCATGGGTAGGCTCTGTCAGTGTCGGCGTCATGTATCTTTTTGGACCTATCACAAGCGGTCTGAGTGAGAGATTTGGCTGCAAAATCGTGGCATTCCTTGGGGGTTTTCTGTGTATCCTGGGATTGCTCCTGACGTCATATGCTACAGATCTTCCGAAGCTCTATGTAACATATGGCATCCTCTGGGGTATAGGGTCCAGCTTTTGCTACTTTCCTACGTTAACTGCTCCGGGAGAGTACTTCTGCCATCGACTTTCCTTAGTAAATGGAATTGTCACTGCTGGTTAGTTGTTTAACCGAGTAAAAACCTGGTAATCCATTGTTCAATTGTCATGCGTGTATCTTACACCAAAATATGTTTCTTTCATAGTTTCCAATCTAGTTGAGTTAGTTGTAAATAAATCAGTAGAAACTGAAGAGTTTTATAGGAATTCAAAGCCAACCTGTAGCTGAGCTTCAAAGCGTATGACTCTCTCCTTCCGATACCGACATACGACTTTATGAGAACAGCGAAGAACTAACCTTGAATTTTCTAAATACGTAGAATGACTGAGCTAGTCCTTTGCAGCATACAAGTATAAATCTATAACAGAATACATGGTCTTTAAGAACGGAAATTTATAGAAAAAATTTATTGAAAGGAGAGTTCATATACCGTAAAATTCCGAAAATAGGCCTCAGGGCTTATATTTTTCAAAGGCCCTTTTTGAGGGGCTTATTTTTGGAGGGGCTTATCTACGGAAAGAAATTTGCGTTTCAAAATCGATTGGGCTAGCCTTATAGTTGGAAGTAAATTTTTTTGCTTTGTTGTACTTTGTATTTGAGGGCAATTTTCCGAGTACAAGCCCCCCCCCCCGCGGGGGGGGGGTTTATATTTGGAGGGGCAATTTAACGGAGGGTTGTTTGCGTTACCGGTTTGGGGGGCTTATATTCGGACGAGCTTATACATTGAGGGGCTTATTTTCGGAATTTTACGGTATTATATAGACTGTTTTTTAACCTAGAAGGTTCTTACCAAGGAGCCATGTATGTACGAGAGAACCAGCTCCAATAAATTCTTCTTTTATTTTCACAGGCAGTGGAATAGGCACACTAGCATTCGGTCCAGTCCTCCAACACATTCTCCAGCGCTATGGTCTTGTTACGTCACTGCGCATTCTCAGTGGAGTGTCTGTCCTGCTGCCTCTGACGTCACTTACTTACAAGACATTTCGTTCGCCACTGGAAGACCTTTTTGAAATAAAGAAACAGCCAGGGCCTTTCTTTGACCTAAGCGTGTGGCAAAACAAAGCCTTTTGTGTTTACACAGGCGCGGTGGCCCTTTTCATGCTGGGATATTTCATTCCTTATGTGCATTTGGTAGGTAAACTTCCGCACATTCCTATGTCCTTTTCGTGTCCACATCCGCACCTTTTCCAAGAAATTTTGATAATTAATTGCTGCCGCGCGAGAGAGCCTAAGTCGAGCGAGTAATGCACCAGACCTAATCCGTACAGGGACAATTATTTTCAATTTCTACCCGTGATGCATTTGAATTTTTAACCACAATGCACTTTTTTACCACAATGCCTTGCACACAATGCTTTGGCGTCGCAATATCATCGCTACGCGCTAAACGCTACTCATAAAGCCGGATTCTAATTGCGCGCGCTAGCTGAACGCGAGATAAATGCAAACCTAATTTGGCGATACAAATTGACACCAAGGCAGCACTCTTTTACATATTAGGTACACTAGTTATTATTATAAATACGTTATTATCCTCTCCCCTTCTGGGGCTCTTCAGGGAAAATGAAACAAACAAATTCAAATGAACATAGTAAGGTTAAGAATCCAACTGGTAGGGGGGCAATTAGTTGGCTATTTTCAAGCGTGGCCGAGGATTTCAACTCGAGACGACTGAGAACAAATCCAGCAAGTGGCCAGAGCGGTACTCCAACTCGGGACCGCTGGATTGCGAGTCCGACGCGCTGATCACGCAGACACGCTGCGTCCTTCCTTTGCTAAAGCGAAAACTGATGTTATCAAACAAACATAGAATACATCGCCCCTTGCCATTAAAAAAGCGCATTTCATCCCCCTGATTTGGCAAATGCCGTAAATGATGGACATTTTAGGTCAGCATTTGCTTAAAGACAACTTTGTGGGGCACACCACTGCAACACAACACTGTAAGCCTATGTTTACTTAAGCAGATTGATAGCCTGCAGTGCAAGCGTTTTCTTCGGGCGAGCAAATGTTTTGCGCGCGAAAGCGCCATGTTGAAATTCCAAAAGAGAGGAGGAAATGAGGCTTGTCAAAAGGGTTACCATTTTTACTCTTCCAAATCTTCTTCTCTTTCAAATCTCCTTCCCTTGAGTGTGTTTTGAAGTGCTTCTCTTGATCACGGTTCAAATGATTTTTTTGCCAAACAGGTCAGTCACGTAGAGGGGCTTGGAATTTCACCCTCTAAAGCCGCCTTGTTAATTGGTTTCATGTCCATTGCCTCAACAATCAGTCGGATCATCTTCGGTAAATTTTCAGACCATCCGAAAGTGAATCGATTGTTCATGACGCAGCTGGCGATCACGGGCTTTGGGATAACAACAACACTTTGTCCAGTTGCGAAAGATTATGCTTCCTTGGTGACGATAGTAGTATTTCTGGGTCTGTTTGATGGCTTGTACGTAGTGCTCATTGCCGTTGTCAATACAGATATCGTGGGAGTCCATAAGCTATCGGCGGCATTGGGAAGTGTTTATGGAGTCATATCGATAACTCTCACAGTTGGACCTCCTTTTGCCGGTAAGATTTCAGCAATACCTGTATGCTTTATTACAGTAACTCAATTAATAAAAAGGGTTTTTTTGTGCCCTTCATGTTTAGACATGGTATCGTTCACGACTGTTTGAGAGTTTCGCGAGAGCTTGAAAGGACGTGTTTTTTCTGGTTCTCCAAAGGTTCCACTAGCATACTACTAACTTAGCATCATCTTGATCTACCCTCTCCTCCATCAGTACCTTTACCTAGTAAATGATTGATCCATTTGCTGAAGACAGTAATAGACGCTCTCCTGCCATTCTTATTCCAGGCCTGATGTTTGACACGCTTCATTCTTACCACACTGTATTCTACATTTGTGGAGCAACATCCACCTTGTCAGCCTGTCTCATGTTCCTCATTCCATGGCTTATGCCCAACCAACAGGGGGGTACTTTCCGTCGAGATTCCGCGCTGAGCCGCCTGGAGAGTCTCCTGAGTTCACTGCCACCAACTCCAAGGAGAATTTCAAGAAGAAATTTCGCTCACGATAGTCAAGGTAGTGGAACAGGCGATAGTGACGACGGCAGGGGTGGAGACAGTCTTTGTGAAGCTGACAGGATTGAAATGGAGTTTCTGCAAGGATCTGTGTCCAACGACGTGGAAGACGATGACCAAGACGGCGGCACAAGGCGACCGGATGATGGCCTCCGCCAGGATACCTCCATAAACACTGTCTTTAATTCAACCATGTCTCATCGTGGATCCATCACAAAGTTTCTACTGCAACAACAGCTTCAATCATGGAGTAGGTCTCCTTCACCACTATCGGATTCCTGTCGAGGATCAGGTCAAGGAAACCAGTCATCGCGTGGCGACTCATCAAGAAGCTCGCTGAGCAGTTACTTTGGGGGCTCAAGGAGAGCGTCATGTTCAACTTCCTCAAAATCGAAGAGCTCCAGCAAGCCTACGCCAACGGGCTCAATTCGCGATTCTGTTAAACTTGGAGAATCAACCAGCGAAGAGACATCAGAGTTGAACTCTGACGAACTGGAACCAGAGATAGACGAGACGACAGTGGATTTCTTGCATGTTGATGCTTTATCTCGTCGAATCTCCGAGGTGAGCACGGTCGTGGCTTCATGCAGGGAGTCTGGACAGAGCACCGTGGTTTGTTCAAATCGCAGCAGTGTTGTCAAGGTAGCTCTAAGTCCTAAGGTCAGCCTGCAGGAGGAAGACTCTCAGCAGCAGCGTTCCGTGAAAGACCCCGACATGCTTCATGTGCTTGCCGCTCGTCTTTTGCAGGCTACGCGTGAAAAAGAGAATAATTTTGACGGTAAAGAACTCAAAGAGTCAGTAGTGTAACAAGTTTATCTAACAAACGTAACAATTTCATGAAAGTACAGTGAAGAGGGCGCCTGAATTGGCGTTTTGACTTCCACCCTAAATGGTTGGAATTTTAGCTTTTTACGGCCAACATGTCATCTCTTTGGCAACGGCAGAGAGAAACCGTGAAAAATCATTTTTATTGTAGTTCTTGCTTTTTTTAGTTAACGTCCATTGTTGTTAACCGTTTAAGGTCTTAGGTCTAAGAACTTTTAGGGATAAGGCTTTTATTTGGTGAGTGAAATAATAATATAAAATAGTGAAAAGAAGGATGGAAGTGACTATAGCCTGTGCCAGGTTCTCAGATAGTAGGGATATAGCGTTAACAATGTACGGTGGAACTTCGATTTAACGAATCTCTATATAACGAAGTCCTCGATATAACGAACGATTTTCTTTACCCCGGTAATAGTAAAATATATGAAAAAGAACCTCGATATAACGAAACCTCGTCCAGAGCGAACAAATCTGGAGCGTTAAATCAAGGTTCCACTGTAAAAGAAAAAAGGACGCGGGTGATCTAGGGAAGGCGCCGCTCTTCTCCCCAGACCCCGAGCGTTATACGGATCAGTTTTTTACGATCGCTGCCCATCACTACCTTGGAGCCTGGAACACGCTAAGCGGAGTCAGAAGCGCAAAATCTGGAGAGAAAAAAATCGGAGATTTAACAACCACAGTATAAAAGAATTCATTTATGAGGCTATTTAAGAGTAAACAGCGTTTAAATTGATTTTGCCGATTGCTTTGAAATCCTCGCAGCTTAACTGTAGAGAGATAAAAAATATGAGAATTATCGGATAAGCAATTAAAAGGTCTCAGCAGAGATAACAATTGCAGTTTTCTATTTTTCACAGCGAGGGACAAATCGTCTGTTATCATGAACTGAGGTCGTACAAGTCATTACGTAAGAGAGCTGCGTAATGAATCGCACCACAGCAGAAGTTTTCTGTAAAATGACATAAAAATAAATGTTGGAAATCATTTTACAAAAGTCACAACACCACACACACTGTAAAATGTTAAAGAAAATATTTCGCGGGGTAGTCAAAATAAAACAAAAATTAAGATTGATAGCATGCCAGAAGGCCTTATATTTTCACTATTTTCGAACCATGTTGATCGTCAAGTGATTGTGACTGTGTGGAGTGAAGACGCGAATACATGATAAAAAGCCGACAAGAAAAAATAAAACAACAAAGCTGAATCTCAAAACATTGAAAAGCAAACTTTTATCTGAAAAAAGATTCACGTTGACTCTCAATAGGGGTCAGCGTGGAGTTATTTAGAATGCATAATTTACTTGATATTGTAGTTTCAACTTCTTCCAATCTCGCAATGGGGAAAATCAGACGGTATATTGACAATTCTGGTCTTTGTTTTTGCCGTATAAACTGTCGCTTAAGGTTATATTTAAGGTGAAAAATAAAATCTTTAACTGTTGCAAAGTCGATTGATGTATCGTTTCAACCCGTTCAGTCCTTTGTGTGCTTGCAAAAAATATGGTCGGAAATCTGATAGAAACATCTGGTCATTTCAAATAAATGCTTTATCTTCTCTTAATTATTTATCGAATTCGACAAATCGAAAGTCAAATTGAGTTCAAAAAAAGAGAGCCGTAACTTTGAAAACTCTGCTGATATCCATAATTGCCAGAAATAAGATTAGATCAGTCGGAACAAAAGCTGTCCTGGTTAGCCATATACAGGCCTGTATCGATCGTGAAAGCCCTAACTGTCAGACTTTTGGCTGGTAATTGCCTGTCTTAGTTTACAGAGAATGCCAATGAACTCCGCTTATAATAACGCTGAAAAATCTAGATCTGAAAACGGACAAAATTGTGTGCATAAACGGAGAATTCAAATTAATGTTCGTGGAGAGAAGTTTGAAACTTACGAAGACACGTTATCTCGTTTTCCAAGGACTTTGCTGGGATCTCAATCAAAACGACGACGTTTCTACAATCCTTCTCGGCGAGAGTATTATTTTGATAGGGACAAAGCACTTTTCAACTCGATATTGTTCTACTATCAGTCGAACGGTATCCTGTCCAAACCAGACACAGTTTCATACGAGATGTTCTCGTCTGAACTGAAGTTTTTCCAGCTTGATGGCGATTACGAGGAGTCTGACCAAGAATTTGATCACGCACTCTCCGCCACATCGAGGCGAAACGCAAACGACAGCTTAACCTTCTTGCGAAAACTTACGAGAACTCGAAGAAATATTTGGAGGTTTTTCGAACAACCAGTAACTCCATCCGAAAGAACCATTGCCAAATTCTCTCTAATACTGACTGTGTTATCTATGGTTTGCCTGTGTTTGGAAACTTTACCCGTCGTTCAACAAAACCAGCTTGAAATTCAACAAAGAAACTCAACTACAGAGGAAATAAACGTGGATTACGATATTGTTTGGTCAGCTGTGGAAGTTGTCTTTACAATATGGTTTACTGTGGAGTTCGTCCTACGATTTTTATGCGCGCCGCAGATAACGAAATTTATATCTTCGTTCAGTACTTTTGTTGACCTAATAGCTTTATCGCCTCTGTACATTAAAATCATTGTTGAAAGTTTAACACAAAAAAAGGCTGAAAGCTTAGTGCCTTATCCACTGTTAAAAGTTGTGCGCCTGGTGCGACTTCTTAAACTAAAGCGTTATAGTGTAAGCATACGACTTTTGTTCGAAACTATCATTGATAGTGGCGAACACATGAGACTTTTCGCTCTTTGTATAGTGTTTAACACCGTCTTACTCTCCAGTTTTGTGTATTTTGCTGAAGGAGAAGGCGATAGCTCGCAGCAGTTTACCAGTATTCCGGCAACATTTTGGTTTACCGTTATCACCCTATCAAGTGTTGGTTATGGTGATTATGTTCCCACTTCTGCGATAGGAAAACTTGTGGGTACATTTTGTTGTATAGGAGGTACCGTGGCTATGTTTTGTTTCACGCCTGTGCTATTTACGGAATTTCGCAAATCCTGGCAGCGTTATTACAGCGAGATGTTAAAAATTAAGGCTGAGAGAGGCGAGGATTCCCGTGAAGATGCTCAAGTGCATTATAGAAGTCAAACTGTTCGTCTGCGATGTCAGGATGAGCTGTCGCAAGCATTACTTGAAAGTAAGAATGCTCATAGTTGATAGAGAGGACGCATTTTGGGTTGTTTACCAAGTTACAAAAAATGTTAAAGACGTCCACAGAATCAAAAGCTAGAACTTCATCATGGACTCTTTTAAACCGAGATTTAAAAATATACGTTTTTTTGCAAGACTAATCATGTACCCCCAACATGTACGTTCAAAACAAGACTCATGGAAAAGATAATAAATCATAACAGTATTTAATTTATAGAGGCATCCCTTAAAATTCAGTTTTGATATCTTTGATAACTGTGTTAATTGCTTTTCTTATCGAAGGGAGACGAGTATCTTTTAAATGACAATTATAGCAGAAAGTCATTCATTTAATTGCAACGAGGTTGATTTCATTAAACTTTTTCAAGCAGCAGTTTGTTGTGGTGTGACAGTAATCATGGGCTAATATATAAGTTTTATCAGAATTAACTAGAATCAAACCAGTAGCGATGCAGTTTGTATGAAGACACGAAGTTCATTCAATTCAGTTCAATCAGTATCAGGAGAATCAGTACGTACTACTGCTGTTAAAATATCGGATTTGCTATCATCTATCACTTCTAGGAAAATTGAAAGTGCAAGAAGCTTTAGGGGTATTTTAATCAATTTATAATGACAAAAGCTTAAATAAAAAAGTTTTTCTTCAACTTTTGCAGGATTTGGAAACAAAATTCTGTCAAAGAGCCTGAAAAATTACGACAGTTCTTAATTTAGACATTGGATGAATAACATTAATCGCAAGTAGATGCAGAATCCTTAAGTGGGTGTGTCGAAATTATAGACTGTCGTATCTTTCTCAAACATATTTCTCGCTTACTGGTAATAAGTAATCTGACAGCTGGGGCACCCAACGACGATTTCCTCCAAAAAACATTAAAAATAGTTTTTAGGCTATCCAGAGTACTATCCTAAGTGGCGCCATAAAATTTGTGTCTGTTCGGTTATCCTAGGGGAACTTGAGTCTTTTCGAAATTATAAGAGCTTCAGTATTATTTTCCCGAAAATTTGTACAGGTAATAGCATGATTTGTAGTAATATTTGGCATAAATACCACGAGTGATATTTCGAAATTGTTATTACGTAATTTCACGAGCCGTTAGGCGAGTGAAATTTGAGATAATTTTGAAATATCACGAGTGGTATGTATGCCAAAGACCACGTTCAAATCATGCTATTATTTGTTTATACTACTACCCACAAACGTTTTGTAATTTTCACATGTAGGACTGCCGTAAGCCAATCAAATTGCAGAAATTTCTCATGTAGTAGAGAGTAATTTAACGCCGGTATTACGAAAGTGATATTTTTTCTGATCCCCTCTTTCCATCACATTTTTGAATCCGAAAAGTTTAGGTTTCCTTTTTTCTACGAAAAATAGCCCAACTTGGGGAGTAAAATGTGAAAAATTAAACTTCAGAAAATCGGAGGGAATTTTTTAGAGCCTTCCTCAAGTAAAAGAACATTTTAGGCAATATTTGTTTCTCCGAACAGATATTTTATAGAAAACAGTCGTTGGGTGCCCCTGAACTGAATATTGGCAATTCTTTAAATAAAACTAATTTGTTTAGGAGCTATGCCAATCAATGTATCAGTGATTCTGTTTTACTTCTAACTCTTCCTATTTTCAGAATGCCTGTTATCAAAATGCCTAGCTGAAAGTCGAATCGTTCCTGAGAAATAATGACATTTGTGTCAAAATCTTTTAAACTCCAAGTAATCAACGTTTTTGATCTATCTTAAAACCTCGCTAGCGTTACTCAGTAGAGAAGGAAAAAACAGAGAAAACAAATGCACCTTTTGGGACCCTGTATGTTACTCAGATATGAACCCGGTTTAAGTTATTAATCTCACACGTTTGAAAGCAACGAGCAATTTAAGGCCAAAAAAGGAGAGTTTGAAGCAGACGGATAGAACGTGTTGGACGATCCAAACTTAACCGGTAAGCCAGACCCGGTCAAACTTTTCATGAACTTTACTCACTAAGTTTGGTTCGTCTCACCAAAAGTTCGAGGTTTGGCCTAGTCCTGAGAAAACTGTCTGCAGATATTTCGCTACGCCACTAATGATTTTTATTAAACAGCTGAATCATTGGATGATGCAATTCATGGCAAAATCTCGGACAGTTTATCTCTCACTTGATCTATTACAGTATGCGAGGAAATTTCAAGAAACAACACTTTCAACTTTCAACTTTGTTGTATAACAAAGCGCGAAAAAGCAGCAATCCAGCCCTTTGGGAGAAGTACAGAAAACTGAACAATGTCGTGAAAAGAGAATGTAACTTAGCTCGATGGACGTATATCAACAATATGGCCTCTGATATTGCAGTTTCTGGTAATTCCAAGCCTTTCTGGAATTATATTAAAAGCAAACGTAACGGTACGAACACTCTGGTATCTTTAAAGGTTGGTGACAAAGAACTGATTGACGATGAGAGTATTGCTAGTAGTTTTAATTCCTATTTTTCATCTGTTTTTTTTACCTCCGAGGACTTCACCAACTTGCCTTCTTTAGAGCCTTTAGTTTGTGAGAAACTTAATTATATTTCCTGTACTACTGAGGAAATTTTAAAGCATCTTAAGTCTCTTAAAACGAACAAGTCCCCGGGTCCAGACAGAATTTCACCAGTAATTTTAAAATCATGTGCGTTCGAATTGGCGCCCTCGATCTCATTTCTGGTTAACAAATCTTTCCTGCTGGGCCATTTGCCCGAAGATTGGAGATCAGCTGACATTGTCCCACTTCATAAGAAAGGTTCTAAACACTTGAGGGAGAATTATCGACCAATTTCGCTTACATCCATGATATGCAAAATCAGCGAAAAAATCGTACGCGATAGGTTAACGTCATTTTGGCAAGACCATAACGTGATAAACAAAAACCAATTTGGTTTTTTGCAGGGTAGGTCTACTGTGACCCAATTACTCTCTACTTTTCATGACTTCGCCAAATCTAGGAATTCATCTGTAGCAACAGATGTTGTATTTCTTGATCTCGCAAAGGCTTTTGATAGTGTTCCTCATGAGCGTCTACTCATAAAGTTATATAGCCTCGGTATTGAGAGCAAACTTCTTAACTGGTTGAGGCATTTCCTCACGTGTAGAAAGCAACGAGTTGTTGTAAGAGGGACTTTTTCTGATTGGGCACCTGTGATATCTGGTACCCCACAGGGAACTATTCTTGGTCCAATTTTATTCCTATCATATATAAATGATATCGTTGATAGTGTCTCTTCAAAAATTAAATTATTTGCGGATGACACTAAGATTTACAGAGAGCTTCGCAACCCTAGTCTCGATGAACAATACCTTCAAACTGATTTGAATAATCTTGGTAAATGGGCGAAAAAAATGGCAACTTCGTTTCAATGAGGAAAAGTGTGAAGCAATGCGAATAACGCATTCTCGTGACAAATCGACTACGAATTATAAACTAGGTACGGCCTTAAAAGATGTCAAGAGCTTTAAAGATCTTGGAATTATTATATCAAAAGATCTTACTTGGAGTGAACATATTAGTACCATGGTGAATAAGGCGAACCAAGTCCTAGGGCTAATAAGACGGTCTGTTGGAACAGCTAATACAACAACTTTTTCATTGCTTTACAAAACATTGGTCAGACCACTTCTAGAGTATGCTGCTCCAGTCTGGAACCCATATCTTGTCAAAGATATTCATGCAATAGAGAGCGTGCAAAGACGCGCGTCAAGATTAGCTCTTAGGCAAAAAAGAGGTGATATGTCTTATGAAGAGCGTTGTGACTCGTTACATTGGCCATCTTTGTCCAGTCGTAGGACATATTCCTCTCTTGTTGAATGTTATAAGATCGTGTTTGGCTTATCACACTTGGATTTTGAGGAATTCTTTCAATTCGCAAAAGTCAAATCCACTAGGGCAAATCACTCGTATAAGCTTTATTGTAAATTATCTAGAATCAACTGTTTTAAATATTCTTTTTTTAACAATGTAATTAGTTACTGGAACAATTTACCTAGTAATGTTGTTGAAGCCGGTTCCCTTGAACTTTTTAAATGTAAACTCAAATCCTTTTTAAAGTTGTAATTTTTATTGTAATTTTTATTGTAATTTTTATTGTTTGTTGTTTTTAGGAGAGTTTTATTCATAGGGTTAACCTCTAGACTCTCCCTTTCAAATTCATGTGGTCATTATGAGTTTGAATAAACATGTATGTTATGTTATGATCTTTCCAGTTTATCAACACCCTTCAGAAAGTGGAAAAGAAAAGAGATGAGAGACAGGAAGTATTATAAAAGATGCTATGTTTTTTCGTAAACTAATACTTCCTTCGAAGCTTTTATTGATTTAACATTGATGTTATGGTCTGATATTATCTTTGGTTCAAATGTATTTTCCTTTGTTTTAATCATATTCAGCTATACTGTTTATACCACCCCGAAAAACAAAACAAAACAAACACACAAACAAACAAACAATTATTGTTTGTACAATCAGCTCCTGCTAAAGAGTATTACGGTGCTTTTAGGCAGGATCTATTATTGGTGGTGGGAGAATACAAACAAGCAAGATCATGCTAACCATGGCGCTTAAAAAACGTTGGCTTCCTTTTAACTTGTGGGTTACCGATCATTTGTGATCAACTAGCCTGTTCCAGGCCGCTCAATTCGTCGAGGTGAGCAAAAAGTATCACAAAAAGAAAGACAAATGTAATTGTTCGACTTGCGATACTTGCAGTGACTGGGTGAGGGCTACTCCATTTTCAAATACACCCGTCCCCAGCTGGCACCATCCCCGTTGGCGAAGTACTTAGAAAATGATCGTTTCTACGAAAGTGCTCAGAGATATGCAGTGACACTGAAACATATATCCCGCAGAAAATGTAGCTGACGTGTCTAATAGCTTAAACAATTTTTTGCTTTTCTGCTACTTCACAGTTACTTCCCCGCAGAAAATCTGTCCTAAATCTAATACATTTAGAGATTGTCAACTGAAAATTGAATTGAATTGAAGACGTGCAACGTCCCATGTACCTACATTTAGTAGTTTTGCGTTCTGATTACGACTCCGACTCCGTCGCTGATGAAAATGTTTACGTGATAGCATGCACGGAAGGAGAAAAACTCTTGATTTTCTGATCTGCAGTTCTGATAGTTGTCAAGTCAAATACATAAATCACAAATCGGATAGTTCTTTCAGCTGAACGCAGAAGCATTAGCCCGTGGGCCAAGCGATAAAATTTCCCGAAAGTGACAAATGATACTCGGTGCGATATTATTTCACTCTCGTTCGAAGTTGGAGAATTTTTAAACCAAAAGTGTCATTGTTCAGCGGTTTTTGATCTGCAATTTAGATACTGTAGTTGTCGATACAGGGAATTCCGATACAGATAAAGAGAAACAGTTCGATACTTTCTCGACTACGAGAAAATGGGGCCCATCGATAAAATCTCCCGCCAAAATATAATTCGTGCCGCGTCTCTGTTTCAGTGAACCCATACTCAAACCGCGCTAGAGCTTCAAAGCTTTCTCGCAAATGCTGTCACATTACCTCAAGTGACAAATGAGACTAGTGCGATATCATTTCACCTACCTGACCAACCTTGTGCGATGTTGGAGACTTTTTACAAAAGCATCATTGCTCAGCGGTTTCTGTCAGCAACGAAGACAGATTTGCGGTTGCAAGATGGCGTCTGGCGGTGATTTCAAGGACTTTGGCCCACTGGTCGGAGCGATCGATCAAGGAACTTCAAGTACTCGATTTTTGGTACGTGTTAACGATTTTTTTATGATAAGGCTTCAACTAAGTGCTCTGCATTGTGACTGCTTTAAATAATGCGGTGTTTGTGTGTGCTTTACTCCGGATTGGTCCGATCATGAGATCATGCCATGCCCGACATTAGATCGGTAGAGTCTAGAGCCTTTGTCGACTTGAAGACGATTGATGTGTAATGCCTCTTCTTGTTTCTCAGACGTTGTTATTAAAGAAAAGGTAACGATATGCATAGGGCTACTGTGTACATTCGGTATTGTTCGTCATTTTACCAAGCTTAAGCCTCAATCTAAGTGAAATGAACCCCGAGGCTAGCCAACCATCGGATAGCCTTATGTTATGTTGAAAATGCTGCTGAAATATTCGTTCAATTAGCAAATGTTTGATAGCATATTTCCTTTTAGATTGAAACTTTATTATTTTATTATTATTGAACCTTTTTCATTGTTATTATTATTTTAGATCAAATCTCTGCACCTCATTTTATTGGTGTAACCTTTGTAACCGTTGCCCCACCCTGTTAAAAAATTTCTCCAAAAACGTGGGGGTGGGGAATGGGAGGGGTGCAGTCATAAGAATAAGAGACTGTTGATATTGAATAATAATTCCTTTGCGTCTGTAAATGATTTTTGATCAGCTCTAAGCTTCTCCTTCCAAACTGCCCTGTTTTTGCTTGTGAAACAAGGTAGAATTTCACATGAAGATCAAGAGTCACTTGACTTTGGCACCAGCCACCCCTTCAGGAGCTGGTCATTTATTACCTGTGAGGGGGAGGGAGGGGGTGTATCCAATGTGAGAAACCTAAGAAGATTGTCAGTTCGATCCCCAGTTCATCCTAGCTTTTTAGAAATTATAAATTCTACATATTGTGAAAGTATGAAACTACAAATATTGTAACTACACACTGTGGTGAAGTTCACCACAAACTTTATCTAAAGTAGTGTTTTTAAGGTCAGTGTTTACTTTTTATGACTGTTACATTCAATTTCAATTGACACTCATTACTGCTTTGTACTACTTTCATGAAATCTATTAAGGTGGCTCGATACAGTTTTTCAAGGCCAATACCTCCCAAGTTTGAGCATAACCTACGTCGCCATAAACAAAGTTTTGGAAAAATTGCCCCCACAGTTGTATTAGATAAAGATGAAAATCTTTTATTATCAGGGTTGCAATGACATCGGAGTTGTCATAGCAACAAAATGAAGCTATTACCTGTTTTACTTACAGAAGTATTTCTCGGCACTGGGAACTGTTCTTCCAAAATTATTCATGGGAGCTTTTTCCTCCAATAGCCATCTCGATGTTCGTGAAGTTTAAGCGAAATCTGTAAGAACGTTATCGAGATATTTTGGGATCAAGATTTTGTGGTTAGAAATATGGTAAAAAATGGATAATCTTGATGTTCGGCTGTTATTTGTAGAAAATGAAGCGCTTTTGACATGCAATTTCACCTGATAGTAGTTTCACTCTTTTTAAAAATGTGTGCGAAAGACCGCGGAGATAGCTCCAGCCGATTGCTAGAAAGAAGGATTTGATTAGTATGTATCGAGGCGCTTTTGTTAGCGGTTTTTGAACATTTTGGTCTACTTTAACAAATTAGCGAATAATTTTTAAACCGCTTGATAGATTTTTTAAAAAAAATAAGATTCTTGAGATTAACCTTCCTTTTATATGACCTTTAGTTTCAAGATTATTGATATATTGTAAGGCAGTAAAATAAGGGCTACAATTCGCCAATATTTTGGCAGAAATTTTGTGTTTACAAATGTGAGCCTCTCATTATTCAGGGTATTGTCCCCAAGTTTCATAATTTCGCGCATAACAATAGCTAGCATTTTTGCATGTGTCAAATGTATTGTTAGTTACTGTTGTTCACGTGAAAAGGAAACTTGGAGGCAATGCCTTGAATAATGAGAGGCTTTCACTTGTAATAACGAAACTTCCGCTAAAAAAGTAACGAATTGTAGCCCTTATTTTACTGCCTTACAATGTATCAATAATCTTGAAACTAAAAGGTCATATAAAAGAAAGGTTAATCTCAAGAATCTTAAATTTTAAAAAAAATCTATCGAGCTGTTTAAAAATTATTCACTAATTTGTTAAAGAAGACCAAAATGTTTACAAAACTGCTAACAAGAGCGCTTCGATACATACTAATAAAACCCTTCTTTCTAGCAATCGGCTGGAGCTATCTCCATGATCTTCCACACACGTTTTTAAAAAGATTGGAACTACTATCAGGTGAAATTGTATGTCAAAAGCGCTTCATTTTCTACAGATAACAGCCAAACAACAATATTGTCCATTTTTTGCTGTGTTTCTAATCGTAAAAACTTCATCCCAAAATATCTCGATAACGCTTTTACAGATTTCGCTTAAACTTCACGAACATCGAGGCTGCTATTGGAAAAAAAAGCTCCCGTGAACGATTTTGGAAGAACAGTTCTCAGTGCTGAGATACACTGCTGCAAGTAAAATAGGTAATAGCGTCATTTTGTTGCTATGACAACTTCGATGCCGTTGCAACCCTGATCATAACAAATTTTCATATTTATCTAATACAACTGTGGTGGCAACTTTTCCAAAACTTTGTTTATGGCGACGTAGTTTATGCTCAAACTTGGGAGGTATTGGCTCTGAAAAACTGTATCGAGCCACCTTAAAATGACCCCCAGGTAATGCTCCCTTACCTCTGAAAATGTCCCCCAAAACCAATCAAGATTTTGAAAATGACCCCCCCTCCTGCAAAATGGTGGCCCCACATCACAGGTAATAAATGACCAGTCCCTCAATATCTCTCTAGTTGGGATGAATCTCAAGTCATGCATTAACTGTTAACCACCATGGTCTCATCTTGGTGTAAGTTGCATGTGTCTTGTTTTCCAGCTTTTTGCTAGTAAGACTGCTGAGCTCCTTGCATTTCACCAAATTGAAGTGAAAAGCTCCTATCCCAAAGAAGGGTAAGCAGTGTGATGATTATTATTATCATGAAAACAACTTAGGTCCTAAGAGCGGTTTGTCATAAGACAATGTTTGATTAAAATTTGCCCATGTGCGACAAAATCCTATCTGCTGTAAGACATGATGACCAGACAGATCAAATATTTAAGACTGTCATTTTATAGCTGATGATTTGTATAGCAATTAAAGAGATTAATAGTCAACTTCAAAAGTATGTCAAACAGTTTTTCTTCCTTGTCCGACTAAAACACTGACCTGGTTAGAGATAAGTCCTTCCTAAAAATAAAGATTATCTGCTTGACGGTCTAAGGCGTTGTTCAGACGCCGTACTTTTCATGTGCCGAACCTAACCGAATAAGTTCGACTTTGGAGCGACACTGGCGCGACATCTGATTCAGACGGCGTACCGTGTGTCGAACCTAAGTTAAGTTCGACAAAAGTTCGACAGACTCTGTCGAACTTAACGCTTTTGCCGCACCAAACTAAAACCGCCGTACCAAATTGATTCAGATGCCGCTCCTTTTGCTGTACTTAATTCATCAGTTAGGTTCGGCACATGAGTGGAGCGGCGTCTGAACTGGGCCTAACACTTGTCTTTTAAATTAAGTGCAATATTGTACATGTGCCAAACTGGTAACCCCAAATACAGTGTAGCAGTAAGATGCCAAAAATGGTGACGCTATGATATGCTTTGTAGATGGGTAGAGCAAGATCCAAAGGAAATTCTATCATCGGTGTACTATTGCATGGAACAAACACTTCACAGCTTCAAAGATTTAAAAATTAATCCTGCAGATATCAAAGGTATGTTTGATAATTTTATTATGTACTAGTATGGCTATATCTCATCTAGCCATGTTTTGGAAGCTACGAGATGTTTTATTCTTATTTATTAGTACTCTATTCTTTTCTGAGTAATTGTCAGATGACTCTGGATTTTACAGAGAAACCAGGTTCTATAAAATTGGATTGTGAACGCAGAGCTGTGAAAAAAAAAAAAACGAATTTAAGCTAGTCCCTTGAGCAAGCAGCTCTCATATTTTGCTTGCCAGGTGTCTTAGTTAATGATTTAGTTAGAATATGGCTTGACTAGATCCTTCCCCATTGAGTAAGGGAGTTTTAAGAGTTCCATGTAGTTGCACAGAAAGAAAATCTTAAAGTCCAGAACTACCAGACAGGACTTTCTACAAGCCCTGGAATGACTATATTGACACTTCAATGTAACCTCTGACTCTAGAATTTTTGTTTTTCAGCTGTTGGAATCACAAATCAGAGGGAGACTACTGTGGTTTGGGACAAGCTTACTGGAGAACCACTGCACAATGCTATCAGTAATAAAATGACTCTGCTTTTGCATGAAACTGTAACAAGCAATTTAATTCCAGCTTTATTTTGTATATATATATAACAACCGTTTTGGAAGGGTGTTGCATTTGCAATTTATTGTATATTAAATGGGTTTATATGAGTGAACTGAGACATATTTTGTTTGCAGTTTGGCTTGACACAAGGACGAAATCCACTGTTGATGACTTTGAGACCAAAACAACTGAAAAAACAAGAGAACATGTTCGAGTAAGTGTACAGTAGAAGGGTCTCAATAGGTTGCAGTTGACACTGTATTAAACACACATTCACAGAGAGTCAAAAGAAGCCAAGGAATGGTTGGGAACTTGGAATAGAGAATATTAATGTCATCTTGCTAACATTAAAATCGTCACCAAGTCATCTTGTGGCAAACAAGTTAGTTAAGTGGTGTAGAATTCTGGGAATGACCACATTGCAATCCTTTTTGGCATGTGCACAAATCTTGTGCCATGCTTCTTTTGTACTTTCCACATGATCCCTGGGAAATGCACCTAAAACTAATGGTAATGCGTCAGATTTTTGATGATTATGTTGTTACTGTAGTTTGTAAAAGTCAGTAAGCTGGTACTCCTTGAATTATTGTTTCAGTCTAAAAATATTTAGAATGGAGTAAACCATCTCCATTGTGGTAAAATAGAAAATTTGGAAGTTAAGTTATTTTTGTAAGTTTTGAGCCCCACCCTTTTTTTGGTCCCTGAATGCCAGGGATTTTTATGGCCTCAGTGGTTTACGTACATCCTACATGAAAAAATTTTGTAAGGGCTATGATTTTCTCTCCTTCTCAGAGAAGAATAGAAGGTGTAACCCAGGGTTGTCATCAAGAGCCAGGGGCCAAGGATTTTCCCCGGCTACCAAGAGAGTGGCCCCTGGCTACTTTTATTGGAAAATTGAAGAAAAATAGAACCAAAAGAAATCCGTAGCCATTTGATTCCCCGCCTACTTGTTGTATTTACCCGGCAACTTGAAATCTTAGTGACAACCCTGTCTAACCATTTGAAGATGAGGAACGTTAGGCAGCACCCTCTTCTTAGATATTTTAAGACCCTGAGTGTGGGTCTGGTCAGGAATGAACTCATGCCTACATACCTAATGAGTTGACAAATAATGCGGAAAATAAGCATTAGGGTACAGTGTATATCATTAGAGTTTTAATGTCCTGTTTATAGTAGTGACAAAGAAAAGAAAGTAAAATGTTGGGTAGACTATTATTTTAATATCACTTGGTTGTTATCTCCTTGCAACCTTTACCATTTGCAGAAATTGTGCGGTCTTCCAATCAATACTTACTTCAGTGCAGTAAAGTTGAGGTGGCTCATTGATCATTGTGAAGCAGTAAGAAAGGCTATTGACGAGGAAAGGTGTTTGTTTGGAACTGTGGACTCGTGGTTGATTTGGGTAAAGTCATTTTACATGCTATTTCAGAGAATTTTCAATACTCAGGACTGAAGTTTTTTGCCTGCCCTTCTCCTCAGCCCTTCCGGCATCCATCTGCAAATCCCACTCAAGTATTCACCCACAATGTGTATGTTGTGGTTCAAAATTTTTCTTGGTTTAAATTTTATTGTCTTTTGTTTCATTATGATACGTTATCATACTCAAAAACAAAAGAAAATAAAATTTGAACCAAGGATAAAATTGAACCACAATGTATATGTTACAGGTCAAATTACATTCAGGTTAAAATTTTTTAACCTAGGTTGATTCTCAATTTCTAAATTGTATCCTAGCCCTAATTGATGGGCTAGGAGACAAAAGAAATTGAGAATCAACCTAGGTTAAGAAATTTTGACCAGTATCATATACATCTGTAGATGTTTACTGCAGTTACATGATAATTTTATGAGGAATTTTCAGTTGAGTTTGCTTTTGTTGTTTTAGTGATGTGAAATTTTGTCTTCTGTTTCAAAGAATTTGACTGGTGGAACAAATGGAGGCTTACATATCACAGACATCACCAATGCATCAAGAACAATGTTCCTCAACCTGGAAACTCAAGCCTGGGATCCATACTTGTGCAAGTAAGATGATATTATTGCAGCAGTTACTGGATGAAAATGGCCCTAAAATAAATGCCGTAGATCAAAGCAAAATTACCACTAAACTCCTCCCTTGATTAAATGCTGCGCCCAATAAGAAGGATGTAACATTTGTTCCAGGATTTTAAGAAAAACTAGTTGTTAGTACAACTTGGTAATCTACACCATTCAGAAAATTCCAATATTCTGTCTCAGCAAAAAGAAAAATAAAAAATGATTTTTCTAAGATGTTCTGTTCAATTAATTTCAGGTTTTTTGATATTCCTATGTCAGTTTTACCAGATGTTAGAAGTTCCTCAGAAATCTATGGCAAACTGGTAAGTGTTGGTTCTTTTTTACCTGTTGTTTTGTGTGTTCTAAGCAAATCAATAATAATTAGAACACACAAAACAAGAGAGTTCAAAATTAAACGTGAATTAAAAAAAATGGATCACAACTTTAAACATCTAACTTACAAAGTGTATTTGGTTAGCCTGCTAATGAATACTTATTTCCACGCATTTACAGGCTAATGTTTGGATAATAGGACAAGAAAATAATGGACATGTCTTTTATGTAAATGTGTGAAATTACATTATTTTGATTTTCTTTTTGTTGGTTTTTAGGCGGAAGGACCCCTCAGTGGAGTGCCAATATCAGGGGTATAAATAAATAAAGTCATTTATTCTATTGTTTTGTCTTTTTGTGAACGATACAATGTACTTATGCAAACAAACATGTGTGGATAGGTCTTAGAGGACAATGAAAGCCAAAATAAAGTGCAACATGAGAATCATACAGAAACAGTTCATCACTGTGTAGATCTCCTAAGGATGATCTGGTCTGGCTAAATGTTGCCCTTCTCTTTCTTGCATAAAAACTCTTTAAAAATGTCTTTGGTTAAGATAGGCAATAAAGAATATAAAGGGTGAAAGACAAAGAGAATGACTAAAATTAGTAAGTTAAATGAAGTAATTTTTTAAAACACAATATTATTGTAAGGCTAGTGGATTGAGGTGTGTGGCATTCAGGTTAGTGCATTGTAAGTTTGTAATCCTTATTGCAGTGTCTTGGAGACCAGCAAGCAGCTTTAGTTGGACAGCTGTGCTTTAACCAGGGGGATGCCAAGAACACGTATGTACAGTAAATGTGCTTTCTGATTTGGTAGTTTATGTTTTACTACGTGAAAATGAAGTTCAGGGGTCAATTTAATAAACTAAAATTAATTGTGTAATTTACAAGTGTAGCCATTGTTTTAGAGTCTAAAAACACTGCTTGTCTAATTATAAATTACACTTGTAAAAGTGTCATTAAATTGACCCCAGGTTAAAATAGTTGCAACCTAGGTTGATTCTCAATTTTTTTGTCTCTTTCCTATTTTGTTCTTGATCATAAACAATAATATCAGGGCTAGGAGACAAAAAAATTGAGAATCAACCTATGATGAAACCATTTTAACCTGAATTTTAGTTGACCTACATGTACAACACTTACATGAGGTCAGTGTTTGATCACTCTTAAACTTTGTGTTGTAAAAATTTTGTGTAAGGCTAATGATTGCTTCACTCTGTAGGTATGGCACTGGATGTTTTCTGTTGTACAACACCGGAAGAGAGGTATTACAAGGACTTACCCGTAAAATGATTTTTTTAAAAAGATTTATGAAAATTTACTGTCTGTTGTCTTTAAAGAGACATATTTAGATTGCCATTAAAATACTTGGCGCTTTAATAAACCAGGTTTTATGAGAAACAAAAGTGTATCCTCAGTGCATTGATCTTAGGTGCTGACTAATCTTTTGTATTACTGAAGGCAGTGGTTTCACAGAATGGTCTGCTAACAACAGTAGCTTACAAACTAGGACCTGACCAGCCAGTGGTGTATGCCTTAGAGGTAAGCTTGGTCAATTATTGATTACAGCATGTGTATAGCATGCAGGACTAGCACTTTTTGGTACTGAGTCAATTTTCACTTCTGATTCCCTTTACTTTACAGGGCTCTGTTGCTATTACTGGAGCTGCTGTGAAATGGCTGAGAGACAATCTTAATCTCTTCAACAAGGCTTCTGAGATAGGTATTTATTTTTTTAATAGCTCTGCTAGTGGCTTTCTACTCTGGCTGAGGTTTTTGAAGCATAATACAAACTCATACATTCCATTTACGTGGTAGTTTATCTAGGATTCAGGGCTGTCACTTAGGGCCAGGGCCAGGATTTCTCCAGGCTTCTATGAGCATGACCTAGTGATTTTGTCACAAATAGTTATGGTGAGTCCTGGGACTCATCTTGTGAAAAATCATAAGTCCCTGTCCAGAACCAATGAGCCCCAGTTATAAAAAAAGGAGTCCTAAATAATAATAATAATTATTGAAAATACTTGGGCCTTTACAGTGTATGTAACCAGACAGTTAATCTGGAGACAGACACCAAAACTCTTTATTACAGTTAGCAGAAATTAAGATATAGCCTTCTACATATTTATAGCACAAAAAAGACTAAAATAAATATGCATCTTTAAACAAAAGCCACAGAAATCACATGAACAGGATATTCTACCAAAAAATCTTCAAATCGGTCAATGGTTCTTTGCTTCCTATGGGAAGCATGCCATGAATAATATTGTTTTGCGTCTTTGAGGATTTTTATGCTTCAGGGATGCAGGTTGCAGAGGTAACAAAATCACTGATGACCCTCAGCTACTTTCATAGGCAACAAAAGAAAATAGAACCAAGAGAGCTTTCCAATTGTTTATTTCCCGTTACACCTTGGTTTGAATTCCATAGCAAAAAGCCTCTGTGTCTGTTGAGTGAATGGTTGATGTTTTGCAGGAAGAATAGCTTTGTCAACATGCAGGCCAAACTGTTATGGAATTACCACACTTAATTATGTGACAAATCTTCATTTTTTTTGACTCACAGAAACTTTGGCAGCCAGTGTAAGCAATTCTGGTGGTGTATACTTTGTACCAGCATTTTCTGGGCTCTATGCACCATACTGGCAAACAGATGCTAGAGGGTTCGTTTATCTTGTTCTCATTTTTATGTGGAGAGTATAAATTATATCAGTTGACATTGAATGGTTGCTGTGACCGACTTTGACTACATTGTATTTACTGTTGTTTTTCATTGGAAGAGTAGAAAAACAGTTGTGGTTACATTTATGTGCACTTTTAGTTTTTTTTGCATTTGAGCTTTGATTATACTAGTATGAGAGGGTAATAGCAACTTCATGTCATAGAGTAGGTATGGGCTGGACCGGTGAGAAAGTGTTCCCTTAGAAAAATGACAGGGTTGTATGTCAGAAGTTTTGAAAACTAATTCCTTTCAGGTACCAGAATCTCATTTTGTGGGTGTGTGTCCAATTCATTTTCACCCCTCAGAGCTACCAAAATCAGTTGAGTTCAAAAAGGTCACTTGGTTTTTCAGGACAGTACCTCAAGAGGCTCCTAAAACTATAACTGTGTTCATTTTAGATTGAAACACCGTAAGTGGATCCAATCCACAAATTTTACCACCGAAAGGCACCATCAGCAACCCCATGAATTTTATGTGGGAGTACCCTATAGGCTTTCATACAGAGGGGTCATAAGGTAGTTGAGTGGATAGCAGCACTGCCACCAAAGTTGATTTTAAGAGCTTGCTTTGCGGATGATACCTTTCTCTTCAGAAAGACATAAAAGAGAAAATGCTGTTATATTTTTTTGTTTAGAGTTATCATAGGACTAACACAGTTTACCAACAAAGCACACATAGCAAGAGCAACTCTTGAAGCCACCTGTTTTCAGACAAGAGAGGTATGAGGAGGTCTTAACCACAGCTAAATGAAGGATATTAATATTTGCAAGATCTAAGCAAAGTACTTCAAAACTAGGGTTGTAATTTTCACTGATGAAAGTTATACACTGTCAATGTACTGAACTTTTTGAATGTTTACTAATCTGAGCATTTAAAAACCGAAACTGCAGAAATATTTATTGTTGTCAACATTGTTCATAATAACATTGATCACAGCCTATTGTAATATCACAACTTACCAGAATGCTGGTTAGAATTTTTGATGAAAGGAGTTTGGGTTGAACAAGTAATACTGCTTATGGTCTTTGGTTGAACAGCTGGTGATGCACATACCCACAGGGTATGAAAGAGCACACAAACAACTTGTTACATGTCTGTGCTCATGTGTTGTAGAACTATTGAGCAAAGTGTATAAAATAGAATAAAACATTGTCTTAAACTGTGTTTTACACCTGATTCATATTTTCTAAGAGGTTTGAAAATACAAGAAATATTAACGTTGATGGCTTGTAACTTTGTAGCTTTTAGATGCCATGAACATGGATTGTGGGATCCCATTAACATCTCTTCAAGTTGATGGTGGAATGACTATAAATAACTTGTTAATGCAGTTACAAGCTGACATTCTTGGAATTTCTGTAGGTATGGACTGATTTCAGAAACCAATCATTTTTACCCAAGTTGATTCATGCCCAGTCAATTTGTACCCACACAAAACCACCACAAATTATGATTTCTTATGTAAATAAAAGAGCTAATGACAATCATGCAGGCAATCACATGAGAGCAGTAGAAATTGAGTCTGTTGTAAACATGGTGGGTATGGCAGATAACATATGAACATTTCGGCCAGTTAAACTGCTCTGTTATTAACTGTATTTCCATTGTTGTTGGTAGTTCGTCCAACAATGCCTGAAACCACTGCTCTTGGTGCCGCAATGGCTGCTGGTATGGCAAAAGGAGTGGATGTGTGGAAAGTAAACCCAGAGGATAAGTCTCAAATCAACACTGATGTGTTTGAACCTGCTGTGGATCCAGCTGGTAAGTTTACCACAACCAACTGTTGGTTTTCACATTACCTCATCAAAATTCAAACTAAAGAAACCATCTATCCTTCCAATTTTTTAACTTTCATGAAGTATTTGAGCAGCTAAAAACTAATAGTTATACAAATTTTTACTTTGAAAGGGTTCTTCATTTTGTGAGTATAGTATATGCTAAGCGTTTTCATGACACGGCTTTTGCATGGTGGCCGAGAGAGCTGTAATGTAAGGTAAAAAAGTGACTGTTGGTTGCCAGCTGCCATGTTGGTGCCCATCCACATGGGCACCGATATGGCATTTCCAAACAAAGCTCTATAAATTTGGGTAAATCAGTCCTTTCTTTGAATGCCTCATATATGAAAAACTGCACTGACTTGAATCTTGACAAGGGCCTTACCTCCTTTCATTTCCCAGATAAATGGTTTTGATTTTTATTTTTGATGGTGTGATAGTGAAAACCAGCAATACCTAGCTTCTACTGCATGTTAATTAGAGGACCAGTGGAAAAGTGGAAATGTTGCTTTGACAGCCTGATCATTATGAGCAGTGTCAAAGCCAGTCAAAACCAGTCAAACCAAAAATCTGGGTATTTCTTGGCATTGTGTTATGGTGTGCATTTTATATGTTATCAGTGTCTTTTCAATTTTTCCTTTTGTATCATTTGGTGATAGCATCATCCAAGTTATCTAGAAATTACTGCTTATTTGGAGCAATTTTGAATTTCTTTCATCCTTCCTTCCTGATTAAGTAGTGCCCCATGTAGCCATCTTTGTCTCAAACTGCATCATTTTCTTGAGCTCCCATAAGAAATTTTCTTTAGTGTTATTACAGATAACTAATTAAATCTATTGTTCTTGAAAAAAGTTAAAATGAATGTAATAATATGCTTTAAATTATTCTGGTACAAGGTTTTTGTCCAGTGAAAATTAAAATTACTCAAATTTCCTGATGGATTGCATCTTAATTTTTTTTACTGACCTCATTAAGGGCTTTACTCAACCAAAACTCTTCTTATTACTCCTGTGTGATTCAATGAACAGAAACGTACACAGGTTTTGATTGTGTGGGTGTCCTGTGCATCTTACATGGACATGTATGTGTTACTGGGTGTATGAAGTTGTTGATTTTATTCCTGTGAATTAGAGCGGGATCGCCATTATGCTAAATGGAAGAAAGCAGTGAAGAGAACAATGAAATGGGAAGTGAATGATGATGAAGATCAAGGTAAAAAGATCTGAAGTAATTCCATTTACCATCACAACTGCATGTTTGTTTTTACATTAGTTTGTCTTCTTCGTTACTGTACCCTGACATGAAATAGACAGCAGACTTTACAAGGTGGCTACTTTGGGTGGCCATTACTTGTGGGTGGATAAAAAAGCCAGTAATTTTAACAGTTGTTTTACACCAATATATGACTTAACAAGCCTTTTCCTTGAATTAACTTAGTACTATTATTAGTTTTGTTACTTTCTTATTTTATAATTTTTTTTCTTTTTGATAGTATTTTAAATTTAAATCTTAATATTATAGACAAAAAAGATTAATGCTTATGGTATCACTGATAATTATTCTTTATCTCACTACATAATAATTGTTACAGGTCAAAGTTAAATTCAGGTTAGAATTGTTTAACCTGTAACGTATTCATACCTACATGTACTGCACTGCTTGAAAGGTCACATAAAATGCTGCACTTTGTTTTGTTTTAAAGTTGCTAATTTTTGGAAGGTGTGAATGTTTCAAATTTTTTGCATGATTTCCACCACAAAAGGAGACAAATATAAGTTGCATGAAATGTACATGGATGTAACAGTACTATATCATATGTGTTTTAGAAACAATTAATTTGCACTGTGCCTTATTTGACCCAATCACAGCACTTGTTTGCATGTTTCTTTAATAATTCAAAGTTGCACAATTCATGTTGTTTTAGGTTGAACATAAAAAGATGTTCACACCAGAGCCGTTTCTTGGCAGGTCAGACAAATTGGCTTGATATTTTTTTGTTGTGTTTAGTGTTTAATTTGCACTCATTTTGCCATCAAAGACGAAGCACCATTTCATGTTGTCCACACGTCATTAACAGCTTTATACTCTGAAATGTTATTTGTTCTTTATTATAATCACATCTGTTCTCTATGTCACCGGAGACAGATTAGAATGATGTTAATGAAAGGTTTTAAGAGATTGTGCCCTGGGGTGGGATTGTGAGGGGGATGCTCATCGGAAAATGAAATCAAACCCCTAAGGGAAACCAATGTGATGTGGCTCAAGCTTAAACTGACCCCTAAGGGAGGCCATACTAAACCAGATGCACGGCTGAGAAGTGTCAACAGTGGAAATAGATTTGTTTCATGCCAAGGATGTCATGTTCTTTTTTAAATGTAAGATTTTTGTGTTGTTAGTCTCACAGCATTATTTGGACATTGATTTCTTCTTAAGCACAGCCCTAAGGAAAACCTGAATGGACAAATATAGTGACTTTCCATCCCAAACACCCTAAGTGGGACCAAAATCTGCAATTTACACGCCAAAGTGAGACGACGAGCATCCCTGTCACTTTTATATGGGAGTCCCTCCGGAGGATTGTGTATGTAGGGGAATAAGGAACTTGAAAGAATGGAAGGGGAGTAGAAGTGGAAGGATAGAAGTTGGAACAGATATTATTCTGGGTACCTTAGTTTAGTATAGCACAAGTGTGACTCATCAATGCATGGTTGCTACAGGATGGGGAATGGTTAGTGAGGGAAAAATAATTTCTGCAAGGTCTGGAAAAATATGGAAATTTTGGGTCTGAAAAATTGAAACGATAAAGCCACTGATGTTTTACCACTGATAGTCTGCAACACATATTTTACTCTTCTTCAGAGTTAGTGGGGAGGGAATGTGTCCTTGTATAGCCTCAACAAGCGAGGGTGTTCCCTTCTTGTACCTTCAGCCACACTCAAGACCATTTTATTGTCTTGTACATTGTGCTCAAGGGACTGCTAATAAAGCTTGGGTTCTATACTGTGGAAGGCTGAAAGAACCATTTCAGGAAACTGTGATCTAAAAAATCTTTTCATTTATGAAAAATGTAGATTGGGTAGAAAGTACAGCTGCAGAGGGTGGTTATTGTTCAGGGAAATTTTATTTTTACTGTGGAATGAAATTATGCAGGAATTTGAAAAATTATTTCTGTTGCAACCGTGATGGTCTGCAACAGGAAACCTTAAGTGTTCTGGGAACGTAACTAGCTCAAAATTCTCTTTCCTGTGTTTCATCTTGTACTTGTATTCAAATTTAAATTCTGCTGCTTTGTCAGTAGCCTGCAAAGCTAGACATATTTTCAATCGCTAGTTCTGTCCACCGGAAATACATCTGGGTGCGCAGACCATTTTGTCAGCTATTGGACTGAAACAGGTTGTTGGTGGGGTAGCAAAGGCATACGGAGCAGCTAGGATGGAGCCTGTAGGCTAGAGAAAATGCAGACATCAACCCAAGAAGGAGAAACGTAACTCTGGGCACTTACCAAAAGTCAGAAGTGGCAAGCAGACTGGTTAATTGAAAAATGAAATTAGCTTTTTTCAAGAGTTTTGCTGTGTATATTATTTAGGAATAGACTGATCTGACTGGACAGTCTTGATTAATAGTGAAATTCTCCTTGTGACTGGTTTGGTTTGGCCAGCTAGTTCTGACTAATGGTAAGCACTGTAAGAGTCTTCTTTCTTCTTCATCTTCTTTCATATTTGGTTCACCACACTTAAGGTCGGTACACACTAGGCGACAAGTTGCAGCAACACGTCGCGGCGACCAATCACTCCATGTGTACAGGTCGGGCGACTAGTTGCAGCAACAAGGTGAGGCGACACGTCGCAGCTACAAATCGCTTCGTGTGTACTGGAGAATTTTTGTGAAAATCTTTGTCTCCGCAACAGAATTTTGTCGCTGCAACAAGTCGCAAAAAATCAAATCAGACTGAATCTGCGCGACTTGTTGTGGCGACAAATTCTGTTGCAGCGACAAAGATTTTCACAAAAATTCTCCAGTATACACGAAGCGATTTGTCGCTGCAATATGTCGCTGCAACTTGTCGTCTAGTGTGTACCGACCTTCAAGAATGAGGGACTGCTTGCAATCTTGGATGCATGAAACTAAATTTACCCCACATCCTTCAATCTCCCCACCCAAATAAAATATTCTTAACCAGTTTTTGTTTTGCCTTTTAGGTTTAACAAATACTCCCTCTGGAATTCTGGGGCCTGCCTTGTTTGTCTTGGGTAGTGTGGCAATCGCCTTGTTAGCAACAAAAATTAGTTAACATAGAAGAAATTAGGGGAAATTATAATATATATACTATTATAAGACAAAGTGATCTTAGGTCAAATTATTGTGGAAATTACATATAAGATTTTGATCAGTGAAATCATAATAATTTTCTTTATTAGGTGTCCTTTAGTAATTATCAGGGTTCGTACAGAGGCTTGAATTCTTGAAAAAGTCTTGAAATTTGCCCGGCAATTTTCCAGACCTGGAAAAAGTCTGGAAAATGAAGACAAAGTCTGGGAAAATGATAAAAAGTCTTGAGTTTTTTTTTCAAAGCTTTTCATTTTGGTCAAATCTTATTCAATCTGGCCCTTTACGCATGTAGCGCATCATGAAAAAAGCTTTCTTTCTGCATTTTTAAAGGTCCCTGTCGACCACCTAGTCTGGAAAAAGAAATTACTGTTTTGGAAAAAGTCTTGAATTTTGGATCCAAAAGTCTGTATGAACCCTGACGAATAGTTCAATTTACGATTAATAATATAAATTTTTTCATTCATGATTTGACCCAAATTTGAGGTAATAATGAGTCAATGTTTTTGTTCTTTTTTTATAAATTATTATTATTATATTTTTTTATAGCAATCCTTTATTTAATATACAGGTCTTGTGTAAACACCAGTGAAATATCAGTTGAGATTTTTTGCAAAAACATGATATCTTCACAAGTGAAAAAATCACCATTGCTATGGTTTCAGAGTAAATTGCACCCTTTGTAGCAAAAAATATATAAAAGGAAAATGGTTTGGTATTTCATTGGTGTTTGTATAATAAATAGAACAGTACACGGTCACTTGGATATAAGAAAAATTGTGTTGAAAAATATGTGAGCTTTTCGTACAAATTTTTCAACACTCAAGGAGGAATTTCTTATATCTGCGTGGCCAAAAAGTGTCCTCTTTTTCAATTAAAGAGCATCTTTAAGTTGGGGTATTGGTAAACAGTCTTTTCTTGTGTGTAGATCATTGCATATAACGCGAATATGGAAAGTGGCGATTTTGAAATAAAAGGTATTTTTTGCATTTCAGACATTGAAATATATCTTGTTTATTGATTCCTATCAATACTCCAGTAGCCTGCGTTGCAGACGTAATTTAGTCTCGATTAGTAATATCTGCAAAGCAGTGCCGATATCTTTGTTCTGGGCCCCCAACGAACTCAAAGAATTACCGGAAGAGCGTTTCGAATTTTCTTTTAACTTCATTGGTAAATCGACCATGGCATTTTTAACAGGCTAATCATGGCGCGTACTCAAATTTTGGTACACAGGCGGGGACCTAGAACAAGGATTTCGCAAACGGACTTAACCAGAGTTTAGTTTCGTCTGCGGCGCGGGCTATAATCCAGGACCCAGTTGTTGGAAGGCCGATTAGCACATAACCCGGGGTCAAATTTAACCCGGGTTCCTTTTTCTTGCGTTCCAAAGCATTTTCTCGGGTAATTTTCTGTTATTTTTAGATCTTCCAACCATCAACTTGTAGACAAAAAGAATTAAAACTGAAATGCTTTTTAAGCTTTCAAATGTGAATTCAAATCTCGCACTAACCCTGGGTTATCTTAACCCACCTTTGAACAACTCGGCCCAGTAGATCACTGGACAGACCGTTTTTAAGAGAAGATTGGGGGTTAGGTTGAGGCACGCGCGGGGTCTCATGGGAAGGGACAAAGGGAAAATAGCATCGCTGACCTAACCCCCAATCTTCTCTCACCCCCAACAACACATAAATAGCGACTGGGTACGAGTCTGGGTAGGATGCCTCTTGGACTTTGCAAAAGCAAAAATTCCTCTCCCTGTGTTAGTTTTTTGCAAGCTAGGATGAAATTTCATGTCGTCAAACTTCATAGGTAACTAGTTTTATTTCGAACTATATCTTCTCTTTAATCAGTGCAACTGCCAATAATAAATTCATTGGGCTTACAGGTCATTTTTGTTTCCTATCTACGCTATTAACTAGTCCATTTGTTATCCATTTTTTAATCTTGAGTGTAGTTTTCTCTTTTAAAGTATGTTATTTGCCAAAACTCAACTTTGCCCCTCCCCCAAAGCAAACTGTGGTGAAACGAGTGACGTTGGGGCTTTATATTATATTAAATTTTAACTTTAGTAAGTCACTTTAGTAATAAAGACAGGTCTCCCACTAACTTTGGAAGTAAGGGATACCCTGCACTGTGGTTGAGTAACCACCTTTTATCACAGAAAAGTAGGCTAAGAACTATCCTTGGATAAACTCTTCGTCTGTCCAAAAGAGCTGCGCTTTTTCTAAGCATTTGAGTGTGAATATTATCTCCCAAAAAGAATTGATATTTTATTAAGAGATATCGGCCGGGTGACTTAATGTAAGTGTTACAGCATCACAGCACTCTGTCGAGTTCATGTGCTACTTCCGATTTAAACTTATCTATGAAAGGAAACTAAAGCCGGAAACGTTAGCGTGATGGCAGCATTCCCATGCCCTTGTTTCTCTTAACGGCTGCTCCTGCCTTTCGATTGTGATTTGCTCTCGTTCCTTTGTTTCTTTCATTGTGCGCTCTTTGTTTCGACTCTGAAGCGCTTACACCCCTGCCACGCCCTCTGGTCCCCCCTTTCTGCCCCTCTTTGTTGGCTTCGTCTTTTTTCGGACCCTGTCTTTCGTGTCCTCTACCACGTTGTCTGCGGTTCACCAAGGATTTATCTACTTGGCTGTCTTGTGATTTCCCTATGCTTTCTTTCTGGGTTGAATCATCTTCATTTTCTCCATCTTCCTCCTCCTCGTCATCGGACGGTTCGGGTGAGCCGCCCAAAACACGAGGAGTAGTAAAGGGTCTGTGAAGGTTAACAAAGGTAATTACTGACGACGAAACCCAACCGCTGGTATATACAAAAAAAAAACATGTTTGAACAACACTCTCAAAGTTTCTCGATTCGAATAATCTGTCCACAGTCTATTATTTTTCCCTAAGATCGTCGGGATCGATGGCTTACCGTTACGGATGGTCATCTTGGTTTCAAATGTACTGAGAGACTATGATCTTACGGAATCTTGGTCTCTCTTATAATCATAGCGAAGACCCTGGTGTGGCGATGTTTACAATCATCCTAGTGATGGTAAAACGTCTGGTAGAAGACCCTGCTAACAACGTACGTATTCCCGTAATAACAAACTCATGCATTTTTCAATCTGTCCCGTGAAACTTAGCCTGCGTGGCGGGCACCAGTTAGTTTTTATAGAGGGCGTGTCCTCGAAATTTCTCCCTTCGCTCTATTAAAACCGGCAGCAGGCTATTGAAACTTTGTTACATACAGTGACGGAGTTTTTCTGTGACTCCAAAACGAGAATAGAACAGAAGCAGCCACAACGCAACAGTTGAATGCGTATGAAAGGCATAGTATCAAGAGAATTCTACCAACTGTTTTGCCTTAACTACGCTAAAATTATAATGGTTCACACGCTGGCGCACAAAATGACCTTTCAACAACACTGAACAGAAAGACGACTGACTTCACTTTCCACGGTATGAGCCACTGAACACAATCAATGGTTTTTGGTCGATTGTTCCCAAATAACACTGTCAAACTTTCCCATCTTTCCGAAACAAAAGATATTTTTTAGGAGTTTTCATGATCTTGTATAACGTAGCTCTCAGGGGATTTTAAGTAAATATAGAAAAACTTTCGTCCGATTTTCGAGGGGCGTTATCCTTGGTGATACTGCCACTTTAAAACGTTTTATGAAAAAAAAAATTGTCAGTAAAGGCCGGCTACTATGACGACGACCCCCAGCTAATTTTATTTGGGAAACAACTATTCAATTCCCCGCCTACTAATTGCACATAACCAGCAACTTGAAATGGATATTTTAAGTCTGTGTCAAAAACACAAGCATTCTCGACCCCAAAGCTCTTCTCTGCTGCACATACACATACAGTGTTTACAGGTAGCCATGTAGGACACCTGGAGAAGGATTATTAAGATCTCTCCTTACAGATAACCCAACCAGCCCAAAAAAGATGGGCCACACTACCGGGGTCAACGACCCTACTCTTTTCGAAAAGTGGTGTGGGTTCTTTTACGTCCCACAAAAACCAGATAAGTGAAAGTGCTGTGAGAGGGGACCTAGGGTTTTTCGTCCTTTAGCGAGAAGACTAGAAAGTCTACCCGTTTGCAGATGTCATAAAAAAGGCAGCCCTTTCTTCTCAGTTATTTAAAGACCCTGGGCCCCGTTTCTCGAAAGTCCCGATAACTTTTCGGGCCCGAAATAAAATATTCAAATCGAATTATAAAGAATGAAAGCGCGGGTCCTGGCTAGCAAACTACTCCATTTTGTTTCATTAACTGATAGTTTTATCACGTTCGATGCAAAAATACTGTAACCTCTATCTTGCATGTAAACAACAACAGCTTTACGGGTCCGTTAATTATCCGGACTTTCGAGAAACGGGCCCCTGGTTGTTGGTCCAGGCGCGGCGCTCTCCCAACCGAGCCAACCAGGCGGCGCATGATTACGGACGGCGGAGTCAAAGCGTGAGCTCTGGGGTCGAGAATGAAACACCAGCAAAACATGAACGTCCATAACCACAGGTAATCCAACCTCAAGTAACATCAATGCTTGGGGCACCTGTGGCTTAACTACCTACCTTCGTATTGTAAGCTCATCTGCTGAATCAGGATCTTGTGCTCCTACATTTTGTGAGTCATAGGTGTCATCATACTCATCATCGTACAAGCTCGCAGTCCAAACATGTCGATTAAACACATCATAAGCTGCGTATCTCTCCTTAACGGATTCTGTTATATCACTCTTGTCAGATAACAGCTTCTTAATGCTACCTACATCACGACGCTTGCCCTTATGGATCTTCGAAAGATTCAACTTGTTCCCCGCAAAAACATCAAAGTCATCTTTGTCATAGACCGAATGCCTTTGCTCCAGTAACGTCTTCACCGGCTGCTTTTTATCTTTCATTGCCTCATCTTTTGACAAGTTTCGGTCCAAGTTTTGAAGGCAAGGTGGCAAATTGTCTTCTAGGATTAAGTTAATAACTTGTTCTACCTCGTAGTTAAGCTCCTCCAAACAGAGAATGATGAAACCGTCACCAAGCCCCGGCAGCAGATCCTGTACATGACTCACCAAAGAAAATAACTCCGCCTCGTTAACAGTCTTGGAAACTGCTCCATCGTTCTGTAAATTAAGAATACAGTTTTTCTATGTCTTTCGCCAAGAACTGTGTGTATACAAACTATGACTAACGTCAAACCGACTGTGGCTATACGATCTTATGATGGTTATTCACGTATAGTGGACAGGTGGATGGCATGGAAAACGAAAATACCACATATTCCTATCTCTTAGACTTTGTACTTACCCTCGTTTTAAAAAAGAGGCTAATAGTAAGTGGGAAATGACCTATTGTTTTTATGTCAGATAAAAAACGGGAACTTAAAAACGGTATTTTCTGGTGTCATAAATTTTACCAGACATAACATTCGGAATTCAAACTTAGTCAGGAAGGTATCGATTTCAGTCTGATTTCGCCCAAAAAGAACATCCTTTTTTATCACTCACTCTTTGATCGATGACTTCTTTAACTTCTCTTACATCTTCTTCTATCCAGCTCTCAAACTGGCCATTAACAGCAACCACGGTGTTTTCAGAACCAAAGGCTGCAGTTGATGAGTGAGGTTTTGAGGAATTTTCTTTTCTTTTTACGTGGTTTGGAAATGCTCTTCTCGCACTTTCAACAGCAGCCATTATATATTCCACTCTAGTCTCGTCCGTGCTCACTGAACACCGCTGAATTCTGTTTAAATCTTCTTTGATTACAAATCTGGAGTCATAACTGCTTAGAAATCTGAACAAAAGGCAGAAACACGGGATTACTAAATCAGTTCAATCTATTGACATATATGAAAACACTGCAAGTTTCCGCTAGATTAGTTCTCCTTTCCTTCTGGAAATCCACAGATATTGAAAGTCCCTTAACTGTTGACAGGTTTTAGAATATCTAATGCCGTACAGTTTTGCACTTTTCAGCCTTTTGATGGTAAAGAAACTAATTATCTCAACCCTCCAAGTTAAAGTTTTCGGCTTGGTCGCCAAATGGTTTAGGGAGACTTTCTTACAAGTCAAGTCGCCAGCTTCAAAATTTTAGGCGCCATGACAACTAAAATGGTCGCAACTTTAAGGGTTGTATCTCGGTGAATGGCGTAACGCAATATATTTTTTAAAATTACAGTAAATATTGGACGTGCTACATGGTCGTATATATCTTTAAAGGGATATCCTGGACCCACTAGATGTTTTCCGTGGTCCCATAAACGCGACAAAAATAAGCGTAAAATAACAGCCATAGTAGCTCTCCCTAAGTCTCCCTTCTACAATTTTAACCAAAGACAGGAAATACAACACCCCCACTTATCATTATTTACCTTTTCTCGGAAAGAATTGATGTAAGAATTTGCAAAAAATTCTCTACACAACTTTGAACTTGGTCTTCGCTGCCGCCGCTTTGTTCATGAAAAAAAGTAAAATGTTGCGGTCAGTATTTTGAGCTAGAATAGATAAGAGACGTCTATAATAATACGGCTCAACTATTTCCATTTGAAACTAAATTTTCTTTGTCTCAGAATACCGAGCCAGTTTACCCACATGACCTTGCTTCTAGACAAAACAAAAACTAAAATCTCAAGATCATGGGTACCCCACAAGGTACAGTGTAATCCACTGTTCAACTACTAAAGGTTGCATGGCTGCGGCTACTAGACTAAATAAGGGTCAGTCGCTTAATAAAGGTAAAAATTGCAGTATCCTACGTGTAGAAGGATCCCCTCCCTTCCGTTTTCTCCATGAAGGGGGGGTGAGGGTTGGGGGTTGGGGAGGGTTGATTACATGTACACAAAGGCTAAATTTGCAGTGATTGAAAAGAGGGAAAAATGGTTGTTATACTCCACTCATTATGAGGCTGACAGGACTCGCAGTTCAGATGTCTTGCAGATTTTACGGTTAAAATTTGATCATTATCGGCAAACCATCAAATAAGCCGTTTATATTTAAAACGTTCTGGCGGACATACCTTCTTTCCAGTGGTTCGATGCAGCAAGTGTGAAGAATTACACGGCAAACCTTAATGAGAGCCAACTTAACATGCTTCCACTTTTCCTTTAAATTCTGTGATTTAATGTCAATTAAACAATTTCTAAAATGTGGAACAAGCAATTCATAGAAGCCAGCCACTCTTTGAACAAACTCACGCCTGACAAATGAGTCACAGACCACGGGATATGTTCTCAGGAAGGCCAGCAGTGTTTCTGTTGTATCATTTAAGTAAAGCACAATATCCTCTAATTGTCGAACAGACAATGATGCACTTGGTCCATTCCTCACATCACTAAGTTTCTGAGGCTGGTCAGTTTCTGCATCCAGTTTGTATTTAATTCCACACTTCGACAATATATCATCTAATGTTTCATAAATTGTTGGGATTGTTGCATCAAGGTCACTGTGATACCTAGCAAAAGAAAAGCAAAAATGTAAAATGTTGAATGCGAGTATGTAATCCTAATACAAAAATTGTCCTCATTTGTATGCACATTTTCTTCCATTCACTTGTTTAAGAATAACTCAAATTATCAAGGAATTACGCGTAAGTCGTAATAAAAAGAACAATATTTTTCATTTCTCAAGCATGATATTATGTTTGTGCCAGATTGGTATGGGATTTTTAACAGCTCATTTTGGGATGGCTGATTGAAATCATCATCGTCATCATCCTTTGACCACTGGAGTGGACGGGATATTCACGGAGACCTCCTCCCAAATACCACGATTTACCATAGCTTTACTTAGGTCCCTCCATCATATCGCATTGAAATAAAAGATGACAAAAAAGCCTTTACAATCAACATTAAATAAAGTAATCATGTTTGTTTTCTCATCATTATTACAGTTTTGCCGACTGTTAGTCAGCATGATCACTGATTGCCAGTGGAATCGGTTTTAAGGAGTTTAATTCAGTTGTGCATTATGACTGTGCCATCACTGTATTAACAGCAGAGACCAGGGGCCCAGAAAACTTGACCATACCATTCTACAATCTGCTGTTAATGACATGCAACCCTCATGAGCAGTAGGGGTAGATGCCCAACAGCATCCAAGGTAGAGATCAACAGTGACGGATCAAGACCTTCAGATAAGGGCGAGCCTGGTCATCCAGACCCTGAGAAAAAAAGCGGGGGGGGGGGGAATCTCAGAAAAATTTTTTCAGCCCTTTGGGCCCCAGTTTGGTCTAAAAATAAGGGGGGGGGGGAGGTCCCCCTGGAACCCTCCCATGGATCTACCACTGATCAAGGTGGTTGAAAGATGGTAAAACTAAACAAGACAATCTCTAGCGACATACATAATGTATCAATGAAGAAACAAACATCAAGTTCATAAAGTCTTTCTAATGAACTTCTTCATTGAGTAAAGGCTTCTTACTTTGGTTGTTTGGAGAAGATATTGTCCAGCATTTTCCGTAAAAGTGGTGTGTTAGCACTATTCTTACCCCCATAAAGGGTACATATATCCATTATCTTCGGAATATCAAAAAGAAAGTTCTCATAAAGAATGTCACCAAATGTGTTTGCTGTAATGAAGTCCTCCTGCAAGGTAAATGAGGTGTAAGAGACATTTTACAGTAACTGAGTTCAGACCTAGGGGTGTAACGATTCATATTCCTTGCGATTCAATTCGATTTCGATTATCGCCTTTCGATTTTAATTATTTTGATTCGATTATGTAAATGTTTCTTAATTCTTATAACACAACAAGTAATGTAAACAACATGCAACCCTAAACTCTCAATTTGAGAATAGAAAAAGGGACAGGAGGATCGACAGTTGCTTGTTCATTTATTGCCATGTTTGAGAACCTGACAAAGAGTGTGTCACACATTGTTTGCCTTGTTTGGAAATTCTCAAGGGGTGGTTGAAAGACAGCATTTTTACCAGGCAACACAAAATGGCACACGAACTGCTGGTCAATCAAAAACGCACATTTTAAAGAGTTCTGGTTTCTGATTTTACAATAATTATAATAACTTGCTGAGGGCACCCTGGAAAAGGCGTGCAAAAATCAAACCAAAATCGAAACATGGAACCAAAGGATCGTGAATCGAACCGAACGGCCATAATTTTTTATCGTGAATAATCGAGAATTCGATTAATTGTTACACCACTATTCAGACCATAGAACTGACATGATGGTGTTGAAAATGGATGTCAAAAACTGTCAAGAAGTCATTGTAAAAAAACGGTCACCCAACTAGTTTAGTTTTTTAGTTATTTCGTGTGTCCCACTACTGTATGTACTGTCTATTTATTTATTTATAAATATTACATTCTTGTAAATTCTTTTAGTTGTCTACAGTAGTAGAGATAAACTGTTGTTGTTGTTGTTGTTAATTTTTCATGGTCTGTACTCGACCATAGACATGATGTTAGAATGTTCAAAACTTTGCAGTGAAACCGCTTTAGTTTCTAACATCTAGATCTCACTTCAGTCTATGCTCAATGACAATAAGAGTACAGACCATGGGAAATTGACATTGATTTGAAAAATTACTACCATCATTCCTTAACCATGTTGAATTGCGGGAGAAAAGTCGGGTAGAGTATTCAAATTCAAACTACTATATCCCCGACAAATTAAAAAGTCAAAATTAATACCACTCGTGCAGTAGCACAAGGAGGTATGCAGTACTGTTACAACACTTTGGGTAGGTTATTTAAACAAAGTCGAACTTAGGCTGCGGTTTTCCAGTCTACGCTATATATGGGTAGAGTGCTTTTCCAGTCTACGCTATATGCCTTATTAAAATGTTCACAAAAAATGGTTCTTAGATAAAAGCATTGGTCAAAGAAAAAAATAGCTTAGAATGTGGATTTGTGAAACATGGACTAAACTCTGTGTAAATAGCTGGCCCTTTGGGTTGTATGTTGTATGTAAACAAACAGGGAAGAAAAAATTATTGTCTTTTGATTCAAGGGCTAAGTCTCCTGCCATAACTTTTTTATTATGAGGGGATTATGAGAAAAATATCCTTACCTTGGACTCCTTATGAGTTGACATCCTAACATATGTCATGAAAACTCTTTTGTGTACATTCTCATGAAGAAAAGCTAATTCTGGTGAAAGAACTGATGCATCAAAGTTCCTAACGAGGAGAAGAACTTGTTAAAGCAAACTGTTTGAAATCAAATCCATGTACATAAAACAATAATGGATTGGTTTCGCAAACTTTGGACAAGTACACAAGACTTAATTTCAAACTTTCTACGTGATAAAACAATGTTTGGATCACCACATAACAAATATGTTAAGTTTCCTTAACACAACTACAGTAAAAACCCGCAAGTAAGAACATACATTTTCTGGAGTTAGCCTAAACAGGTTCTTATTTAAATGGTAGTTAACATAATTTTAGGCTATTTAGGTTCTTAAGTAGGTTCTTATTTCTGTAAAAACAAACAAAACAAAACAAAAGAAAACAAGCTACAAAACAAGATGGTAATCAGCCAATTTTTCAATCTCAAAATGTGATACAACAATATTAACCTCTTGCACTTTATTTTTTTTACTACATCAATAAACTAGCCCTTTTATTTGCACAGCAATGCCAAGCTCTTAATTCTCCAAACAGGATTCTTGCACAGCTTTAATTTGCCGTTGCATTTCACTAATATGATTTTTCATTTTCTAGGCTAAACAGGTTCTTCTTTATAGGTGGTATAAATGGCAAATTTTAGGCTAACAGGTTCTTAATTTTCAGGTTCTTACTCGCGGGTTTTTACTGTACAACAGAAACTGTTCAGTGAAAAAGGTCTTTTCAGTACCTTGGTGCAAATTGTAGGTAAGAATCCAGAAACTGCTGCAATGTTTCATCAAATATTACCTTCAAGAGAATGTAGAAATGTGCAATATCATGCAGGTTTCCTTTACACTTCACATAATAAAAATTTGGCAAAAAACAAATGGAGAGGAGGAGGAGGATAAAAATACAATAAAGATTTACCCTGGCCTAAAAGCCAAGCCTCCATTTTTTATGATTAAAAATAATAAAAGCAATTAACTTTGTTATAATAAACTGTAAAACACTAAAAAGAAATCTTCAAATCACTACTCGGTTACAACTTCTAGGGTCAATATTATTTTTTCTGACAAAAGGAAGATGTAAAAGAAGCTGACTTTTGTGACTGCCATGAGCTTACAAAGCTTATCACGTTATCTTGTCAAGCAGCATGGATGGAATTGTGTGGCCTGAGTTTATTTGAATGTGGGGGACAACACCACATGTTGGTTATGCTTGTACGTTGCTAGTCTTGCCCTTGCTCTCAGAGGCTTTTATCTGGTTATTTGCATTCCCCCAATACCAAGACTTTCAGACATCAAAATATTAGATCGGGTATATGGATGGTAAAATAGACGAAATAGCTGAGGTTCTAACTGACTGAATGGAAGAAATGCAAGAACATGCAAAACACAGACGATCGGTCAAAGGATGTTATCTGCTTTTTTAGGATTATCTGTATGGAAAACATCTGTTTTTATCCTGAAACCATGTAAAGAAATAGGACAAAGTTTGAAAGAAAGTATACAAGAAGGTAAGATTGTTAGGAACTTAGAAATACTTTGAATGAACAATAAAACAATTATTATTGAAATCAGCTTTCGTATGATGTGAAGAATTATGCAGATCTCAGAAGATGTTATCCATCTTGGCCAAACATCCTCCTCGCTCTGCATAATTCTTCACGTCCTACTCAGCCTGATTCAATAATTGGTTAATTTTTTACCTGGCACCAGAATCTTGTATGTGGGAGGCTCAAAAGCCATTTCAAGTCGTCATCAATAAGTGAAATCCTTTCACTCCACTCTTCAATGGTACCATGATCCAGGACAGACTCAGACACTGGGGGAGGGGTGTACGGAACAAATTGTACATCCTCAGCCCACACAGGATCCTAACATTTAAAAAGAAAAAAAGGGAATGAATCAATCAGTAATGCTTGAATTTATGACTAAAATGGTAACAGTTTCATCTGGCAAGATAGAAATGGCAGGTGATTTAAGTGCATAGTTACAGGCAGCGAGTGTTATTATGTAATGAGCATTCACATTCAAGACTGTTCAGAAGTCATTAAAATTAAGATAAAACTCTTTACAGACAAATAATGGCAAGTTTATATTTCTCTGAACAGCACCCCCTGATTGAAGAAGGACCATTTAAGTGTTGCAAAGATTTTTGGGCTAAACAGCTTGTAATGAGTACTATACACAACCTAATAAACCTGCCTTTAATCATAATACTAACCAGCTCTGGAATTTCTTCAAGAACATTTGTCACAGGATTTGTTGTTGTCTTAACACGCAAGTCCAAAGCAACAACATCTTCATTTCCTTTGTCCTTCTACAAAGCAAATCAATTTTCAATTTAGATCATACATCATTTACTTACCTAGGCCTATTACTTTTCGCAAGGATGCCACAAGTTGATAATTTTGATGAATAAAATTAATTTTTAATTAACAGAATCAAATAACGGGTTTAGGTGATTATTGCTGCTGATTGTCTTAGCTGTTTTTAATAAAATTACTTACCGGTAGTTTGTTTTTAGAATAAAGTTCTACCAATTTGAAAAAAAAATTCAATTATGCCATGCTTACACACATTATTTTAACTCTAGTAATTAATAAATTGATATTCCCAGCCCAAACCTTGACAGTATTGATAATTGACTACTTTGACTAAAGAGATGGCAATTATTATCAGGTGCAGTGTATTATAGAGTAACATTAAGAAGTTGTTTATGTTCTTAGTGATTGATTTCTTATGCTTTGAATTGTTATAACAACTTTTCATATTTTCTAAGAAAGCAATGACAGATAGAAGGCTTTGATAGTTGTATAACCGCAAAGTTGAAATGCTATCATTTTTTAGCACCAGGAAAAAATTTTGAAATTCCATTTTTCGCCATCAGTTAGTAGCAAATATAAATAAAAAAGCAACTAGATTCTACAGCTTGAGAATATGCCTTACATGATATAAGCTTAAAGTGAAATTCTAAAGAAAAATTAAGCTTAAATGTTCCATTTTCTTGGCGTACGGAGATTTTAATCTTAAAAGTTTATTAATCGATCAACCAAAATACATGTTTTATTACAATACGTTTTTGTTTTGTGTTTCAAAACATAAAACGATATTAAAATTTTAGATGACAATGAAATAGATGAAACCGCTCATTTAGTTTAACACTTTAATCGTGCAGTTTAATATGTGCACAGGTTCAGCGCTGGTCAGGATTCATTCGATTCAACGTGTCGAAGACTTGATGCCGGCGCTTCATGCTACAACCTTAAAATACCAGCTGAATGAACACTACAGTTATTCATCAATGCTTCAAGGCCTTAACGCTTACCTTTTTCTTGGACATTTTCCCGTCAAGAAAAAACTAAAAATATCAATAACTTTTTGCCCAGTTGATTCCGTCCGCCATGCTAGAATCCACAATTTGTGTTGTCAGCAGTTTTCCATCAGGGGGTTGGTCAAATTGGCGTACACAACAATGCACGGACCCCCCTCTTGAAATTCCGGTCTCACATGTGTTCCTTTCTCTTCCATCTTGTCGTGACTCGAGATCATGGTAAGTTGAAGTGTGTCTTCAATTTACGTTTCTTTTTACAGATTTTGGGGGCAATAAATGACAGTAAATTGATGGTCATATATTACCAAAGGATTCCTAAACCAACTACACCGTTCAGAAACATATTTCAAAGCAAATAATCTAGTTTTACGAGAAATTACAACGAGAAGTTTAGTTTTGAGGTATTAGACTTGAATGTTTTGGTTCAAGTTATTTTCTCACCAAATATATTTGTTACTTGAACTCCACTCATCAAAGCCTTCAGGTTAATTTAAGAAACTCAAGGAGACGTAATTCCACTTTATTGTAACCACCAGCGCTTAATACAGGCATCATCTGTAGACGTTAATATGTAGTCTTCTGATCATCTGATATCTTATGGGCTCAATTCTAACTCTGTAAATATTCAAATTATCCATACTCCAAGGAGTAAAATCCCCAAGTTGGTTCTGTGGAAATTATGCTCATTTTCAAAGCTTTCAACTGAATGATTGCCAGTTTGGTTATTTGAAGTTTCTTGCTCTGACTGTTATCGTTTTCTTAATAAAACGATAATTATGACTTAAAACACATGTTGTGCGACAGTGATGCGTAAGTGAGGATTTGGTATAAATGTGGTACTACCCAATACATTTATTATGCATTTATGTTTTCACTCCATTCATTGCGGGGGACAGAGGAGCCTGCAATCCTAATCTCCAGGGCCCGGTTGTTCAAACGTTGGATAGCACTATCCACCGGGTAAATCATTGTCCAGCATATAAGTATTAGGGAAATCAATTACGCTATCCAGTGGGTAGTGATTTCTCCAGTGGATAGTGCCATCCATCTTTCGAACAACTGGGCCCTGCAGGTTGCTATTGCACATGCTTGATATGTATGTAGCCAGTATTTGTTTCAACTTCCACTAAGAATGAACCCAATGCATGGAATGCAATCTGATCACATGCATTACTACCTTCTATCATTTTTATTCTAATCATGCGTGTTTTGGCCTTCTGTCATGTAAAACTTGCAGAAAGCACTGGCATTGGAGTGAGAGCATTTTGACCTTCAATCAGAATCCTGAAACTCGGCACTTCACTCCATGGGAGTAGCCTTTGGTTATTACTAGAGCAGTCATTTCCCAATAATTCGAACCGTCTAGGTAATTGAAGAAAAGTTTGAGTTAGTGGAAGTTCGAGTTATTGGAAGTTCGAAACAAATAAGCAGAAAAAGGGGAATAGGTGTGGGGAATGAATGCAAGTAACATGCACACTGCAAGTTCAGTAAATACACTGTGCTGGACAATAGTCAAAGGCTACATGGTGTCTAAAATGATTTTAATGTTTCGGAGTACAGTACAGTTCAGGTGCTTTAAGCATGGTTAGAGGGTAAATTTGTATAGTTATGATCTGAAGGGAAACAAAAATTACTTTGAGTTAGCAGGAGGTTCGAGTGATGGAGCATTCGAGTTAACAAGAGTAAAATTATAGTAAATGTATGAAGGAAATCCAGGGGAAATAGATTTTGGTTCGAGTTAGTGCAAGGTTCGAGTTAGCAAAGGTTTGAGTTATTGGATTCTACCATATTAACCATTTATATGAAATAGTATGATAACAAATTGTGTGGCCGTTCAGAAATCCTACCAAGTATTTATCCTAAGGCAATCAACTTCAGATGATGCTGATGACAGATGTTGATCTAGAACTTTGCATTGCTCAGTTCGGGTACTCTTAAGCGACGGTATGCGGTGGGATTGGGCAAAATCAAGGATGATGTTCATGCTTAACTCTTAACAAATAAGACTGGGTCTATTTATTGGCATCAATATTAATTTTTTTTCCTTACAATCAACTCTTGCCTCGCGGACACCCCACTATAACGAGCACCCCGATAATACGGACAGCGGCTAAATCCCAGGCAAAAATAAATTTCCGATGTTTAACCCAAATAAACAATCTCCTGTTATTAGGCACTCTCGCTAAGGCAGACACTAACTCTAGGTCCCAACAGTGTTCGCTTTAAAGGGAGTTGACTGTAATTTATTAAAACAAAGGCAAAGTAATAATTTCCTGTAGTGGTAGTAGTAGTAGTAGCAGTAGTGGTCAACGGACATCATCATGGAACAGTTTAATGAGTTCCTTTGTGGGCACTAGAATTTGATTAACAATATTTTTTCTCTTACAACAGCCGCCCAAGAAGGATACAAAGCAGTCATCAAAACCAAAGGACAAGCCATCCAGCTCCGGCGGAAAGGCTAAGAAGAAGGTCAAGTTTGTTCCTTTCCGCTGTAATTTCCATCTTAATTCAGTGCTGTGCTACAGTACTACCTTGTGGTCCCAGTAATACACTTATTTTCTTTTGCAACCTGGAAACCTTATTTTATTTTATTTTATTATGATTATTTTTCGTAAAACATATCTCAAGTATCTTGGATATTATACCTTATTCTCACTTAATTTTGTGAGTATTAAATTTAGCGAGTTTTGTGATTTGGGAAAAATTGCAAAATTAAATACTCACAAAATCTAAAAATCCATATAAATCCCTAAAAATCGCAAAAATTAAATACTCGCGAAATGAAACGAGAAACAGGTAGGTTCGAAGCCTTGTGCTCAGTCAATTTTTTTTTTTGAAGCACAGCGTTGTTGTCAAGTTTTAAAGATTGCCATTTATTATATCTTGGCCTTCTTTAGTGTGACTTTTATTCATTGGTCTGTTGGGGCTTTAAAACAAGCTTTTGTGAATTATTATTTTCCCAGGATAATTAACTCTTATGTAATCTAATTTTCTTGTAAAGAGGGTCAAATTTTCGATGAAAATTAATCCCAAGGTTGTTTAAGCCTCTTGTACAACTGACTTGTTGTTTCTGTATTTTCTTCAACTCAACAGAAGTGGTCCAAGGGAAAAGTCAGGGACAAGCTTAACAACTTGGTTCTCTTTGATAAAGCCACCTATGACAAGCTGTACAAGGAGGTTCCCAGCTATCGACTTATCACTCCTTCTGTAGTCTCTGAAAGGCTAAAGATCCGAGGCTCTCTGGCCCGTCGTGGACTAGAGGAACTACTCTCCAAGGGACTCATCAGAGAAGTTTCCAGACACCACTCCCAGTTAATTTACACCCGTGCAACAAAGGGCAGCGAGGGACAGGAAGCTCCTCAGTGATATGTGAATAATGTTGAGAAAATAAACAATATTTCATATTGAATAATTTGTCTGATATGTTTGTAAATAATATTATTCTGCATGTACTGGTTGCCTGTGCCACAGACGAAACTTAAATCTGGTGAAGTCTGTCTGTGAAACAGCGCTGAAATCCTTGGCCATGATTGGCCAGTTGAAAAAGCCATAACTCATTTGCCAATGAGGATGAAAGGAAATGCGAAACGCACTTCCGGTAATTCATTGAGTCCTTTTGGGTGGCCAGAACAAGGATTTCAACACTGCTTAGCAGACGTCACTGAGGTTAAATTACATCTGCAATGCAGGCTACTACACAGATGATTGGGTGATATGTCTGTGTGACAAGACAAGGTCATACACAGCACAAAAATTTGGTTTATCAACTGAATCAGTTTAGTCAATTTACCATGGTAGAAAGATTGAAAAAAAAGTCATCAGCTTTTCAATGTTTTCGACTAAATCAACTAAGTAACTAAGACCCAATTTTTTGTTACACTCCCCCACTGATGTAGCACCATAGTTTCTTTAGAAACTAACCCCTTTCTTCATCTAGGTCATAGACAGGCACATTCCTGGGTCAAGAGCCTGTTAATCAAAATCCCTGCTAACTTTTCAGGCGCGGAAAGTTGTTTTAAGTTTGCTGTGTTTACATTCAAGATCAAAGTTTTAATGGTTTTGAAAATGACACAATGAAATTATCAGTTAACAAAACAATTTTGACTGGTCTGTGAGCTAAAAACCGTGATATTATTCAACAGGTTTTGATTTTAAAATTTTCCTTCAGGCCTGTAAAGTTGTCAGCACTTTCGAGAAACAGTCTGATGCTGTCTTTCTCTCCCCTAGAGGATCTCTCTCTTTCTCCCTGGAATGGAAATTGGAGAGACCCTGAAAACCTTGTTGTGTCATAGCAAGACCAGGAAGCCAAGAAAAAAATAATAGACCTTGGCATATTTTCCCAGGACATCTGGATATCGATTTACGGTTGGAATGTCTCTACAATGGCCACATTGGGCAGAGAAGAAAGTGGCCGTTGTAGAGAGGTTTTAAACAAGAGTCAATGTATGGATTTTTTTCCGCCGGGATGAAAAAGGTGGCTGTTAAGGGAGGTCTGACTTTAGCAAGATCAAGGAGGTCTAAACCCTGAGAGATAAAAGCACGATAAAAATGAGAAGTCCAGTGGAAATCCTTTCTTTGTACAAGCAAAGGGCACTTGCCAAGACACTTAAAATTGAATTATATTTGGTACTTTCGATAATTTGGTCTATAATAATATTGAAATTAGAATTCAGACCTCTGAGATGGTTGATGTGTTGTCTGGAATAGGATCAGATAGAAATAGACTGCGAGCAGTCTCTCTTTTGCTTGAAAATTAATATAAGCGTGTGCCACAATGCAGGTATGCGAGCTGCAAGCTGTACAAGCACCTGCATAACTCGCGACCCGTGGCCTCGCCGCTGGTACACTTCTTTATTGCGAGTACTTTCACTGGTTGTCGAGTGAAAGAGAGTGCTTACAGTCTAGATGGAAATGGTTACAGTGAAGGGTCTCAAAAGTACCACCACCCTCATTATTTTGTAAATGCCCCAACCCCCCTCCCCCCCACATGGAAACAAGATTGAGAATGCAGAAAACTTACACACTCCATTCTAAGACAGACTAGATATAACTTTTATTGTTTTCGGTGAGGTTTGTATTTGAAAAATTTTAAAAATAGTGACAAGATTATCATTACCACTTTACAAGAAAAACATCTCACTTCACTGAGAAATAATAATTATTGTATTGGTATTTCAATTCAAACTACAAGAATATTTACCAATAGCACTGGTTGCTTTTACAACTATCTCGAGTACAGTTGTAAAATCTGACATTCTTTCTACAAAAGACGGTTTTGTCATACTTAAGTTGAAGGCCAAGAAAGCAAAAATTTTAAAACTCTACCATGAACTAGTTCGAACCAAATTGATCAATCAAGCAGGTACCAAGTGCAAGAAAACAGGTGCGTCATTTTTGGATTAACTTCTGGTTGCCTGGGGTAGTAACATGACGCTACTTTTCTAATTTACCAAAAAGCAAATTCAAATCAACAGTGGAATTCCGCCTGCGCGTCTTTCGCCGCATTGAATGCTATATTTCCGCACTTGACAGAGACGGTACATTTTATTTCGCGGAGTATCGATTGCTTCAAGGTGGGTTGCTTATTTTACATCACAAGATGCAGGTCATCAGCTCTGAGCAGCACGCGTTTCCGCGCGAGTTCCTTGAGAAGGTTGGAAACGCTTACTAAGCAGGCTAAGGTCGTCTGTTTAAATTTAACCGCCTTTGGCACCGGTTGCGCGGGTTTCAACGCCATCGGTAAAGGTTAAACGCTTCTCAAACTTGGTACCGTTGCGCGTTTCCTGACAGCGTTTTGGTATGGCGTATAATGCGATCACCGAACGACTCAATATAACAAACTGAAAAAACCTTAGCAATAAAACACCACAATGCAAAGCTCCCACTATAGTTTTTACAACGCCAAGAAACAACCGTTCCCTGCGCCGGACTTGGGTCCACAGCCCGACTGACTAGTGATCCAATTGGCTGTAGCTCGTGACCGACCACCCGCAAATGGCCCATTGGTCAGCTACGTGCTCACTTTGGTCTTGTAAAGTCCCTCCAAACGTTTTTGGCTAGTTCTCTGAAAATTACGAAGTGGGATGAAGCAAAATAAGCGCGACAAAAATTTTTGAAGGAGTATTCTTTGAACCTTCGGTCGTACCAATTTTTTAATTTATCCCTCTATCCCGAGCTGGAAAATCCGAGGATCGTTACAAGGTAACCTAACAACCTCATTTTGATTGAAAAATAATAGTATTTTCAGGTTTTACGGGATTCATCAACAAATTCAACCTATTAAAAGCAACCTAAAACAGGTTTAACACAAGGCCGGGGGGAAATTGTAATTATAACCACCATCAACTGATTTAGGACGACAGACCACTCCGAGTAGATTTTAACACGTTCTTGGAATATCATGACATCCGCATTTGATAATACCTGTAGAATTTTCAGTTCGAATGAAACTGAATAAACGAGGAAGCTATTTCACAATACAGACGGTACAAACTAGTTTATAAAAAATTAAAAATTTTAGTATCCTTTTCAGAATTGTTTAAACATTTTTATAGACGCGCTCAACAAAGTCTACAAAAAAGATACGATCGCAGAAAAACTGTAAGTATTGTGCTGTTGCAAAAGAAAAAAAAAGAATTTCTTTCGAATTTATTTTATAAGCAAAAACTTGTCAAAAATTATTTCTTTGCAAGGCGTAAAGCAAGCCTCGGACCTTCCACGGAACTCGTGGATCCATGCAGAAACAACATACAATAATAAATTTGTGTCAGAATTAGCCGTAAAAAGTCCTGCCTAGGACTCTTAACGGGATATCTACAAACCCTAAAACCTCAATTTTGTTCCTTTTCTACAAACATAACCACTTTTTACACGTAAGGTAACAATCACTAGTACTCTTATTCAGACAATTAAAGGAAGCTGGTGATGACGAGCTCCTTTTCATTAATTTTAAATAAAACTGGCTCTTAGATATTGGAAGTTACGGCTATGTTGCCAGATAGCTTTGATCGGTACAATTTCTGATTTACAGCAACCGCGTCGGTTTTCTGCTGCTATACCCCTCCATCTGCATGTTCCAATAATGATTCTACAGTCTGGCAAACTCTAAGCGGACTTTTCTCCTCCAGAATGTCGGATGGTGTACAGAGCTTATCCTAACAAAGAAAACAAAGACAGGATCACCTTATGTAAGAAATTTTAAATAGCTTCGGTGACGGAACATCTTGGGAAATTTCCGACAACATTCGGAAATTTTCGGGAGTCGCTCGGACGTTGTCGGAAATCCCGTTCATGACAAAACGAAAATCTCACGCATTTGATTCAAATAAGGGTTAGCAGAAAATACTTCTCACATTGGCTGAATACGTGCAATGGAGCGAGGGGAACTAAAACATTTATCTGAATAGTTTTTACCCGGTGAATTTATTGATAAGTTTTTAAAATGAAATGCAAACGAGTTCCCATAAGTCTCACGAATCTAGTGCAAATTGAAGAAGGGATGATGTTGGCTCTACTACACGAGCTGCTTATGCCATTAAACCGTAGCGACAGTTCCATTCAGAACAGCACTAACTTGCAAAGAAATAAGTAGTCTAGTGTTCCAACACATCTTAGCCTGCAAAACGTGCACTTTCTTGGGGCGCGCAGATTCTTAAGTTAGCGGCTCCTCCAAAAACCACAAGGAGTAATGGAGACAAAATAGAGAGACAGAAGTATTTTGGGGATCAATTTAAGACTGCCTACCTACCCCTCCCTAAGTCAGCATTAACACTTACTTCTCACTTAGGGCAAAATGTTGGGTTAGGGGAGGGGTAGGTAAATTGATCCGTATTTTCTTCCTCCACCCCTCTCCCCTCAATTCGCTCTGTCATCCTTATAAGGTCTACCACGCGGATTGCTATTTTCAACTCCCCTAAATTTCCTCACGTTTTCATAATCAAAAGATGCCGACAACACTGAGCGCTGACCTGCATTACAGGCTAACTGAACCCGTTGTATCTTAAAAACTTGCTTTCTATACACTATCAAAAGACATTTTTGTTTACCTTGGTAACTCCAAGCTTTCTGCAAGCTTCAAGAAAATAATCCACATTTTTCTGACATTTAGGCATTGTTAGTTTAGGCTGCAAAGCAACAAGAAATAAGATGACCATTCATGTGTATTTAAAATACACAGCGCCACAATCAGCAATCAGCCTTTCTTCAAATAAACACTTGAAAACATTTCTGAGTTGTTATAAGACTCTGTTTAAAATGAGGAAAAGTACGAAGCTTTGGATATCAAAAGGATTATTCTGTTCTTATGCAAAGAAATGAAAGGTTTCACACTTGACCGCTTTCATTTAGAAAGATGGCGGTTTTTGGAATTCGGAGAAAGTCTTTTGTCTCCAGAGCATTCGCAAATATGAGTTACCATTGCACTCACCACGCCTGCTGAGGGAATGTGAATGCTAGGTATCATTCCTTTCCTGATGTTATTAATAAGATGACACAGTACTACACCATCAGCAAGTGAAGCCAGTAAATCATCTGGTAAGGTGACTTTCAGTCGACTCTCAATACTCTGTGTATTAAACAATCAAAAAAAGTAAAAATTCGTCTATGCCCTTAACATACAAAGAGGAAGCGAATGATGACAAAAAATTTGCAACATAATTGTTAACTCTTCTCTTTAAAAACATGTCTCAAACTTACGTTTTTCCAATTAATGGCTGACATTGGGGCCATATTGGACCGTCATTGGCCAACACACAACTACAATGCCATGCCTGCAATATGATTTTAACAAGCAGCCACATAACTAACCTCCCGTAGTCTTTCAAGTTGTTCAAATTCTTCTCGAGCACTGTCGTACATTCGCTTGATTGTAAAATTTGGATTGGCCTTATCTCTGAAAGACGCTGGTACTGAAAATCAAAACAACATCACATTAAAAAAAAAATACTTTCAATATTCACTCTCTTCAGTGTTAATTTTTATAGCATGAATGCAAGAGAAGCCGTGAAACTGAAACTAATACTTCACATGTATACCGTAAAATTCCGAAAATAAGCCCTGGGGCTTATATTTTTCAAAGGCCCTTTTTGAGGGGCTTATTTTTGGAGGGGCTTATATTCGGAGGGGCTTATCTACGGAGGGAAATTTGCGTTTCAAACTCGATAGAGCTAGCCTTATAGTTGGAAGTAAATTTACCATTTTTTCTTTGTTCTACTTTGTATTTGAGGGCAATTTTCCAAGTACAAGCCCCTGGGGGGCTTATATTTGGAGGGACGATTTAACGGAGGGTTTTTTGCGTTACCGGTTTGGGGGGCTTATATTTGGAGGGGCTTATACATGGAGGGGCTTATTTTCGGAATTTTACGGTAACTTCATGACAAGGTAAAGAATCCCATCTGGAAGGAGGCAAACTAGTTGGCTATTTACAAGCCTGGCCGAGGAGTTGAACACAGAACGACCAAGAAACAGCCAGAGCAAGTGGTCAGGGCAGGAAATTGAAACGCAGTCCTCAAAATTGCAAGTCTGTGGTAAGCTTCCCTTCTTCTTACCCTCGTACGACAGTAACTGCAAACTGCATTACAGTTTAGCGGAAGTCACTGCAGTGCGTGGGTGAGCTGGTCCATTGAGCCCGTGGTTTAAACAACTACTTACGGGAACGAACTTGAGAGGCCGGTTTTCGCGTCTGAATGTTTGCGAACACTGACTCCTGAAATATAAAACAATCAAAATCAGTCATTATCTGCTGTAAAATTATATACCTGCAACATAAAATGATTACAATTACCGTGATACAGAAAACGGTCGAGGCGATCTTAGAGCAGAAGGTGTCTGGGTGGGGTGTAGGTTTTTAGCCAGGATATTACAAGTATATTTCAGTGTTCACTTCAAATGGATCAACTGTCAAGCTAGCAGTTCTAAAACCAGGATGTAAACAATCATTTTTCATCCATCTCTACAGACACTTACATAATGAGTTAAGATAGGTTCCTGAGCTGAGAGTAAGATGAGCCAGTTTAGATTTATATCTCTAGAGTGACCGGTCGTTTCACCAACGTCCTGTTCTCTAACGTCACAAGTCGTTACACTTAAAACCGAAACGAGCACTACGCAGGTATATACCTCGTTCTTTCAGCCATAACACGAAAAATTCCGATATACACGTATGTACCTCGTTCTTTAAGCCACTGATTAGGCGAAAGCAGGAAGGGAACTAACCTAACACAAATGCGAAACGACTTAGGACGTTGGCGAAACGACTTATAGACGAACCAAATCCAACTCACCTCCCATTCCCCTTTGTCCTGTGCATTGGGTTGAGAAGTCTCCCTGCCTTCAAAAGAAACTGTAGTACCACCAGTTCCAGATCCAGCAAACCTCTGAAATAAAAAGAAAAAACCATTAACTTGACTGTGACTTCAAAATGCAAAATAAGAAGAGAAGCTCATGGTAAATACAAGTCAAATTACTTTTCTTTTACAATCAAAACCTAACATACGCCAACATCATCATCATGTTCATTTTTGGGCTGAAGAAACAAGCAGACCTCTAAAACACAATTTTCTAGTACTGCAGTGAAAAGGCATTTCAACACTAGAAATTATTATTTTGAAAAACTGGGAAGAACAGCAAAATGATCAGTCTCTGGATATTTTGCTGCTGTCAAGTAAAGGATTGCACATAGGCTACGACCTAGACTTGCCAACAAGTCGAGCTGAAATTTTTTCACGAGCGCAAAGCGCGAGCGGTAGAATTTTTATGTTTTCTGCGGCAAAAGCGAACGTGAGAGATAAAAGTCCTTCGCGCTGGGGCCAACTACCGGAACCGGAAATGAGAAACGAAGGACTTTGAGAAAGTCTAGCTACGAGCAAGCTCTCCATATTGGGGGAGAGGCGACGAGTCACGCGAGAGCCGCACGCAAAAGGGGACGCCGCTCACGCGCGCGTCCTCTCGCGGTTCGCTTCCCTCCCTAATTGGAGAGCTTGCTTGCAGCCTAGATTGCACACTGAAATTTTCCCATGACCAAAAAAAAAAAAGGATTAATTCACCCACATGTGTATGGCCTGTTCGTGACCGTGATAAATGAAATCAGAGATTTCACTGGGCTCACAAGAAATGATAATAATTATAGAACCTAATAAGAGGTAACCTACCAATTTAGTTGGTGTATCTCGAACATTGGTCGCGTGCTACAAGGAAAACATACCAAAATAGGTAATAAATTATTGGAAAAAGTTGGTGAAATGCTCATGATAATTTCAGACATCTACGAAAAATGGTGCACAAAAAACAAACAAATAAACAAAACGAAAGAACGTTTGGCCTTACAAAGCTTTAAGACATGGCCCTCTTGGCTGCAAAGTTTAGTTGTCCTTGTTTGATACAACTAAAATAACCATTAAAATACGACCACCACTGGGCCATGAAATTGCGGTCAAACTAATAAGTTTAGCGAATCACACGTATTGTTAAGTTTGCGCCCACATAATGTGGTCGGGATAAAAAGGCGCTTTATATCTAATGCAGTTTACAAAAGGAACACCCTACAAGTCGAAATAAAGAAGACATTTATATTTTTTAAAAATTAATTGTTATCTTTTTTCAGGCTAAAAATGTTAAAATGTGGGAGAGGTGAGAAACAGAAGCCTCAGGCTGTGTCGATAAGACCAGCACCGCCCTTACCAACACTGAAATACTGTGTATTTTAGAGGAACAACGTTATTAAGCCCTCTCCCCTCCCCCCTTGTTCTTCACAACCAATTTAGAAATTTTCCACTTTGCGTTATTGTTCTTTATGGAGAATTCAAACCATCTTCAGGTTGTTTGTTGTTTGTTGCTATTGTTGTTTTTTTTCCCTTGCTTCCCATTCCAAAACAGGAAGTAGGGTACCATAACTCTAGTCTGTTTCTTCCTCTTTTTTTGTTTTTGGCAACGCATTTTGTTAAATTAAATAAGTGCCCCCTCTCAAATAAGACCTCTCTCCCTAAACTTGCTTCAAATAAATAAGACCCCCCTAGCCCCCGCCCCCCCAAACCATGCAGACCCCATCCCACCAGGGGAGCTTACAAGAGGATATATATAAGATTTTAAGGGAGATATGTTTTCAGCATGCCTGCCTTACCTTGAGGCGTTGTTCCTCAAATCTAAGTCTAGATAGCTGAGCTTCTCTCCTGCTTTGCTGCATTAGGGCTTCTCTCTTCCTTGCACGCAGTTCCTCTTCCTGTGCAAAAATACTAGCTTGAGAAAACAGCTGACATTTCACTACGCCACCAGTGGTATCACCATGAGATGACGTCTGAGAAACAAACGCTGAAATTCCATACTGGTGACGCGTCAGATCTGGGTAGTGTTTCTGAGTGGATGAAGCAAATTTTCAACCAATCAGAAGCACTACCCAGATATGAGGTAATGACACGTCATCAGTATGGAATTTCTGCACTCGTTCGTCAGACGTCATTTTGCGGGGAAACCAGCCTTGTTTCAAATAATTCAACATCCGTTCATGTTTTCTTCATGTTGTTGTTAGTAGGATTGTATGTGTTTTGCTCATCACTACATAATGATGAAGCCTAATATCATGCCCTCTCCCTGTTACCTTTGATCTTCTGATTTCAGTTGTTCTTACTGCTCGTGGGAGGCACTTAATTAAAGGGAAGTTTGGCTAGGGTGTTGGCTGTTTTCTCAGCCTACAAAAATACAGTGGATAAAATGACATAAAGATGTAAAATATAACTGAATAGGTTTAACAAATATCCAAGAAAGAATAAGAACCAACCCTGCCCTACTCATGATTTCACCCAACAAAAAGTTGACAGACCAAACGTAACAGAAAAGCCAAGTAAACTGGTGAAAGAAAAAAAAAATACTCACCTGCCTGTTCCAAGCTACATCTGGAGATTCCATAGCAGGAGAACTAAAAAGACAACAAGAATTTTGTTTTTATCTCAACTTACAATCACACTGGAAGGTGACAAGGGTCTCCATATTGAAGCCCTTAAATTTTAGCTTCAAGCTTCAAAACTTTGTTCATGTTAAATTCATAAAACTAACGGTACCATGTGAAGGTACTCCCAAAATGGTTTCATTCGAATTTTCACACAGAGGCCTTAAAGGTTAAAAGCTTCACACAAAAAACAAGAGCCTACATCATGGAGTCACTTTCCTAATGAAAAGTTTGACTTTCTTACGTTGGTTCCTTGGCTGAGCCAGTCCTGTTTAGTACTTTATACGTTGGGCGATTTGGTGGAACTGGAGGCTTCCCACTATCTCCACCACCAAATCCTTTCCTACAAATATTGAATTAAAATCAAAGGGAATTGATTAGAATCATTTCTAAAATCCCTGTTGTACTGAATACTTATTTATCACTGCTAGTACAATCAAGATTACCACTATCGTTGTTGTGGTTCTTGTTATAAAAACCCAGGTAAACAAGTCTGCATATCAAATTAGTATTTATGTAGAAATGACTATGACAAGAAAGACTGAAAACAATGACCACATGAATCCTTGCCGAAGTGTTCAGAATTTTCTCAGAGATTTTAGAAATAAGAACTTGGTTCAAATTTTAGGCTAAACAGGTTATTGTATGGATGGGGCGTAACTGGCACATTTTAGCCTGACAGGTTCTTAGGCACAGGTTTTTACTGTATGTAATAATAACAATAATAATAATAATAATAATAACAATTTATTTACATAGCGCTTATTCCTTAAGCGTCCACAAGCACTTCACATTAATAAAGAGATTGAAAACTGCCTTAAACAAATAAAATATAACTTAAAATAAAATCTCAAAATCTTGGGACCAGTCTCTAATATATGTTCATAAAAAGGTTTGCCTTAGTTTTACTCAACAAGAAGCCTTTTTGAAAAGAAACGTCTTCAGGACTTTTTTAAAACTACCTACAGAATTACACACTCCAAGCTTCCATGGAAGGGCATTTCAAAGCTGGGGCTGCATGTTTCCTGATCTAAGGCTACGGCAAGGTCTATAAAGGTCTAATATGTCCTATATAGTTCTTGTTAACAAACAATGAAAAGGTTTTTAAGAAAAACTGGATGAAACGTTCAAAGATAACAACGTTACCTTGGTTCAGGAGGGCCATTCTTAGCTTCCATTTTCCTTCTTATTTCTGCTTGCCTCTGTTGTTGTAACTCTTCATGTTGTGACTGCAATTTTCTTGCAGCACTTCTTCGTTCCTCGACCTGTCTCTCCTCCTCTTCCCTCTTCCTACGCTGTTCAGCTTCGATTTGTAAGAACTCCTGTTTTAAAAAATTATCAAATATAAAGAATTAATATCAATATCATCATCTGTCAGCTCTGAACAGACAGTCAGCTGCAATATTCAGCAGGGCTACCATTTATTTTATTTCTGCTATTTAAGTCTTTTAAGTCCTTCTGGACTGAAAACCTATTATGGGGGGGAGATGCTTTTTGAAGTTTGGGGGCTTCATAAATTTTCAAACTCCCAGTCTGTCGAGCAGGAGGTCACGGGTTCAAACCCCAGCTGGACCAACACTCACAACACTTTCACTGATTTGTTCTTGTGGGATGTAAAAAAACCCACATCACTATTCAAAAAGAGTAGGGGTTGTAGACCCCAGTGGTGTGGTCAACCTTTATGGGTTGTGGGATTGGGTAGGGATGGCACCTTGCATGGGACCTGAGTCCAGTTTGTGCACATTCCCTCTGGGCAGGCCTGTGCCCAGAAAAGCTGGTAAAGCAAAGTAAAAACTTCTTAACTCTTTCTTGTACTCTTACAGTCAACTCTCTTTCAAGACAGCCACCTTTGGAACCGACACTAAGTGTCCATCTAAGAGAGAAATGCGTCTTGTAGAGAGTCAAAATAAAAGGGAGTAAAGAAAGCCAGGGACCAACTCTAGGTGTCCATTTTACAAAAGTGTCTGTCCTATAGAGGTGTCCGTCAAGAGACAGTAGACTGTAATGAGTTCTCTAAATGCTGAGAAGGATCATTTTTTTAAAATTGTTCAGCAATTTTTTACAATAATGTACAGAAAACAAAAAAAATGAACATGTTATCCATCCAGCATTTGTCAAGGTACCTTTATCACACAGAATCAGGGACATTACTTACACTACTTAACAGTCAGGGCAGGTCAAGTGTACCCCCCCAAGATTGCATTAATTAATTTATTATTCGAAGGTTGAATCTGTCAGTAATTGTAGATCTGCACTCCTGCATATGTAATGAACAGTGACTTCACACCCGAGGTAGTCACAAAATTTTTGCCCGCTCAGTTTTCTAGAATGTGATGCAAATGTCAGCAAAACAATTTTATCCATTCAAAGATTTTTCAATCTGACCGAATACAGAGGAGTTATCACAAAAAATTCACTGCTTATTACACATGCAGGAATAAAGATTTGAATTTGAGACTAGTTGCGGCGACAACTACATGTAATGGATTCATTTTTGATATAATCGATTCATAAATGCAATCTTGGGGGGTACGTTTGACCTGCCTAGACTGTAAAACATAACTGCCTTATAATATTAAGCAAAACATCCGCTTGGCAGTGGTGGCCACAACAAGCTGAGGCAAGAAGGTACCAACTTAAGGTTTGGGTTGACAAAATACCGGTACATGGATATTATTTTCCTAAACTGGTGACCCGAGTCTCTACCTTGTTTTATTGTATGTGCTCCCTAAGGTAAAATGCACCAGGGAAATATCTATTCAAAGGTGTGGCTTTAACAGAGGACATACAGCACGAAGTCCAGTACTGAGGAAGGAAACAGGGGAGCAGAGACCTAAAGGTCAACGTAAAGGTCCTTATTTTAAGTTGATAACTTATAACAGTACATGTTAGACTGACCAACCTGAGGTCACCAATGGGCTCATTCAACCCCCCCTCCCCCTTTCTTTCAGTGCTGTTTGACGGGTGTTCAAAGCTACTTACAGGTACACTGAAAGGGAAGAAGTCAAAACAAGGATTTGAGGTCCCACATGGTAATCAAACTTGGAACCTCCTGCACAGATGGCAGTGTACTAAACGACTGTATTAATCCCCTCTTCTTCGGCCGAGGAGAAACTTGGTCCTGTATAGTTCATTTAGTTATTTTCTTTAGAAACGAAAACCAAAAGTAGAAGACCGAGGAAACAGACTTCAGGCAGTCTAATCTGTGATTCTAGGAACAAACTTTTCAACAACAATAAAGAGCAAAACAGTAAACATGGACTGTTCCATCAAACTCCTCAAATAACAACACATTTAAGTCGGATGGAATACTTTTATAACTTACTTTAATAGTAAATAGTACATTAAATTCTGTTGTACCTCTGAATCATGAAAAAGCAAAAATAGGGGTATTCTTTTAAAACAGAGTTTTGAATAATTAATTCACTTTTGTTAATGAGTTAGATAAATCTAGCATAACAATAAACACTAATTTGAATAAGACTTGGACAAAACATACTAAACCTTCTATAAATACAATTGCTTATGATAGCAATACTAATAACTTACTTCATAACTTAACTCAACGCTAATAACTTATACATGTATTAACATGCTGAAACAAAATTAATGGTGCAACCTTTCGGAAAAAGTATCAAGTAAACCCTTTAACACAAGCACTGCTTACACACTTCTGCATGACTCTTTTAGCAAAGTAGTATATTCACAAAACCCTCTAACTCAGAATGATCTAAGTTCTTGAGTCCAATTCAAAATAATGTTTCGTCTGAGTCCATCAATCTTCTTAAGTAAAAGAGAGCAGGGCTAATGTGAGTGGTAGAATTTTAAGATTTATTCTCTACAATATCTTTTGTAAATGCTTGAATTAACAACCAGCACTAGCATGTCTTAAATCACCTGGTATGCAAGGGGTGTTAATTTGAAAGGGGACACTCTAATTTATGTATTGCCATCCTCACCCATTGTTGTCAAAGAGGTTAAAATACTGTATATGTGGTACCTTAATTCATTTTTTCTTGGGAAAAGGGAGTATTAGAATGGAGAACTTATTTCATAGTTGTAGGATTGGTGGGGGTATTAACTTAACGAAGGCATGTATTTGAAGCTGGGTGCTAATTTGAGCATTTACAGTAACTGGGTTTTCACACCACGAGAAGAAATATGGTGTTTTTGCTATTGGTAATTTAAGTTTTATCTACTCAATAACTCAAAAATAATATTTATTAAATCAAGGTACTAAAAGTTATTACCACTACAAGTGTAGTTTTAACACAGTACAGAAAACGATCTATGAAATCTTCTTAAATATAGCCATCAAAATGCATAGACCTTGGTTACATTTTTAATTCACTGGCTCCAGGAAATATTTGTTTTTCTGTCATACAAGTGTTTTTTTGTGTAACTTGTATGGAAATCCAAACATGTTAGCCCAAAAAGCCCATCACTGCTGTCAATATATTTCCCAAACTTTTTAAATACTAATGGCACCAATATGCTCCTTTTTTGTTACCAACATTAGAGTACAAAATACTTTAAGCATTATTGTTTTTCCTGCCTAATTTTCAAGACATTGGATTAATGCAAGTAAAAATCTCAGAAAAAATTCCATACAAAGCTCCTGTGATACACATTAAGTATTTTTTTTAAGAGGAATGTAATTTAATATGGTTTAAAGAGGAATACAAGGTAATAAGTTATTACTTTCTTTTTAACTTAAATTTTCTCTTATATATTATAATATACTCTTAAGTTAACGGCACTGCTGTCCATATCTGACACAAACCTTTTTTACCTTGGACACTATTTGTCCAAGATACATACTCAAAAGTAGTAGTAAAAGGTAACATTAATAATCCTAATATTAGATATAGTTCATCTTTTAATGTTACTATAAATAAAAATAAATAAAGTTTAATGCTTATATATTACATGTAGTTGTGGGACACTTTGGACCAGCAGTTAATTAAATCTCAGAATTTCCAGCACAAAATGGCATTAGCGGGAAAATGGGGGCTATTAAAGTTTACTTTTGGAACTTTAGGGAATGAAACAGAAGCTGAAAGCACTCTTCTTACGAAGAATATCTTGGCATATTTTGTCTACAATTTTCAGGAAACAGCCACTATCTCCTCACTCCATAGAGAGGCACTGAAAGATTAGGAGTAAAAAAACATACAAAAAGGGAGTTCTTGAGGCTAAACTGGAATTTCCATGCAGGATGGTGGCAAGGAGGAACAAGTTATGGTTATTTTCTGAAACACGACAACTTTAAATTAAACTACCAGTACTCACAAAATATTCACATAAACATTATTTAGAGGTGGCAGTTTCAACAATATCTATCTTGCAAATGGCTTCACCAGAGGTGATTTATAATGGGAGGACTTATCAGTGGATCGATTGGAAATTTGTCTCAAGTTCCTGTGTTTTTCTTCATTGAAAAGCCAGACAACAAATATGCAGATCACAGCTACAAGTAAGGACAGGAAAACTGTCCCAGGATTGAGGATTGCATACAACAGAACAGCTACAAAGGGCCAAGCACTTTTGCTGAAGACGTTTTTCCAAACAGAATGCTGCAGAAGAGGTTGAGCATTTATCTGCAACAAAAGGAGAGGCAAAAGTTACTGTGCAAGCCAATCATTTAGGAATTACTTCCTGGAATTAAGTACTGACATGTCCCAACTTAGTTCCAAAAAGTAATGCAATGTTAATGGCCACACAGAAACTTAAGCCTTTGACACCTTTCTTCTTTTAAATTTGCCAATTTTAATTTTACTCAACAAAGGTTAATCTGGTTAGGACTTAGCTGGATGAATTTTATTTTAAGTTAATCTGAATCACCTTGCTTCAAGGACAGAATTATTTAGAGGGCAAGCATGTGTGACTATTAACCAATAAAAATATTAAAAAATTATTTTAAGAGTTAAACGTTTATCAAAGAAAAAAATATTTACACTTTTAGTTAATCATTATTATCAAGAGTTACAAGAGCTTTGTCTTAAAAAGGGATACATCTGACAAGCAATAATCTTGATAGCTTTCCATACCAAGAAAACTAATCTAATAGGCATACAGCCGTACTATTTAAAAAGTTGACTTATTAAGAAGAGCTGCAATTGAATAAGAGATTTACATAACACAATGCCTTGTTTGACACACTCAGCTAAGGGTTGCATTGTACATGCTGATAGAAGTGAAAAGCAGTACTGTTTTCCTAAGAAGGTTGAGCATGATCTTCAACATGAACATAGTCCTGAATAGGACTGTTGTTGACAGTGACTGACGTTTTGACAACCTGTAAGGTAATCATCTTTGGAGTCAAAGTGAGTTGTATCAAGTCAGTTGATGGTACTAGGCTCTGGTTATTGACCTTATTGATCAATTAACAAACAAGATTCACTTCTTCATTAGGAGTAATTTTATATTATGTCCTTTTATAAAAGTAAATGTTAATTTTTGTTCATGGTTGAAGAGCACTTAACTTTTCCAGCTAGTTTGCAGGCACTCCACACAAATAATCACAAACAAAAAATCTAAATAAGACATAACATGACAAACAACCCCAAGTGACAGGAGGTAAATAGTTCGCTATTTATGTGCAAGGCTAGGAAAACTTCAGCTAATGGTCAGTGCAAGACTATTTAACACTTAATCTGACAGGACCCACTGAATAAAAATAACAATTTTGAGGTCATTGTTACAAAAAATCATCTACCTGTAAATCCAAGATTGTAACTAAATATGGTTTGCCATATACCATTTGAAAGCTAATTAAAATAATTAATGTTCTACCAGAGTACATGCTAAGTTTAAACATATATTATTGCTTGCATCATTGCCAAAATCACCCTCAGAGAGTCAGAGACATCACTTTCATTGAAAACATTGTGTAAAATCCTGTCTGTCTTCCTGCCATGCGTAATCCCTCTCTAAATGTTTTAGTGATTTTGTAAAATGACTCAGTTTGAGGCTAAAATGTAAAGATTTACACACCTACACCATGCTCTTCCCGACATTTAAGTTAAAAGCTCCAAATAAAAAGGCAAATTCAAGTGAAATATCGAAGATGACTGAACGAAAAAATGAAACACACTCACAAACAACCTCAAATGAAACTAGACTACAAGCTGCCTTAAAAGCAGTTCCATGACATCATATGCACTGATTATTCTGCCCTTTAAGGGGTTAAGTTAATCCTTAATTTATTGTAATCATTATTTTAGCTGAAAAACTCTGGCTGTCACTTTTATTTTTTTCTAGTTTCTCTGATGCAGCTGCATTTTCATTGTGCTTGCATCAGGTTCTGTGAAATACTGCTTACTAAAATGGTATTGTTAATGGCTGCCAACAAAAGTACAGAATCTGACTACAGTGTCAGATAGGAAATGTTAAGGCACAAAGTATACTGGTTCTTACATGTACACAATGAACTAATAATAAATATTCTTCCACTTTCACATTACTTTTTTTATACAGAGCAAAAGTTCATGTTTAAAGAAATAAAAAACATAGCTACAGTACACAAACTTAAAGTCAGGCGAGTTGCTGTCTGTGAGAGTTTCATAAAACAACAAACATGCTCTTCTCATGAAAGCTATCCCCTCCTCCATGTACCAAAGTGAGAAAAAAGGGCAATTCAAGGCCCATACTTGGTCGAATAATAGACTAATAAATGACTTTGTCACTGAACCAAATAAAAATGTACTGTGTGGTAGTTGTTATGTACCTTCCTTAGGGTGGTATTCTTATTGCTGGCCTACCCAGGTATTCTGTCAACATTCCAAATGAATAGAACAAATGAGAAAAGGAAAACTGATTTTATAGTTTAGGAGAAGTGGTTGATTCCAGAAGGAAAAGGTCACAAATCTATATGTTTATTTTACTGGTAAGGTAAGGTGAGGTTACAGCTCAGAGCTTAACCTGGTTTCTGTGAAAGAAGAGTGATTACGGATATAAATTCCTCCCTGGAGGGGATACCAAGCCACTGCAGGGCTACCCCCAGCATTAAATTTACTGGTACACATTTATAAAATTGGGTGAGGTGATATACTGTGAAACTGAAAGTGTCTTGCCCAAGAAAACAGCACAATGACCATTACATGGCCTGAACCTGAACCAGAACCTCCTGAAACAGAGTGCAAAGCACCTCTAGAGCACTCCACCTCCAAAGTTGACCAAGTTTTATAAAACATTTTTGGTGTGCAACTAGAGTGAATACTGTGAGAAACCAAACATGTGTCAACCAGACTGCTCAACAAAACAGATTGTTCTTGTATTGAAACACAACATTTCATAGTTGGTGAGGTTAACTACTCCAATTAGCAAAACCAGTGGAGAAAGTTACATTATTTAGCTCGCATGCTCTACAAACTAACCGAAAGAACTAACTGGTGCCTGCCATGCTCCAATGGCTACCCAGGCAGGCTAAAATCAAATGAAAAATAAAACAAACCTTTTCAAGTTCCTCTCCTTCATTAAACTCTTCATCTGGCCTTGATGGTACCTCCCCCACCTCTCCAATCTCATGGGCATCAGAGAGCAGTTGCTGAGCTCTTTCGATCTCCTTCTGAATTTCACGTCTTTTTTCTTCTGTTTCAAACACATTGGACATTGGAGGTCTGTTTCTCTCTCTGTCTCGCAGTGAACTTGATCGATAACCATCTTTTTCAAATGACTAGTGAAGAAGAAACAGGGTAAGAAGACCAAACAACAATCTTTCAGGAGGGAAATTACTTATTTGGTAGACACAGTCTGAGATGTGCTCCTGGACAGGCCAGGGTTTGTTGTCCTAAACAGGATCTGAATTACTCGTACAGAAAAAGCACAGTGAGTAGGATTAGTACAAATAATAATATTACAATAGTTGCCTCCAATGAAATTAGAGCTAGAGATTCTGCAAGGTCATTTGATCCTGAGGCAGACTAGCTCCAGATACAAATAACTGCTGACAGCTGACCAGACCCCTCTAAAGAATAGTTTGTTAACGTTAAGTTGATGTCAGTCTGTGGCTCTCAAGATAATAGGATCTCTATTTTATCATGTGAGCACTTCAGCTTTAAAATTGATCTGAATGCTTGCAGTATAAAGGCCATGAGCACTCACCTCCCGTTGAGAAGCATTCCGAGCTAAATCCAAAGAGAGTGATTTTCTGACTCTGTGATTTTCCTGAATATCATCACTGTAAAATAAAGGCCAAAGCAGTATGATGAAATACAAAAACAAAGAATAGCCAAGAAACAGGATGACTAGAGCTGTCAGATAAACATTGATCTATTAAACTGGGACGAACACCAACATGTTCTTAGGCTGATAATCAACAAAATGAGTTTTGAACTTCACGGCTTGAAGTTCACATCACCAACGATGAAAACTTGACGAAACTCTTCCCTAGTATACATGCACGCCTTGTCATAGGTTTCACATGTTGAAACACAATAAGACTATTTCTAGCCACAATTACACTAAATAATAAAAGTAAAATGTATAAGTTTACGGCCCTTTATGATAACCTGTACAGCTTTATTAAAAAAAGTGCTCAAAAGGGAAATTAGGTTGGAAGACTGACATGCTCAAGTGAAAACAGAATTAACACAGACCTTGAAGATCTTGCCATAGGATATTTTCTAAGATTTCTGTCAAAATTTCTTCTCTACAAGGAGAAAAAAAAGGTTGAAAGATTATCAACAGGAATCTAATATCAAACCTCCTGACCGACTGCAGGCACCAAATGGCCAGAACCAAGGAAAGCAGGTGCATCCAGTCTAGGTACGAATCATTCTCAGATTAAACCAGTAATCAACCTAGTTTGGTTCTGAATTTCTTTTCTTTCCATGGGGCTGTTTTTCAAAATGTCCCTCAACTTTTCGGGCACAGAAAGCTGTTTTATGTTTGCTGTGTTTGCACTCAAGAAAAGTTTCAATAATGTTGAAAATGGTACGATGAAAAGCAAAATTGACGGGTTTGTGAGCTAAAAACTGTACAACTATTTGACAGGTTTAGATTTTAAAATTTGCCTTTGGCCCAAAAAGTTACCTGGCCTTTTGGGAAAGGGGTTCCTGGTCCTATTATAATTTTGAGAGACAAGGAAAATTCTGGTTTAACCTGAGACTGGATTTTACCGACAAGAAGACTGCATTACAGAGAATTCGGCACTGTTAGGGTAGGGATTGTACAAAGTTCTCTTCAACACCAATACAAATATCCTCAACAGGGCAATCAGTACTATAGTCGTGGCAGATGGAGAAGGTTTAATATTTTTGTGTCATAAATAATGTTATTGTTAAATTGTCACATGGAACAAAGTACTTAATAAACTATGTTCAAACTGCACTGGACATTTCGGTTGAAAATTCATGCATTTAGGTGATTTGTTTTTACATGGAACCACCTTAACCGTGAGAAAATTTAGATGTCTAGACATTTAAAGTGCCGGGTGAACAGAGTGAAAGTATTGAACGGTCCAGTGTAAACAAAGCAGCTGGTCAAATTTTTCAGCCGGTCAAAAATTCATTTGGCGTGATGTGAAGGTAGCCTTAGAAATAAGGCAATCACTGATTATGAATTCAATTAAGACAAAAATAACACTGGGCTTTTGGCTCAAATAACATAAGTACCATAAATCCTCTCTTTAGCCCCCATCTCAAATAAGCCCCCTCCCTCTAGTAAGCCCCCCCCCTTTAAGGGAAGAAAGTTAATAAGCCCCCCCTTTCTATTATCCCCCTCCCCTCCCCTAATTATTCTTCATTAATAAATGAAAGACTGTATTAATCAATCACGACTGTAAAACTTTGTGCGAACTGATCCGGGATAGTTTATTTACCATCTGGAAGTTCGGATTTGATTCTGATCCTAAACTGCATGACCTAAACTTGTTCTTGAGCTTTTCCACTTTGTATTCTAGTTCTTTATTGAGAACTGATACCATCGTCGTTTTTAAATTACATAAGCCCCCTCCCCCTCACCCCAAATAGGCTTGAAATGCCATCCCCATGGGGCTTAATAGAGGATTTATTGTAACTTACAAAAATGAGGTGAGCCGACACAACCTACAGGTATTTCATCAGGTAGTGGTACAGGGACTCACCTTTTCTTGTTCATGTGCAGATGCACTAAGGTATTTGAAAATATGTAACCTCCCTTTCGTGCAAACCTGAAGTAGTAAAAGGTCAAAAGACAGAAAGTATTTATTGAGGATTCACTGTGCAGTTACTGTAACCAGGTCAACTGCTTACAATTAATTAAACAATAAATAAATAAATATATATCCTGTCCCTTTAAGGGCTTTCAGGGATAATGAAACAACTAGTTCAAAAAATGTTATTAATAATAATAGGGTTAAGAATCCCCACTGGTAGCAGGCCAACCACTTGGCTATTTACAAGCATGGCCAACAAGTGTAAGAGTTGAATCCAGGACTGTTAGAAAGAAATCCAGCTAGCATATATGGGGTAGTTGAATTCAGGGCCTCTGGATTTTAACTCCAGCACTTTAATTGCTCTGCGACATTGCCTCCGTGATGTCAGAAACTATAAATAATAAGTGTTTAGAAAAAAAGGTGTTGCAATAACCATTGAAGGTTAGCTCTTGTCAGTGTTGTGTTGTGGTGTGGTGTCTTTCCAATCTTTTGTCTTACATCCGCTACACCACAGCCCAGCTCAACTGTTTCTGGTTTGGTGAAACTTTTAAGAGGTTTTAAAATATTTCAAACCAATCTAATTTTTACACCTGACTACAGTAAGCTTTGCCTTTATAACAAATCTGTCACGTTTGATCAAGCTTTTTTGAGTCAAGATTACTTCATCTTAAGGGGCTGTCACAGCTATCTACATTGTAGCTCATTGTTTTAACATTGTAAATGACAAAATCACAGCTTCATATCAAACAAATCTCTCTCTCAAAGCCCACATCAAATGTTACAAACAAAAATAATGAACTTTGAAATACTAGTTTTCAAAAACCGCAATTGCGATCCATTTTAAAGGCAACGGTTTGAGGATCACCTACCTGGGCAGGAGGGGAGGTCAGAGGATTGTGAGCCAGCTCCAACACAGAAAGACTGGTGATAAGCCGGTATGCAGGCGGAATTACTGACACTTTGTTATATGAAAAATCTAACCTAACCAATTTTAATTTACTAAGTTCTGCAAAATAAAAAAGGAAAAACAACGCATTTACAGGGTTGTCAAAAGAAGCCGGCTGCCAGCGAAAATCGCCGCCTACTTGGTTAATTTACAGTCAGCTAGTCTGCTTGGCATTTCTTTACAGATGGTGTTTTTTTAAAACAAAATATCCCTGATGGTGTTTTTTTTTTAAATAAAATACCCCTGGACTGGCCGCTTACTTTGACAACTCAGCCATCTCCTTCAAAAGTTTCTGACAACCCTGATTTGTAACTAACACAAAGACCACTTTTCATTGATGTTTAAGCACAGGATCCAGAATAAAATCAAGAAGACGATGGGGTGACAATGACATATAATTTTCTTACGGTATGGACAAACTTATTGGGAGGTATGAGAAAAGAAGGTAAAAATCAATAAAAGTTTGACTAGCTTAGCTTCTTCATAACATCATTTCGAATAACAGCTAATGAAAAAAAAAATAAAAACAAGTAAGTGATAGTTATCTTACCATCAGGTAAAACTTCTAAGCGATTCCTCCGTAGGTTCAAATCCTTTAGAGATATCATCTCTCCCATGCTATTGGGCAAGTGGACTAATTCATTTGAACTTAAATCCTGTGTAGAAATAATAAGCCAAAACAAAAGAATATCAAATTATTACTGTGAAACTCAGAGAGCTGCGAACTCTACAATTAAATATTTCTGGAATGTTGTTGCGTTACAAAAAACATGCAATGATTTGTCAGAAAACTATTACTGCAAGTAGTAACAGTAATTACTAGTCTGTTGTTTTTAGTGTCTGCTGGTATATCACGATCTTTTGACTCTGCTATGTTGGTAACTACACAATCCATATGCAAAAAATATCTCAGGTGCTCTTAGTTGTTTACGATTCATGGGAAAACCCAAACAGTGCAAAAGCAAGTTCAATGTAGAGATTCCATAATGTAGACATAAGTTTTATGCTCTTTTTAACTTTTAATGATGGAGAAATGTGCTGTAATTCCATGGACTAAATCCTGTGGTGTGACCATTCACACAAACCTCTTCAGCAGTACTTTTGCAAGGTAATATTGATTTATTTTATCTAAACTTTTTTTTCATGTTTGAAGGAATGGAGTATAACTCACCAAATCTTGTAATAATGTTAAAAGCCCAATTTCTACTGGGAGTGTGCTAAGCTTATTGTTACTCAAGTTCAGAACTTGCAGCGGTAAGGAGCACAGCTCAGTTGGAAAGCTGGTTATCTGGTTTCGTCTACAGTTAGAAAAAAGAAAACAAAACAATAAATGTTAAACAAAGCTTCTCAAAAAAGCATCTGTATTTATGCAACTAGTCCACTGATGTGGGACTGATATCCCTTTGAACCCGAAAAGATGGTACACTGTATTTGTATTGAATATTTGACCTCAGCTGAGAAACAGTCACACCAAGGATAAAACTCCACCATTTATATATTGGGATAACTGTAATAAATTATTATTCCACTGCCCAGTCAAAACGTTTCATAATAGCAGGCAGGATAACCAAGATAGCAGGGAGCAAAGGACTAGATTTGTGTGGTTTTTAATGATGGAGAAATGTGCTGGTGGCAGGATTAGCTCAGTCGGTAGAGCACTTGACCTCAGAGGGGAAGGTCACACGTTCAATTCCCGGGGCCAGACCAATACTCAGGGTCTTAAATAACTGACAAATGAAGGCACTTCCTTTGCCCTGCAAGCAGCTAGATCTTCCAGTGGCTCGGATGACCATGTAAAATGGTGGTCAAGTCTCCAGTAGGAGACATAAAAATAGTGTCCCCAATATTATTAATTATTAGTACTTTCGTGCTGAGCACATTGACACTCAAATGAAGTGCATTATTTTATTAAATTTTTTCTAAATACTTTGGAGGTCTAAGTTTTGAGTAGATAGCCAGTAATATTTTCACTGGAAACAGCAAATTTGCCAGCTTCAAGCTTATTTTGACTGGGCTGCTTTACAAACCAAATTGAAGGGAAACTGAAATTATCATGCTTATTTTTCATGATATTTTAGTGGACTTTCACTATGCAAGCACCAGATTAATAATTGTCATGTCTGCACCTGGCCTACAAGACAGTGCAGAATGAGTAGGTTAATTACTGCAAAACACCTAATGAATGACAGTGAACTCCACATTATTATTTTATCTGTTGTTATTGCAAATCTGACCAATACTGGCCAAATTTGTCAAGATCTATGCCTGAATTATCACTACATGAATTCTGATCCTTAGTACTGCTTGGCCAAAAAAACACAGGCAGGAAAATGGAAACTGAATGGAAACTGATAAAAACTGATACATTGCAGCAGATTATCTAGAAATGCTCCAGGATGACACAGCAGGACATTCATTTGAAGATAATGAACCAATTCTTCATCCTGATTTAAAGTTTACAACCACTACATATATTTTGTCAAATGTCTCAATTATGAAAGGGGGAGTTCTTCTTCTGCCATTACTTGGCTCCATCTATAAAGATGATTCTTCCAAGTGGTCAGGGTTTCCATAAAAAAAAAACATTTCACAGTCCCATAAAAATAAAATAATAATACTAATAATAATAATAATAATAATAATAACAGAATGGTGTGGTTTAAAATCAGTGGAGATAGAGTACAAGCAAACCCAAGTGAAAGCAGCTGTAAAGCTGTACAGCAACAAAGACCCTACAATGCAGCTCGTTTGGTAGTTTGAAGAGCACACCACAATCAAAGGCCACCAGTCGTTGGTAAAGGAGGCTAAATGTAATGCAAATGAGATGGGGATCTCCTTAGACCATAGTCATTCTCAGCCTATGTGTAAGGGATGAGAGAGACATTTTGTGTGAAAAGGAAGAGAATGAGCTAAAGGTAGCCGAGAAAGAAATGGGTCAGGATAAGATCCAAAATGAGAAATGGCAAGGAAAGCTACTCACGGCCAGAGAAGAAGACCAAGGTCTGGATAGAAGGCATGTTTTGCTTGGTAATGGGAGTGGTCTGTGTGCCCTTTTTACACAGTGGCAGGAATGTATGAGCTCTACGAGCAGCTCCTACCAACTAAGCTCTACACCAGCAAGAGGATAAAGACCTGTTTACCTGATGATGTGATGTGTCAGTTATGTGGAAAGTGCCCAGAAAGCGGTCCACATATCTTTGCTGGCTGTTCAGCTTTGGCACATTGCAAATACCTAGAAAGGCATAACTCAGCCTTGAAGGTGTTATTTTTTGAGCTTCTACGAGATCTTGTGTTCCGCCTTGGTACTCCCCAGTGCAGCCAAAGTCACTCTACAACAGCTAGGATGTGCAGGCCCACTGGGATATTCCCATGTTTGCAGAATATAATAAAGTTAGGGCCAAATGAGTGGATGCAAGGATAGTAGTTCATCAAGAAAAGACAGAAACGACTCTGGAAATGAGCTGCCCTTGGATCCAGAATTGAGAGAAGAAAGACAAGGAGAAGGGGGTGAAGTATGGGTCCCTATGCTGGGAGCTTGAGCAACAGTTCAAGGGATACAGGATCACACAATATAACATCATAATAACAAATAATATTAATAAATTAAAAATTTCTATAGTGCTCTTTCCAGATGTGATCAAAAGCACTTTACAAAAATTTCATATAAACTCAAATACAATATTGAATGGAGAAAAAGTAAAAAATAAAATTTCAAGTGAGTCGTTAAAAAGAAAGGTCTTGATTGATTTCTTAAAACTATTTAAGGAAGCAACATTTGTAATATCAGCAGGCAGTTTGTCTTGAGAGGATGGTCTAGTTCTATGGAGGAGTCCGTTAGCCAGTTATTAGGAAACAAGGGCAACGAGGTGTGAAGGAGAATGCAACGATCTATTGTCTCGGGTAGTTTAGACATTGCCCGGACTTTTAAAGTTGTTGGAACATAGTACAAGCCTCATTTTAATCATGAAGGACACGTATATACCTTTTTAATCTTGTGAATGGGAGTTAAGGAAATCTACAGACTTGGACATTTAGCATTCTAGTTGCAGATTGTTCTTAAATTTATCGTATTATCATTTTATTTATTTATACATAGATATATAATATTAATTTTATGTGTTTATTTATTTATATATATGTGTAATATATTTTTTTCTGGGGCTGTTCCTTAGAGTCCCAGGGTCACATCCAACGTCCCTGGTGGTAGTTGCTAAATGACATCCATATGTGTATACTGTCATAATAATAATAATAATAATAATAATAATAGTAATAATAATAATAATAATTTTGTTTAATTTAAATTTACTTCTCGGTTCCAAAAATGTTTAGCCAACCGGGCCTTGAAAGAGGCCAGTGATGGCAACTCAACCATGTTTTGCGGCAGGCTGTTCCATTCTTTCATAGTTCTTGGAAAGAATGGGAATTAGAGGACGAAAGAACTTTTTATGCCAAATCATGTAAATGACGAATTGACAGAAATACTGTCAAACCAAAACCAGATGGCTAAAATAATTTTACAATAATAATAATGCTGATGATAACAATAATAATCATAAAAATAATAATAATAAGTATATGAAGATTTAAGCTAACATGATCCTCATCATAGACTCTCTAGAGGAGTTGGATTAAGCTTAGTAAGGGAACTGTTAAGATCAGCCTTAATAAATAAGTGACCTTTTGTGTCGTAAATCGCGTGTTTACATATGTAATCAAACCTCATATCGCATATAGAATTTGATTGTTAAGTGACCGGAAAGAGATAGGCATCGAATCTGCCAAATCAAAGGAAACATAAAACGAATCGCTTTATCTTTCGTTGAAAAATTATCAGGAGTTGTGTTGTAATAAAAACAGGGGATGCTGTGAGTGAAGAATATATGTTTAAAACCTTACATCGTGAGTGAGTGATTTAGGACCGTTTAGCGCGAGTTTATCGGGACAACAGTGTGTTGCAAGCAAATATCCCATTCCCAACACAAAGTGGCACCTCCGACGGGACTGAACAGAGGGAAAACAAACAGATCTGACGCCGGGATTTTACAATGGAGAAACTTACCACGGATCTAGACACACAACTACAATTGCTCAACTTCACAAGGGATAAGAGTGAAGGAATCACCGCAAAGGGAAATGTGGAAGCTGTGGACCGCCAACTTCAGTCCTTGAGATCTATCGAAACGAAGGTGGAAGATTTTAAGCTTCAAATCGAAAGCAAGCGAAAAATCGCGAACGGAGAGAAACTTGAAGACGTGTCAGAATGGAGCCTCACAGTTGAAGCCGCCCAAACATCTGCTGATGAGAACATCGCGTACTTGCGGAAATGGTTAACAGAATACAAGCAAAGAGAACGCCTTTCGAAAATGAGGGTCAACAAGCCTTTCTGGAGCAGTCAAGAAAGGATCAGCTTGAGTTTGAAACGAACGCAACTGGAGATGAGGCTGACATATGAGAAGAAGATCGAGGAGACAAAAGCAAACCATTCAAGACCACGGAGCCGACCTCAAATCAAGCAGCGAAGACCGCCAAACTTCCTAAGCTCGTCATTACAAAGTTTAGAGGTGAACTAACGGATTGGCCACGGTTCTGGAGTCAATTTGAAACCGAGATTGACAAGGCAGAAATAGCTGGCGTGACAAAGTACTCATACCTAAAGGAACTCGTAGACCAAGATACGAAAGGAAATAGACGGCTTGCCCTTCTCAGTAGAGGGATACGAAAGCGTCGAAGAACATCCTGGCAAGGAAGTATGGACAAACAAGCGAGGTCGTGAACGCGTGCGTGGAAAACATCATGTCTTTGCCTACAATTGAGGAACACAGCCAGCCAGAATCCATGATTTCTACGAGAAGCTTCTTTTCAATGTGCAATCATTGGAAACAATGGGAAAACTGCGAGAGGTGAATGGATACGTGCGGATGACTATTGACAAGCTGCCGGGGATAAGAGGGGATCTTGTGCGAACAGACGATTCTTGGCGAGAGTGGAATTTTCCAAGGTTAGTGGATGAGCTTGAAAATGGACAGAAAGAAACCCGATCCAATCCAAGCAAAGCGATAAGCCCTGGCGTGTCGACAAACCCTGGCGTGACAAGAATTTCCAAGTCCAACAGCAGAGAGATGGCAAAAATCGGGGATGCGTTTTTTGCGAAAGCCAAGATCACAGATCGGTCGACTGCAAAACGGTAGCCAGCCTCGACGATCGCAAAAGGATGCTTAGCAACAAACGCCTTTGTTTCAATTGCACGGAGGCAAACACAGGGCTGAAGATTGCAAAAGCCGTTCCATGTGCCAGATTTGTAAGAGAAGGCATCACACGTCCATCTGCAACAGCGTCAGTAACCAGTTAATGACAGCGACTTCAACGCAAAGACCAACTGTGATCTATCCAGTCGTCGTAGTGGAAGTGATGGGAGTTAAGTGTCGTGCGTTACTAGACACCGGCGCCGGAAGTTCCTACGCTTCAGCAGCGTTACTTGATCACATAAAGATTCGCCCTCATCAACGAGAAGTACGACAGATCGAAATGATGATGGGAGTAGTCACTAAGCCGGTGGAAATCTTCAAGTGCAAATAAGTTCACTGCAGAGCGATTTCATCCTTGAAACGGACGTGACTAAGGTGAATAAGGCACAGCTTTTATCCCTGGAAAACCCTCGCTACCGGGCAAGTCCTGGAAAGGTACGACCACTTGAAGGGAGAAGATGGACGATATGGACCCAAAGGATTACCTTCCGGTGCACCTTATCTTGGGAGTGTGTGACTATACTAAGATCAAGACTGTAACAGCACCTCTTATTGGAGCCGCAAAACGAGCCTATTGCCGAGAAAACTAAGTTCGGATGGACCATTATTTCACCGGGCAAAGAAGTGGATCTGTCTCCCATGTTCCTGACGCAGACATCAACGGTAGATTACGACAACTTGTGCAGACTGGACGTGCTTGGACTGGCAGATTGTGCAACTGGTGACCAAGACGAGGTGTATTCAGAGTTCAAAGAGCAACTAAGACGAGATGATGAGGGTTGGTACGAAACTAGCCTACCATGGAAAGGGAACCACGCACCTTTACCAACCAACGAAGCAGGAAGTCTTCGCAGATTAACAGGCCTCAGAAAGAAGCTGCGTGGCCAAGGAATGATAGAACGTTACGATCAAGTAATCCAAGACCAAATCAAGACCGGGATAGTCGAGAGAGTTAGCACACCCGCAACTGGGCAGCACGAATTCTACATTCCTCACAAGGCAGTGGTGCAGCGACACAGCAGAAACCACTAAGCTTCGAGTGGTCTATGACGCGTCAGCACGGGCCTACTCTGGTGCACCCTCGTTAAATGAGTGTCTGAATCCTGGACCACCTCTTCAAAACAAACTCTGGAGTGTCCTAGTTCGTTCTCGATTTCATCCAATAGCAGTCGCAGGAGACATTAAGCAAGCTTTCCTTCAAGTACGAATCAAGGAGCCAGACCGTGATGCGCTGCGATTTCATTGGTTAAAGGACCCAAGCAGTCAAACAGTGGAGACGTTGAGGTTTACAAGAGCCCTCTTCGGTCTCACATCATCGCCATTCCTCCTGGGAGGCGTGATCCAGCACCTGTTGGAGAGTTGCAGACAAGACCACCCGGACGTTGTCAGCGAGATAGAACGCAGCTTATACGTCGACGACCTCATCAGTGGTGGCCCTACCTGTGAAAAGGCAAAGGAAATCAAATCAGCTTCTCAGGAAGTATTAGCCAAGGGCACCTTCGAGTTGCATAAATGGCATTCGAATGTGAGAGAGTTGGAATCGGCCGCCTCTGAACCAGCCGCTTCTGAACCAGTCTCGATTGAGGAAGAAACGATGCAAAGGAGCAGTTAAACGTCCCCAGAAGAGAAGGAGTTACCCTGCTTGGTTTGCCATGGGACAAAGCAAACGATACCATCGGAGTAAGTTTTCCACAAGAAAAAGCTGATCCCAGCAAGCGGGAATCTTAAGCAAAGTGGCACGGATCTATGACCCACTGGGATTGGCCTCTCCTATCTCATTAGGCGGTAAGCTCCTCTACCGTGACGTGTGTGATGCCAAGCTAAACTAGGATTCAAAGCTACCAGGCGATATGATGCAGAGTTGGATACGATGGGAGAAGCGACTTCCCGAGCAGCTTACAGTTCCGAGATCTTTAGCAGCCCATCAAGAGGACATTCAGTCAATAGAGTTGCACGCATTTGGTGATGCCAGTGGGAAGGGCGTGGCGCGGCTGTGTATGCTGTAGTCAATCAAGAGTCGGGCTCAAATCAAGGGCTCGTGGCAGCGAGAGCGAGACTCTCCAAAAGGGACTGACGATCCCTCGGCTAGAGTTGGTGTCCGGACATATGGCAGTGAATCTCTTGGTAAACGTGGCCTCCGCCCTGGACGGATTTCCCCTTACCGAAAAGTACTGCTGGCTCGATAGCACCGTTGCCTGCACTGGATCAGATCCCCAGGCACATATAAGCAGTTTGTGAGTAACAGAGTCGAGAAAATACAAGCACATTCAGGCGTGACTTGGCGGCACGTAGGGACCTTGGAGAACCCTGCTGACCTTGGAAGCCGTGGTGGAGAAGTGAAAAACCATCCCTCTTGGAGCAACGGGCCAAGTGGTTGAAGAACAAAGCGATCTGGCCTCCAGACATTGTGACTAAGGCATCAGAGGAATCAATGGCAGAAGTGAAAGCAACAAGAGATGTTTTTGCTGTGGCGATAGCAACTACAGATGAGCTAGACAACCTTCTTGAGAAGTTTACCTACTGGAGGACAATGAGAATCTGTGCGTGGATAATGCGGTTCGCTTCACAACGCTCGTTCAGAAAGATAAAAGACACGAAGGACCGCTGACAACTGAAGAAACTAACAAAGCGACAATCTTCTGGGTGAAAAGAGTCCAGACCAGAGCCACAGCAGACAAGCATTACGAAGAAGATCGGTTGCAACTGAATCTGCAACCTAACCAAGACGGCGTGTTAGAATGTCGAGGCGAATACAAGGGCATTATCCGGTGTATTTGCCCGAGAGTCAGCGCTTCACAGAGAAGCTCGTAACACAAGTACACCTTGGGACGCCCCACGGGAGTCGTCAGTACCATGGCAAAGGTACGAGAGCTGTACTGGGTTCCGTGCCTTAGAAGATTGACAAAAGGAATCGTGAAGAGTTGCCACGGCTGTCGGCGGTTTCAAGCCCAAGCGTTCGTCCCCACCCCAAGGCGACCTGCCAAAGGATCGGACAGAAGGTTCTTCACCCTTTCAAGTTGTTGGAGTGGATTACGCGACCCATTAAGTATCGTATAAGCAAGAACAGAGAGGGCAAGGCGACATCGTTCTGTACGCTTGCAGCCTGACCCAAGGCCGTGTACCTCGAGCCGACCAAAACCTTGGAGACGGAAGAGTTTATCGAACTCTCAAGCCGTCTCATCGCCAGGAAAGGTCGCCCGGAGAAGATATACTCCGACAACGGAAAACATTTGTGGGAGCAGCAAAATGGCTGAACAAGGTGATGAAGGATGAACGTCTACACGACTTCCTTGCCAAGATAAACGTGAAGTGGCAATTTAACTTGTCCAGAGCACCCTGGTGGGGTGGACAATTTGAGAGACTGGTGGGACTCGTGAAGCGAGTTTTCTACAAGACAGTGGGAAACGGAACGCTCACCTGGGACGAGCTACAAGACGTCCTGCTTGACGCCGAGGTGACACTCAACAACCGACCGTTGAGCTACCTAGAGGAAGACATTCAGCTACCCATCCTGACCCCGAGCACCTTCCTTTATGGTCAACCGAACATGCTTCCAGAGTTAGAACCTCATCACGCCCAGGAACACGACCTGGAAGAGAGCTAAATATTTGAGGAAGTGCAAGGATACACTATGGTCACGCTGGACAAGAGAGTACCTCCAGCGGACTGAGAGAGAGACACCGCTGAAGCACAAGGGAGACACGACCTATCCATCCAAGGGAGAAGTCGTCATCATCAAATCAGAAGAGAAGAATCGAGCACAGTGGAAGTTGGGAGTCGTAGAAGACCTAATCACCGGCCGTGATGGCGTGATTCGTGGGGCAAAGCTGAAAACTGGAAAGTCACGCCTGGGCGCCCAATACAGCATCTGTACCCTCTAGAGCTGAGTTGTGACATGCCGATGCAGAACCCACCGAGCCGCTAAATCCAATGGCGCCAATCTACAGGCCGCAAAGGGATGCCGCAGCAGCAGCCAGAGTTCGTATCCAGGATATGAACGAGGACGAACAATGAACTGAACAATGCATAAATTTAAGAACCCCAAGAACTATGAACATTACGAGTGAACTTTTATATTTTTTGAGCATTTCATGCCAGATGGCACATTGATTTTAAAAACTCTAATATTTGTTATGTTATGATGCTGCTTGGTCAACAGACTGCAGTTCGAGACTCTTAAATTCAACGACTGATTTTCTATCTGTTGATTAAGTTCTGGACATTTGCTCTCTCGAAGCAAATGGGGGGAGGGTGTCGTAAATCGCGTGTTTACATATGTAATCAAACCTCATATCGCATATAGAATTTGATTGTTAAGTGACCGGAAAGAGATAGGCATCGAATCTGCCAAATCAAAGGAAACATAAAACGAATCGCTTTATCTTTCGTTGAAAAATTATCAGGAGTTGTGTTGTAATAAAAACAGGGGATGCTGTGAGTGAAGAATATATGTTTAAAACCTTACATCGTGAGTGAGTGATTTAGGACCGTTTAGCGCGAGTTTATCGGGACAACAGTGTGTTGCAAGCAAATATCCCATTCCCAACATTTGTAAACTTAATTGATAACGGATTATCATGTGGTCAACAGAAATTACCAAATTATTTATTGCCACTTTTTATTCAGCCACCCACCTTAAGTTAAGCACTCGGAGGAATTTCAGTTCGCTCAGCTGGGACTCTGGAACTCCTCGAATTGTGTTGTGGTATAAATCAACTTTCTCGATCATAACAAAATCACATAACTCAGCGGGAAATTCTGAGAGCTTGTTCTTGGATAGATCTACAAGATAACATCCAACAATGATACTGCAAGTACCCAAACCCCATCACAGCAACAAATAGCGACATTCAGCGGTGAGCTGAACACAATTCAATATTTAAAACTTGCACCTATCACTCACCTATTTCAATTACATCTATAAGTTCGCAATCGTCCGTCGGATCTGGAAAATCGCGGAGGTTTTTCAGGCTTAAATTTAATCTTCCGGTCTCCTCTGCTTCTTTGAAGCATCTTTCTAGCGGCATGCCTCCCGACATGGTCGGGTTTACATGTTATAAAGAAGATATTGGCACTTTCACTCGTCTTTTCTTTCTCCGATGCGGCGACATCTTGGACATCCTTCACTTACCTCGTGTTGTTACTACGCATGACAGCGGCACCGCTCCCAGGGGCCTCTGCGGGAAACAGGCAACCCAAGAAAATCCGAACAACAGTGACTGGATTTTGAACGGAGTAAACTAAATTGTCAACTTTTTATAAAAATTTATCAAGCGCTAATAAAATTACAAGTGAAATTTGTCGGGACGTGAACCAAATTACATACAAAAATGGTAATCGCGTAATCTGCTAAGGCAATCCCGCTCTTTTTTCACGTACATAGCTTTGGATCGAATCAAACAACTATGATACAAAACTGCATTTCCAGACCTCATCATTTCCTTTACATTTTAGCCAATTTAGCCTGGGAAAACAACCATTTCTCCTAACTACTCACCGCTAGGGACATTTCGCGTTGCAGAACGTCTCCAACGCAGTCCACTTAGTCCCCAGGGCTCTCCCCCCTTGGGCGGAGCACTTAGTCCCCAGGGCTCTCCCCCCTTGGGCGGAGCACTTAGTCCCCAGGGCTCTCCCCCCTTGGGCGGAGCACTTAGTCCCCAGGGCTCTCCCCTTGGGCGGAGCACTTAGTCCCCAGGGCTCTCCCCTTGGGCGGAGACTTAGTCCCCAGGGCTCTCCCCTTGGGCTCCCCAGGGCCTCCCCCTTGGGCGGAGCACTTAGTCCCCAGGGCTCTCCCCTTGGGCGGAGCACTTAGTCCCCAGGGCTCTCCCCCCCTGGGGCGGAGCACTTAGTCCCCTCCCCTTGGTGGGCTCTCCCAGGGCTCTCCCCTGGGCGGAGCACTTAGTCCCCAGGGCTCTCCCCCCACTTAGTCCCCAGGGCTCTCCCCCTTGGGCGGAGCACTTAGTCCCCAGGGCTCTCCCCTTGGGCGGAGCACTTAGTCCCCAGGGCTCTCCCCTTGGGGCGGAGCACTTAGTCCCCAGGGCTCTCCCCTTGGGCGGAGCACTTAGTCCCCAGGGCTCTCCCCCTTGGAGCACTTAGTCACCAGGGCCTCCCCAGGGCTCTCCCCCCCTGGGCGGAGCACTTAGTCCCCAGGGCTCTCCCCTTGGGCGGAGCACTTAGTCCCCAGGGCTCTCCCCTTGGGCGGAGCACTTAGTCCCCAGGGCTCTCCCCCCTTGGGCGGAGCACTTAGTCCCCAGGGCTCTCCCCCCTGGGCGGAGCACTTAGTCCCCAGGGCTCTCCCCTTGGGCGGAGCACTTAGTCCCCAGGGCTCTCCCTTGGGCGGAGCACTTAGTCCCCAGGGCTCTCCCCTTGGGCGGAGCACTTAGTCCCCAGGGCTCTCCCCTTGGGCGCACTTAGTCCCCAGGGCTCTCCCCCTGGGCGGAGCACTTAGTCCCCAGGGCTCTCCCCTGGGCGGAGCACTTAGTCCCCAGGGCTCTCCCCTTGGGCGGAGCACTTAGTCCCCAGGGCTCTCCCCTTGGGCGGGAGCACTTAGTCCCCAGGGCTCTCCCCTTGGGCGGAGCACTTAGTCCCCAGGGCTCTCCCCTTGGGCGGAGCACTTAGTCCCCAGGGCTCTCCCCTTGGGCGGAGCACTTAGTCCCCAGGGCTCTCCCCTTGGGCGGAGCACTTAGTCCCCAGGGCTCTCCCCCCCCCCCGGAGCACTTAGTCCCCAGGGCTCTCCCCCTGGGCCGGAGCACTTAGTCCCCAGGGCTCTCCCCTTGGGCGGAGCACTTAGTCCCCAGGGCTCTCCCCACTTAGTCCCCAGGGCTCTCCCCTTGGAGCACTTAGTCCCCAGGGCTCTCCCCTTGGGCGGAGCACTTAGTCCCCAGGGCTCTCCCCTTGGGCGGAGCACTTAGTCCCCAGGGCTCTCCCCTTGGGCGGAGCACTTAGTCCCCAGGGCTCTCCCCTTGGGCGGAGCACTTAGTCCCCAGGGCTCTCCCCCTTGGGCGGAGCACTTAGTCCCCAGGGCTCTCCCCTTGGGCGGAGCACTTAGTCCCCAGGGCTCTCCCCTTGGGCCTCCCCTTGGGCGGAGCACTTAGTCCCCAGGGCTCTCCCCTTGGGCGGAGCACTTAGTCCCCAGGGCTCTCCCCCCTTGGGCGGAGCACTTAGTCCCCAGGGCTCTCCCCTTGGGCGGAGCACTTAGTCCCCAGGGCTCTCCCCTTGGGCGGGAGCACTTAGTCCCCAGGGCTCTCCCCTTGGGCACTTAGTCCCCAGGGCTCTCCCCTTGGGCGGAGCACTTAGTCCCCAGGGCTCTCCCCTTGGGCGGAGCACTTAGTCCCCAGGGCTCTCCCCCTTGGGCGGAGCACTTAGTCCCCAGGGCTCTCCCCCCTTGGGCGGAGCACTTAGTCCCCAGGGCTCTCCCCCCTTGGGCGGAGCACTTAGTCCCCAGGGCTAAAAAGATAAACTTACCTTGTTACTTACCTTTTAACCTACCTTTTGTGGTTACGTTTGTTGTGTTTTTGTCGATAGTTTGTTGGTGGTGGTCTTGAGTTCTTTTTTTGTAACAATCTTAGTGTATTTTTGCTAGAGTATTTTATCTTTTTAATTACGTTTTGATGTTTGTGTTTGCTGCGGAATGTAGTTATGGTAAAGGTTTTGTCTTGCCTTGGATACCGAACTATATTTACGGAATTGAAAAGTGTAAACTTCTTTTAGATTGTAATATTTTTCTGTTAGGCCGTAAGAGGATTAATTATGAGGAAATACAACATGCAGTTTTTTGCCGTATATACCAAACCAGAACTGTCAAACAGACCCAAAAAATCAGATAAAAAATAATGGAACGAAAGATGCAACATGCGAAGAAATATATCTTAATTGCTTAGCCTCGAAACACCTTATTAAAAATACAATTACCGAGCGCGTACTTTTCCATAGTTCTAGAACCAGCAGGTTATTATTATTATGGTCACTGAATTGAAACAGTAGGTTATTATTTCTAATAATTATCTTCTGTTCCATGTCAACGACCTATTCTTAAAATTTATCTAAAATAATAACCTGTTGGAAACAATTGGAAATTGCATGAAGACCCGACTAACCGACTGTGTTGCGCAAAAAATGAACTTACCATAGGTTTGGTATATACTGAATAAATGACAGACACACAAATGAGTTGGCTGCATATCCTTGTTAAGGACCGGTGCAGTACTTTTATTGTTATTTTGAAGACTTTCTTGCAAGGCAAATTGTTCCGCGTTTCTTTATGGTCAGCTAGTACCTGTTAAAAAATGGCAAGTGTTATTTGTTGTTGTAAATATTACTGTACAAACGTTCAAGAATTGCACTCCGAATTAACCTTATTTTCTTGTTTAACTGGTTTCTCGTTACCTTCAGATTTATTCACACCTGTCTTGCCCCTCTGTCGAGTATTATCTTATGTCAGCCTGAACCGTCCTGGGAAGCATTGTAATTCTCTCCGGGGCAAGCTAAGCACTCTACCGCCAAAAGTGCCAATAGTAGGTTTGTTTGGATCCCGTTTGTGCGGCATAAAAGCATAGTTTAAATTCAAATCGCACATCAATTAATAAGGTCGCGGTCAGGGTTAATCAACTATAAAAGCATATAGTCTGAGTCAGAGTACCAAAAATTGTCCAACGTTTGAAGTTTAGTTAGTGTAGCTACAAAAGTGAACACTTATTTAATCAAAGCGAAAAGTTCTAACTACTTAAACATCAACAAAATAGGCCTGTTTGACCCTAACAATCGCAACTCGCGTTTATCTTGTTGACTACACGTAAACCTTTATTACATTCAGTTTTGTCCCTCCAGTTCAACTGACATTCATTGAGCCAACATGACCAAAGGGACCATGCATGTTCACAGGTAACTTTGGGCGACAATAACACACAGAAGAAAGAATTATGACAGAAAATCAGTAAGTCTAAAAGAATAATTTCTTTCTGCAGCAAAAATAACCAGTAACAACCGTCAACGCAATTCGGACGCTTATCACCGTTTCTTTATTCTTATAATTTGTTTCAGAAAAAAAGTAAACTATAACGTAACCAAAAGTTAAAGTTCAACTAATAACAAACCTGCCGTTTTCGAGGAGGCAAAAGCGAATCTTGACTTTCATTCCAGACCAGAGATCGCCTAGCTGAGTTTGGTCTTCACTGCACCGCAGGCAATGAAAGGTACAGAGGTTTCTGCATGGCTTGAAACTCAGTTGAATCAACTTGAAATTGGTGTCTCCATTTATACGGTTGCTCGATTAAAATTCAAACCAGAACGAGAAATGTTTTTGATAAATCTTTTCTTGAAACTACACGTGAGAAAAGCACGCACTCTGTGTTCAACAATGGGTAATCAAAGCCTAGATTGGTCACATTTAAAGAGAAACGTTTGCAGACTCGCTCAATTTCATAACGTAGCTCTTGGTTAAAAACAGTATACTACTGGATAAGCGTGAGAACTGACAATACATTGAGCAAATAAAGCACTCACTTCATCAATGAACAATTAGACTAACGCTTGAATTAGACTCATTCAGAAGGAAAAAATGCCGACTTGATTAAAACTTGACAAATCGATGAGAAAACTGGCTAGTGAATGAGTAGACAACACGCCTTTCGCCACAAAGGAAATTGAAAACAATGCTAATGCAAAATTTTGGAGCGACAAGAAAGAGTATCATGGTATTTTTGAAAAAGGCCTATTGCCGTGGGAATACCACAATCTTGCCTCTGAATAAATTTAAAAGTACCGGGAAAGAAACATACAAACTTTCCAAACTTCTCTGTAGACAATAAAAGTGAAGAAAGTTGAGGAAAACTAGTGTTAAAGAATTGCTAGCACAAGAACCATTTTGAGTCGTAACATTTGATTGCTCAGTGATGTTGATCACCGCTATCAGTTTGACAAAACTAATGAATATGCGAAGATTACAATAGCCTGTTTTGCACCCGCTCGTCACGACTAAAGTTAAAAGTGCGAAACAGCCAGAATACGTATTTTAAAAACTTTTCGATAGACAAAAATCATCATTCATTCGAAAAGCGCAGCAAGTTGAGGAAAACGTTTGAACAAAATTGACAGTTAAAAAATCACTTCTATCACACTGACTCATAAAAAGCTCGCATTCAACAAAAATGCCTCGAAAAACACAATATTGAGGAGGTCAATGATCATGAAAATTCGTCAACGCGGGTGAGAGTATTCGCATAACGTCACGGTGGCCATATTGGTGTTCCAAACAAATCCTGTGAGAGTTGGACTCTTTTCTTAAGTAAAGAATTTCTTTTGTTCCCGGATGCTAGCCACGCGGTTGAATACGTTCTATACTAAAAATGGCAAGTTTGGACGTGATTTGTTAGCAATTAACGAAGAGTATAGATATGCAAAGTCGCCTAATTTTAGAGAAGTTTGTGTGGTGGGGGCAAATTTCCGTCTTCACCACACAAACGTCTGAAAAATTTCATTTCGCCTCTTACATTTCATCACAGTCTCATATATTCTTTCCACTTTTCCCAAACACAGTCAAGAAATTCATGAAAATTAACTTTTAATATGAATTTAACTTTGCTTGTCATTTCGTTTTCAGTGTTTCATTGAGTGGTGGTGTTACAAGGGGCGCTTTCCATTTAGCCAAAATTTCCGGAATTTCCGGTTCGGCGGTAAATGGAACACGTTTCGTCGGTTGGTCCCACTGGAAAATTCCCAGAAAAAGTGGAAAATCTAAAAAGGTGGTCCCGTTTTCCCGGTTAGAATTTCCGAACGGAATGTCGTGTTCCATTTACGTTTCTCGTAGTTTGTATTAGTTCCAGGTCCACGGTCGGGCACCGCCACGTATCGGGGTTTACGACCAAATGGAACAACTTTTTACCTCTCGGAAATTCCACTTTTGCTACCACCGAAATTTCCGGGTTTTTTTCGTAAATGGAAAGCGCCCGGAGACACTAAAATATTCTAGTTGCTAGCCACATTCCTCACTGTGGAGATCACGAACAAAATGTCCAATTTTCCAAACATGCATATCTTATTTTCTGTGCTAAAAATAATAATCAGGAAATATCTAGGGGTTCGACATCAGTTCTTATCAGGATTGTATTATCACGGCTATACCGGTTTCTAGTCCAAAGTGTCTCAAGAGATACAAACTTAGGGCAGCCAAACCCAAGACTCTTCATCTTGTTTGGTCGCTTGAAGTAATCACTATCCCTGTCACATGACAGTCTCCACACTTTATTCTGTCGGGCACCAATTTCGTTGTCTTGATCGATAAGAACAAAGTCCACTCGTTGTTGAAACGTTGAAATGATTAAAATGTTGTATACATTCTCTTCACTGGTTTCCATGTTTGTTTTTATTGTAGTGCTTTTAAGATAATTTGTTCAAACATCAAGACATTTAATCATTGCTAGCCTGCGTAGCAAGCGTTTCCGTGCGGTTTAGGAGCAAAGAACGGGGAACGAGAGTCAATTTTTGCTCTTGTTTCATTTCTCGCGCGGCCAAAACCGAGAATCCCGTTCCTACGCAGGCTAATCATTGCTGATCGTTCTGTTCATTCTCTTTAATGGTGATCTGGCAGAGGTGTAGTTACGAGAAATTTGGTGCTGCTTACTATTGGGGCTTATTAAGTAAATCTGAAAACCGATCATAAATCTTACTACTTGAGAAAAAAAGAAAAAGGAGAAAAAAAAAAAAGAAAAGATGTGTTTCCGGCCGGGCTCGAACCGGCGACCTTGCGCGTCGTCAGGGCTCAATTCGAGCCTACTTGTGAGGCGCACGTGATAACCACTACACTACGGAAACCGCTGAGATGAAGATTGGAAGTTTTACATACTTAATCTATTTGTAACTACCGTACTTGCTCAATTCTGACTGGAGCCTGGCACTAGCTACTGCTAAAGCAAAGACTTGTTGAGTAGGATTCTTTATTTGATTTCATCTGAGTGATAATTTCACCATTTTACGATTTAAGTATCCCCGATTTGGCAATTTTATTTTTTCAAGCGTCTCTCCTATTTCAAAATTGAAGCATATATCACGTCAGACTCTGAAAATAACCCAAACCAACATGGCCGTGCAAGAAACCTCGAGCGTAAAGTGCTTTGGTGGTTTTCAAAAGGTTTTCAAGCATCACAGGTTTGTGCTACAGCCTTTTATAACACGTACCAATGTTTTCAGTTTTGCTCCCATTTATAGGCAGAGGATTCCTCCACAATTTTGAAGAATCCTAAAGTCAGTCACCGCGTCTTCCCCCCTCCCCGCCCAGTACGCCCCTGCCGCCCCGAAACCCTCCTCTCCCCACCCTCCCCCTTGCTGTTCCTTTAGTGCTCTCTCATACAATTGATAAATGTTTGAAATATGAGTAGTGTAGGATGATTTGAAAATATATGCCGCTTATCATCATCTTCCAGTCCTAGTAGAATGCTGTATGTCTGTGACATGGACCTAGTAAAATGCCTGCAGCTCCGACGTGTCTCCTGTACCTTAATAGAGCGACTGGACTAGTACCCAAAGGTCTTAGGTTCAACGGATCTGGTGTACTCAAGGTACCCCTGGGCCAAGAATCAGTCAACACTATGGTGGCCGACGCTTGGTTGATGTGATGGCCGCCATAGCGGCCAATATTGATCAGCATATTGATCAGTCTAGTGTTGGTCAACATGCCAGCCAAATCTCAGACAATATGTCGGTTGACATTAGTTGGACGACATCAGGCGCGGATCTAGGATTAAATACTGACCGCTTTCCTAAACAAACACCAGAAGGCTTCAGCTTTTAGGAGGGTGTGGGGGGCATGCTTCCCCTTGAAATTTTTTGGATTTTAACTCCCTAAAGTCCCCTTTCCTAGGTTTGTGAGTCATTCAGAGAGGAAATTGTTCCAAATAACTTAGGGTTAGTGGGAAATTTGAACACATATATGAGAGCTTAAAAAACAAATTCAGTTTAAGTCTCTTTGTCTACAATTTGATGATTGTATACTCTAAAAAGAATAGAGAAAACTATCCGAAAGAATGCTTTTTATAAGAAGAAGAAGAATCTTAGGGTAAAAGTTAACCGTGGGTTAGCCCTAACCGGGGTTCAAACAACTGGGCCCCGTTCTGTTCTCCTCAGATGATATTGATACCATTTGAACTTATCATACATGTACATTAGCACCACCATGAATCTTCAGATTGTTTTGAATACCGCAAAAAATGCCTGCTTAAATCAAGCCACCACAAAAATACTTTCCAATCTTTTCTACCCCAAAAAAACCCAGAGTTGAAAATATCAAACCCAAAAATAATACTTTGATCACCCCCATCACTTAAAATCCGGAGTATCCCCCTGGACACCAGACAAAAGTGATATCGAGCGGGTGTCTGCTAGCATACCAACCAAGTATTGGATTTTTTGGCCAAGTATAATTAGCCTGCATATTAGCTGCAGGCATATCAGCTAATCCAGTTTGATTCATGTTGAGAGAAATCTGTTTTCCTTATTCATTTATGGCAAAGTAAGTTTCTTTGTGAAGGAAGTTGGATTTTAGGTGAAAAAAAAGGTACTAGATTAAAAAATGTTTGGGTAAAAAATTTTCCTAACAATTTTTATTGGTTTTCTGTGTTTTTAACTTTTTACAGTGCAGAATTGAAATGTGACATGAATTTTGCAGTCTATCTTCCACCTCAAGCAGCATCAGAGAAAGTTCCAGTTCTTTATTGGCTCTCAGGTAACTGCAAGTGTTTGCAGCTAATTTATTGCTATTGGGCTTGTGCAGAACAGAGCCCTGAAGCCTTAACAAGCTATTAGGTTTTGCTTTTGGACCACTTGGAAAAAACGTTTAAAAGTGATAGTTTAATACCGGGTAGTATTAACAGAGATTAATATTGCTTATAATTAATTTACCAAGGATGTCAAAGTCGACAGTCTCTGCAATCCCTTTCAGTCTTCAAATAGCACAGCCCTGCTTAGCCAGACATATCTCCATTTATTTGTCAAATTCAGTCAGTTTTGAATGATATGCAGACAGCAGCCATCAATCTTTACTGAAGAAAAGAATGAGTTTCAATCTCTTATGACAGAGTCAAATTATATTTCATGAACAACGGTTTCTGTGGTGTTTAAAGCATTGAAGAAGTCATGAAAAACACTGGACCTGCTTGTCTGTGTTCCTGCCAGAAGGGGATTAATAGCTTCATTGATTAGAAAATATATGAACTTAACAGAACACACAGTTACGTACCTGATGTCACCAGACAAACACTGAATTCTATATATTTAATCTTGAACCTGAAATGAAATCCTTGCTTGAAGTTGGAATCTACTCAACTTTTGAAAGTTTAATTTTGTTGTTCAGGCTTAACATGTACAGAACAGAACTTCATCACTAAGGCTGGTGCACAGCGAACTGCAGCCGATCAAGGCATCATGATTGTGGCACCTGATACAAGCCCTCGTAAGTCAATTCCAGTAAATATATAGTAATATTCCAGTAATATAAAGGAATAATTGTAATATTTCATTAATAGAAAAAATTTAAACAGAGAGGACTTAACATTTTTTGCAGCACTTGCAATTCTTGTTTGAGTTGTCTGCAAAGTGATTGTGTGGTTAACAAGTTGAAAAATTCCAACATAAAGATCAGTTAGAATCAACTACCAACCACTATAGGGAGAATGTCACAGGGAATGTTAGGTATACCTTAGCCATGCAGTACCATTACAAAACTGTAAATGACCTAATAAATGCCCGGGGGGGGGGATCTACTTAATTTTAGTGGTCCTAGCAGGGGCATTTGATTGATAGGAGGGATTTATTTAGAGAGAGATTCCCATAGCTGTAACAAGTTTTAAAAAATTGATATGATTTCGGCAAAAATATGGAGGTAGTTTGAAAATAGCGGAATATCATGACTCCATCAATTGATATGTCTAGGCCGTCTAGAGATCCACATCGCTCTTTCAAATCCCAACATTGCTGTCAGTATCCTTAGTCAGGGTTATTGTGCTGCCATTGTTAGTCTATCCTTACTTTGAACTTGACATGAAATACAGAGCCTTGTGAATCCAGTAAGAAACTGAGACAATTGAACGATTTTTGTCCGTTTTGCTAATTCCAAGTATTTTGTAGAGGGGGTGTCCATCTGAGAGGGTAGATTTGTTAGAGAGGGGTGTCTAATACAATTTTAACAGCATAGAGGGGGTGTTTTATTAGACTCGAAGAGGCATTTATTTGGTCATTTACTGTAATTTTACCCTGATACTAACCAATCATCATCATCATCATCATCATTCATCATCATCGTCATCATCATCACCATCATCATCATCATCATCATCATCATCGTCATCATTATTATCATCATTGTCATCATGACCACCATCACTGATAACACTGCCACCACCATTATCATCCCCACCACCATTATCATCCCCACCATCATTATCATCCCCACCATCATTATTATTGTTAACATTATATTTTCGTTGTTATTATTTCATACTATTTGCAGGATCCTGTGGTATTGATGGAGAAGATGACAGCTATGACTTTGGAACTGGTGCAGGTTTCTACATTGATGCAACTGAAGAGAAGTGGAAAACCAATTATAGAATGTTTTCCTACGTCACAAAAGAGGTTATACATCTAGCTAGGAAAAATTAACATTACCATGCAAGCTTATATGTAAACAAAGGATTTGTTTTGTTAACTACCTTTTGAGACAAATGATTTCATGCAGGGGCTTCGAACAACCCACCCTAACCACACCTAGATTTACAGTGTACTTCAGGGGTGTACTATTAATTTTGATCTATTAAAAATTTATAAGTGTCTTGCAAGTATCACATGTGAGATGCAGAGATTTGCATTATAGGCTGGTGATAGTAAAGCTATTTCTCCTTTTTTCAAGGAAGAGGTTATTGGCTACTGTGTTCTCTACCTGGTGGAAGTGCTTAACTGTTCTAATTACCAAGAACAGGAGAAAGAAGTCATGTCATGAAAGAACTTAAATTGCTCTTTTACTTTACACTCTCCAAATTCGTCGGTCAGTAGTAAAATCTGTAATGAGGGTAGAATTTATTATTTTGATTTTTGTGTTTTTTCTCTTCAGCTTCCTGCCTTGATTCAAAGTAACTTCCCAGTTCTTGCAGACAAGCAGTCAGTGTTTGGTCATAGGTAACAACTTAAACCAAGAACTTAAACCCTATTTACCATAATGTGGAACAGTTCTACCATATCTTAGTTTTTGTAACAGCTCCATATTTTTAGATGGGCTTTGTTCTTTGTATGTGACTCAGTGAACGTATGTGGTACAATGTTTTGCAGGAAGTTTTGTAGTCACTTTAGCCCACTTATAATTGGGAGATTATCTCAAAGCTGACTTTTTTGTTCTTTTTAGATGTTCAGTTACATATTGCAATATTTATTATTTTATTTCTTTGTAATTTGTTCTTAGCATGGGTGGTCATGGAGCTTTAACCTGTTTTTTCAAGAATCCAGGATTTTATAAGGTGGGCAGATTGCAGGATAATAAGTTAATTATATATATTTAATGTAACTTTTCATATACCTTTAGCTGCCTCTCAAAGATCATTGACGTCAGTGCAATGAGGCAAAACTGTCAAGACACATACATTATTTTAGTGCTCAGAGTCTGAAAAAAAAGACAAACGAGCAAACAAAAAAACCAAATAAACAAAATACCAAAAAATGGCTTTGAGTTCAAGCCTTAAAAGATTTGTTTTGCGGCTTGTATTTTAAAATCTTTCAAAAGTCTACAGTTTGATTTTTTGCTAAATGATTACCATACTTAAAGGTAGCCTGTGCTATAAGCATTTATAGGTCTAGGCATCTGCAGTTTAATTGGAACACACTACATGTCTTGGGCGCAAAACATCCTTTAAGATATTCGGTAACCTTAGTGCATATTAATTTAATGTGGCAACTGTATTTCTTTACTCTGTTCAGTCAGTGTCAGCCTTTGCACCAATTTGCAACCCGGTGAAATGTCCATGGGGAGAGAAGGCATTTAGTGGATACCTTGGAAGCAATAAAGAATCATGGAAGGTATAATAGATATTTGTTTATTTAAACAAATAGATTCCATGTTGCCGTGGGTCTGCTCAGTAATAGATCAAAGATGTCGTCAAAATGTGGTAATAACAAAGAAGTGGCACGCGAGCCGCAGTTTTATTAATGTACAGGGCAGAAAAAGCGACATTTAGATATTATTTGCTTAGTATCGCTTGACTGTTCGAGGATTTTTACCAGTTTAAGCATTTTGTGAGTCATAAACGGTACTTTTCGTCTCTGCGCCTTCTTTTATTCTTTATCTTACTTGTATACAGTTTCTCTGAAAAGATTTTCAACGCTTTCGCTTGTTCAAAGCACAATAATCGCGAACACACTTCCACAACAAAACTGCGAGTCTCTCGCAGCGATGACACACGATCGCAACTGTTAGGAAGATTTCTTCCAGTTTAGGCATGGATAATAGAAAGAGGTTGAATGGCTCTCGATAATGTGACGTCACCTTTTTCCACTGTGTTGGAACCGATCGCGTCAGCCAGTTTCCTATCCAGTCTTTCTATTATCCATGCCTAAACTGGAAGAAATCTTCCTAACAGTTGCGATCGTGTGTCATCATGGATAATAGAAAGACTGGATAGGAAACTGGCTGACGTGATCGGTTTAGGCATTTTCAAGTCGTCAAGAATTGTTTTTGTCTCGGTTTTTCCATTTTTTTCGAGGCCTTCACTTCCGTAATCCGAAACTAAGACCTATTCGTCTCGCAAACATTTCCAAGACCGCGCGCCATTTTGAACAAAATAACGAAAACAACTGAGGAAATGAAATTATTACAGGTCTCTTCTTTGAGACCTTCATGTGTCTCAGGTGAGCAGACAGAAAGTAGTGATTCATTGAATGCCACAGTCCTCCACAACAAAACAAATTGACCTCCCACCTTCTCCCTAGCTCCTCTCCCCTTCATACCCATTGATGCTAGAAGCTAATAAAATCAAATAAAGAAAATAAAATTTGTGGTCAGGATTAAATTTTGCCTTTCTTTGTAACTTTTAGGAGTACGATGCTACTGAACTGGTGAAAAACTACGATGGACCAATTCCAGATATACTCATTGATCAGGTGAATTGACATAATTAGGAGAATACGATGACTGTTAGCACCCCAAAATATCAATATCAAAATATTTCTGTCTCTGATTGGCTTCAAAGTCTTGGCTGTTTCTTCATAACATTTTTCTCGTATCTTGAAACTACCGAGGAACAGCTGGCAAAAGTCTTGAAGACGACCGCTTGGCAAATGTTTTGAAGGTAATACAAAGGCGATATCTGCCAAGGCTGGATGCATAATTCTTCATATCATACCTTTTTTCATCTAATAACCGTTGTCCATGTCAATCCCTTTCATCCTTAATACTTTATAATTTGCTATAAAACACTTACCATACATTCTTTAACCTATTTTACAGGGCACCAAAGACCAATTTTACCCATCCCAGCTACTCCCGGAGAACTTTGTGGAGGCCTGCAGATCCAAAAATGTTCCTGTAACCTTAAGAATGCAGGAGGTATATCCCGTTTAATGAATTTGAATGAATTAATAATGCATCTTTGTAAATTAGCAGTAGAACGAGAACACGAATGAATAATTGCGGTTCTAGTGACCCGTTTCAAGCTCGGCCGACCCTAACCTCGTTCTCAGGGTTCTCTCTCTTGCTTCGCTGGGAACGAGGTTGGGCCTGAGCCCTGCAGTGAACCGCCTGTCGTAACTGTCTGTATCGGACTGAGATGGGACTAAAAGCCCGCACTGAAAGTCATCTTGAACCGTTGAAAAAAAAATTAAACACTTCAAAGATTATCGCAGTACGCAATTAAGGTGTACACAACACACTGCAATTAATACAGCGAGCTTGATCAACGAAAACGCTGATGTCTCGCCAACGAGCAGGGGCACCCAACGCCAATTTTTGGAAAATATCTGTTCAGAAGACGATTTGAGATCTAGAATTTTCGGTACATTTGTTGTAAAATCTCTTGCTTGCCTGCCTCTCTTAGGATTTTCGAACATCTAAAAAATGGCATAATTGCCCATTTTTAACGTATTTTTAGCCTAAAAAGGTTACCTAGAATTTTCGGGAGCCTTTTTCCTGGCTGAAATTTTCGAAAAGGTAAGTTTTGATCCCTGTAATTTTCGGATCACTAGACTTTCAGCTAGGAAATCCGAACAGTTGAAAAATTTTTAGGGGATAAAAATATTCCTATATCAACCGTTTAAATGCTAAAATACGTTTAACAGTGCTGTGTTTAAGTGGTTTTGAACTATATTCTCGTTGGGTGCCCCTGAACGAATCTGAGTGCTGTACTACTTTGTCGAGTCTACCACAAAAAGAAGATATCAATTTCCGGTTGCCATTTTTGACGTCCGGTACGTTCCCGTCCTCGTTGCATAAGATCCCTTTTTAGTTTAAGAGAAACCCTGACGGGAGAAGTTAAGGCTTAGTGAACGGGATTCTAAGCCCATGACCCTGCGATACCAGTGACACTTTGAATGACTGAAAGAAAGCCGTTTATTTTTGAATATTTAACGTCTTTTTTAAAGTTATAGTTCCTTGAAGGTAATGCATTAATTTTTTTTCATAGGGCTACGACCACGGTTATTATTTCATCGCGTCATTCGTAGAAGATCACATCAAGCACCACGCGCGCTATCTTAAAGCTTGAGGAATATAGACTGATGCGGGGTAAACGACTAGTTTAAAGTTTCTCAAGAATAAGTAAACTTTTGTATGACTGAATAAAGTATGAATTTGTTTGCCTTTTGATTTTTCTGAAGCCTTACTCGCTATCAACATTCCCGTCCCACAATACCTGATCACTGGCACCGAAACATGTTTAGCATGAGTAAGCAGGTTTACGCAAAACACGGTTCTCCAAAACATGGCTCTACAATATTTATGCAGCTGCATCTTGAATACCTGCCAGTAGTCGCTGAGTGTTTTTGCAATGTTTTCCCAGTGTTCTGTTTCAGCAAAAGCCATTCTGTTGCATCTCCGACCTTTCAAATAAACAATTTGCGTTACTAGGCACAGTGCATCACCTGCTGTAAACGGTTTTCGGGGTGTTTCTTGCGTAAGTGAAGAAAGAAAATTTAATCTCTTCATTAATCTCGGGGTTGAAAACTGTCCATTTTGTGGACTTTGTACAAAAATGATGGAAATTCTGCCATCCTCGTAGGCTCGATTTCAGGAGGGTAAGTCCGGTTTGCCCAGGCATTCAGAAAGTGGTGGTAACGCGAAATTGAGAGCGGAGATTTTTTATTTCTCTTGTTTGTTGCGTCGTCCTGGGTCCAGTTGTTCGAAGACCGATTAGCGCTAACCAAGGGTTAAATTTTAACCTGGGTCTCTTTTTCCTTTCATCAAAAGCATTTTCTCCGACAATTTTCTCTATTCTTTTTAGAGTAGCCGATCATCAAATTGTTGACAAAAAGAATTAAACTGAATTTGCTTTTTAAGCTTTCAAATCTGAATTCAAATCTCGCACTAACCCTGGGTTATCTTAACCCGGCTTTGAACAACTCGGGCCCTGACTACTAGTAGTGGGCGCAAAAAAAGAACGAGGGCGCCCGTTCTTTTTCGCGCCCACTACTTCCAAGCGCCTGCTACGCAGGCTACGTACTGGCTATCTGAGATATGCCCAACACCAATATCAACCGCCCGTCTCCCAGAGAAGAGTGAGAAGCATTAGGAGCTTACGTCATTTGCTCCTAGAAGCACCAGTCTACCCAGTCCCAGAAAAAAAAGTTAAAATTTTAAAAAATGTAGGACAGGAAACAATAAGAAAACAACACAGAGACATTCTCTATGAGGTATGTACACCTTAATGGCAGTTTTATGTGCATTTTAACCGTTTAATGGCACTTATGATAAATTGCCAGAAAAATCCTGTGTTGAGTCTGGTTGTCATGTGCCTGCACTTACAGGTTTTGCCCGAATGGCCAGTGAGATCCAAACTGTTGTCATGACATTGTAAGGTCATGTGACCTTTCCGGGTAACATCAACCGTGACGGCGCGCGGTCATTTCCCGCCGAATTACAACGCGCAATTGTGTGGTTTGTCTTTCATTATTATGCTTATTTGAAGAGATTTTCACGCGATCTTCGGGCTTTTAATTCCAAAAGAGCGAGGAAAATTTCTTTGAGCTCAGTTTAAGGGAGAAAGGAGTATTTTTCGAATGAAAGTTAGGATTTTGCAACGTCACAACAGGGAGACAACGAAAGACAAGCTGCGGTGGCTCACTGGTGCTCTTCAAATATTGTTTTTGCCCGTTTTTAAAAGGTGAGAAGTTGAACGTTTTTGGTTCATACTAATTTATTCTTATGCTTTTTGGTTGGTGGCTACCATGTATTTGAAGCTTAAATGAAGCTTTAAACAAGCATTTATTTAGAACCAGACTTTCGTTGGAAACGACGTGACATATCATGAGGGGCCAAGGAGATCAAGTGAATTTTGCTGGTTGCCGTCGTTGTTCGTTAACTTTTAGCATATCATTGTTTAACTCAAGTTTTATTATCTCCGTTTTAAGATTTATCGGCGATATAAGAAGAAAGAAATGTCGTCGGGCTTTAGCTTTACACCCACCAATAAAATTCAGACTATCGAGCACATAGCCTGCTCCTCTATTCTCCAAATTGGAAATTCTAGATATTTCCAAGTCAATACGCTCGATACTGCTAAATTTATGTTTCTCTACCACAATAATCTGCTGTCTCCACTCTTCTACAATCTGTTTATGACAAACAGTCAAGTCCATAGATATGACACAAGAACAGTCAGTAATTATCGAGTGCATTCCTGTCGTACGAACATCAAGAAATGCACAATTTTTTTGCCAAGGACCTAGAATCTGGAACTGTCTTCCTGCATCTGTTACAAACTTGTCAAGCTTTTCTATCTTTAAGAACAAAGTGCTAGAGTTTTTCTTCAAAATAGTTACTGAATTAGTTTAGCCGCAGTTCTTCGAAGCCCTTATTTCTTATAATATTGTGATGTTGAGGTGGCCTCCCTATAAGCCTGGTGGTTTCTTGAGGTCTCCTCGCCTAACAACCTGCTGTATCCTGTAAAATTTGCTGTAACACAAGGCTAATAAATGATGATGATGGCCGGTTGTGCAGTATTTCCTTTCCTGATTTGGTATGGGGTAAGAATATTTTTCCCCAAACCTCTGGTGAAAATTTTTTTTCCTGACATACAATACTGTAAGATTTTTTCCAGCATTATATGCCATGAAAGGTATTTTTTTCAGTGTAGGATTATTTTGCCAGGTATTTCCTTGCAAGAATTTTTTTCCATCGAAATCAGTGTGTAGGATATTTTTTTCTGAAATAACCCATACAGTCTGTACCCCCCCCCCTCAAAAATCAAATGGTCAGCCCCTTACATGATCCTGTGTGAAATTTTCATCCCTCAGTCTCATTTTTTGTAGACTTTCATGGAAAATGGCCTTATAATTCAATACTGAAATATTTGTTAGCTAAGTAAAGTTTTTATTGTCATTTACAGCAAGCACTTTTCTTCTGCAAGCCCTTCTTCCCTGGCTAATATCATATTACTATAAAGTTCCCTGTTTTCCAGCATAAAATCTCAATTTCTCACATTATTTTCGTCAAAGTAGAGACCAGTGACACGCAGTTCAACATCTGTTGACCAACAAAATGTTGCAAAGTGTATCATGCAATGTAGAAAGTTGAAATGCGTTATTCTCCTTGTTGAATGAGAAGGGAGGAGGGTTCAGCTCTTTTTTCAAAAAGTTGCAACTTGTCGAACAACAATGTTATTCTTTTCAAAATGTTGTATCTACTCACGCATTCAACAAGCTGCACCATCTACCACAGAGTGCAGTTTGTTGAGCAACAAAACTAATAATTCATTAATGTTTAGTTGTGTCTCCTCACACCTTCAATACATTTGAAATGGAAAGGGAACTGGAGCCAAAATGTATCCTGCGATTATTTGTGGGATCATTGCAGGGGACGCACCAATCAGCTGTTGGCCAATTTTGTCTCTTCCTAGTAACAGTCCCTGGCCCCAGTTCAAAAGGTGAATAGCACTATCCACTGGATAAATCTCTATCCACTGGATAGTGCAATATTATTGGTTTCCCTAATATTTATCCACTGAGTAGTGATTTATCCAGTGATAGGGCTATCTAGCTTTAGAACAACTGGGGCCAGGGCCGAGTTGTTCAAGGCTGGGTTAAGATAACCCAGGGTTAGTGTGAGATTTGAATTCTGATTTGAACACTTAAAAAGCATTTCAGTTTTAATTCTTTTTGTCTACAAGTTTATGATTGGAAGCTCTAAAAATAACAGAGCGAATTATCCAAGAAAATGCTTTTGAACACAAGAAAAAGAAACCTGGATTAAATTTGACCTCGCGTTAAGCGCAAATCGGCCTTTGAACCACTGGGCCTAGGAGTCTTTGCAAAACTTATAAACTCTGTCTAGTTTTCTACTTGTTTCTAAAGTGGTGAATAAAAAAGTTTAAACTGAGGTAATCTTTTCATCATTACCATAGTTGTAAAATGTTCCCCCAGCAATCAATGGGTAAAATACCTGGCATAATTTTTTATATTTATTTTAAAGACACTCTGCTATTGTAGAGAGGGGACTTTTTTTTATGTCTGCTTCATTATTTGGTGGGGCCTTATCCTATTACCATGCTGGAGACAGTCTTTGACTGTTTATTTTCATTTCTTGAACTGATATTAATATGTGACCATGTTTGCATTTTATTATTATTTTATGTCTATTATTGTAATAGCTAATCTACAGACTGTAAAGCAAAATTTGCAATGATTTCTTCAGTTTCAGGGATACAGCAACTTATTAAACAAATCAATGCAGTATTAATACGGTATTTATGTACTAGGCCCTGAGTGGCTTGAAGGGTTTCAAGGTGTATCTGATGATGTAAATAGTTTTTGGAAATGTGCATATTTTGAAACTCCAGCAGATAATTTCAATTTTACATGCGTGTCCACTCTTTTGTTACTGCTGTGAAGAGTATCACTTTTTCAATTTAACCTTAGCCACTGTGCAAAATAGTTTTTTAGTAATGCTGCCTTAGATATTTGAGGGAAGACAAATAACATTGTAGATGAACTTGAGACAATAATGATGTGAACATTTCTGCTCTTTTTGTTGTTATGTTCTCTGTTATTGTTTTTAAGAGGTGGCCTCTAAGTATCTAAGGGTTTGTCTCAGTCTTGTGTAAAACCTTGATATCTCATTACCTGTATAAACAATGCCTTTTCTACAAGAAGACAGAAAGTCATTTTAAAGAGAATCTTAACATTAATCTGAAGTCATTTGGGAATTTTTTTTGTCAGGTTCCTGGGGCACCGTCTAGGCATTACAGTCCCCTAGCTCTGCCAGCATTCTCAATCTGGCCATGCTAAGATTTGCTACTGCCTGCAGGGATATCAGATAAACTGGACTGGTAATATCCTTTAGGGGCACCCAATGACCAGCCAGGTTTACACATTACACAAAGAATCAGGGGTATGTACCCAGTAACTTTTTCTTTAAAATAATTGTTGAAGGAAAAAATATTGACCAGAAATTTCTGAAAGGCTACACGGTGGTGGATAATTGTCCATTCTTATAAGATATTCAGAGTTTTCTACAACATGAAATTTTCCTTCAATTTTTGGAGGTTTTTTTTTTAATTATCTCATTTTCAGGTATTGGTATAAAGACAAACCTTTCCTTAGAGTTTTTCTGATGAATGTACACGTACTCTATTTCCTCATCCTTGAGGCCCTCTTAGGGGGGCTACGTATGTCCCTAGTTTGAATTTCAAAACCTGTCTGTCTGTGAGTTGAGGAGAATGCCATGTCTCTGTTGGTATTTTACTATTGTATTTGGGCTTTTCTCTGTTGCTGTTGCAGTTTCAACACATCTTTGTGTCTTTTATCTCCATTCAACTGTCCTGTTGCTGTTTCAAGGCCATGTCACTTGTCGGAATTTTATCCTGACAGGGCCTTATACTTTTGATCGGGCCAATCAGAATTGTTAACAGCTTCAGATGAGACCAAAAAGCCATCTAAAACTCTTGGAATGACCAAAGTTCCCTTAAGACATCCAAATAGGGGAATAGTTTTTAGGGCAGCTCTAAAATAATCAAACAGGCTCTTAACTCTAGAGACAACCATTTCAGAAACTTCTGACGCATTTGGAAACATTTGATGGCTGGGTGCCCCAGAACGGATGCTGGTCCAGTTTATTTGATATCCCTGCGGGCAATACAACTTTTAATGTGGAGAGATTAGACAGTTTGTAGAACTAGGTGACTTTAATGCCTAGAAGGTGCCCCAGGAACCTGAAAGAAAAAAGCACCTCCCAATTGACTTTAGATTGACCAAGATGCTCCTTTAAAATTACTTTTTGTCTGCTTGTAAACAGGCGAAGGAAGGAAATTGACCCCCTTGATCCACTCCCCTAAATCTACCCATATTTTACATCATGGGCTTTCAAATGTATACTTTAAGTCATTCTTGCTTCAGCCAGAGATTTTTGATTTTGCTCCTTGTGAGCTGGTTGTACTTAGAAGGTACAATGTAAAAATTTTATCACCTATTGCAACTTCACTGTACATTTTATGTTGTGCACTGAATCTGTTCTGGTTATCTCGTAGAAACACAGTAGAACTGACAGGCTGAACAAAGATGGAGTTAATGACTCACAGTGACATTTCTGATAAAGAGCTGGTAAATACATATGGTGGTGTTGCCTACGATCATGAAAGTATGCCAAGAGTTGTTGCAGTACACAGCTGGACAGTTGAACTTCAGAATTCGTACACATGTAACAAACAAGGACAAGTGCTACACCTTCCATCATCACATGAACTGTTTCCTCCAAATTCTTGTTATTCTATGAAGATTGATGTCAGAAGCTCACCTCAGGATAAAGGCTTTGTTAGTAAGAGAATATGCACAGTTTCCAGAGACAACCTGGACACTCATGTAAGTCATACAAAGATACTTATTTGATTTATGTAAGGCCAACTGAGGAACTTGAAAGACTAAGATCTTGCTAAATGTGCTTTACAGAGCAATTGTCAGGAAAACTACATGTACTCACTACTGCCTGCCCAGTCTCCCTTCCCTGAAGAGTTACGTTTCAGTTGGTGTTACGAGTTGATTGGCAATAAAACTTTTAGAGGCAACAATGTTGAACAGTGTGGTGCCAGTTTGAAGCAATTGCGTTGTGCTTAAAACATACCGTGTAACGTTGTCTTGAAATACAACTAATAAAAATGTTTCAGCCAAAAATGAAGAGCCTATCTCTAAGTCCAACAGATGTTGAGGTGTTTGCCAGTTCCATTTTTATTTTAATAATAATAATAATAATAATACTAATAATAATTTAAACATATTTATGCAGGATTGCTGCTTCAGTTTTAAGAAAAAAACTGCTATCAATGCAGGTCCTGTAAAAAATTAAAAATGAAAAAATAAAAATAAAAAAGATTTAAAATATAGATAAAAATCAGATCACAATATTACAAAATAGTCACACCAAACGAAAGAATCATACCAAACGAAAGGGCTGGCTGGGAAAAATTCATAAATAGTCTTGTTATAATTCGCTAGATTTTCGTTCCAAATGACTTTGTACTGCTGTATTTGTTTTTGAATAATTGAGGGAGGATTTGATATTAGATTGACTCACTCAGACCCTTTTTCTTTGTACTTCATCACTTGAGTACATCTTAATTAATGTTCTTTATTTTTCAGTACAAAAACAAGTTTTCTCTTTCTGGTACACCGTCGTTTGCTGTGGAAAAACTCAGTCAAAAAGAGGAGAGACATATCAACAACACAAGAACAGGAACAGGGACTGTCGGAATTCTGACAACTCTTTTGCGAGAAAGTGGCAAGGATCCTTTTGGCAAGTACTGTCATAGCGACCATAAATCACTTTGGGGTAAAGAGCATGTGTTTATGCCACAGATGGGTAATTTGAACACCAACACTAAAGACATGCCTGTCACAAACGTTGTACCCCTGGATGGAAAATTGATATCCCCTTGCTGTTTAAACTCGTTTGACAAATACAGTTTGGAGGCCAACAAAACTGGAACAAGAAACTTGGAAAGCCATGACTGGTCTAGAGTTGGAGTGTTAGCAAACGAAAACTCTGAGCAACTGCATGTAAACTCTTCACGTAAGCGCCTTAACTCAAACTTCACCAGCTCACTTTCGTATTCAGGGCACATTTCAGAAGGAGAAGCTTTTGGGAAAGATTGCCTTCAAGGACAAACTACAGAAGTTTCTGTTCCTCAAAACAAACCATTGTTTACGCCAGCTTTGTGTAATTCAACCGGGCAAACCCAGATCTCCCAAACGCCCGTTTCACTTTCTCGAAAAAGACCGCGGAAGTCAATTCCTAGGAAAATCGATATGCAGTTGGAATGGCAGAAGTCTTGTTCAAGCTCAGACGGTGAAGGAACATCAAAAGTTTCAGAATCGCCCAACCAGGATGTATCCGGCAGTCCTTCACACGAGAGGAGCTGCTCAGAGTCTGATAAAGAGTCCTCTGGCGGTACAAAAGTGCTGTTCAAAAGAACTGCAGGTAAAAGGAGTTGTTTGTTCATTCTGCTTTTATGGGTGAAAGCCAAAAATTGAGCTGTTAGTTACAGTTGAACCTCCATGTGCGAGTACCTATCCAAAACAAAAAGATTTACCCAGTGAAATTCCTATAGTTAGAAACTCTCGTAAGCGACTGCGACGGAAATTTTGGACTGACGGTTGTTTGATTTTCCGTTGTTTTTAACCTCTTGTTAGCAACCGCTTGACTAGCCTGTTCCAGTTATTCAGCCCTCGTTTTTCCCCCTCGTAACTCCCTGCGTACGATTCTCTCTCCACCATCTGAACGCCAGGACGAACCGGCCACTGCTTGACGTATGGTCTTATCTCTATGTTCACTACGTGTACATGTGCTCCGTTACTCGGAGAACCCTTCCTGAGAACATAAAACTACACGTAGCGAAAGATAAAAATTGTGGGTAGTTAATTCTCCTCGAAAAAGATGTATCGGAATCTCCTGTCGGAAGGGACCCCCTGTGGACCAAGCGACCACCTCCTGTCACTTAAGGCGCTGGTTTTCACTAGCGACGGAATCGGACTCGGAATCGTAAGCGGAGTCTCAAGAGCGCGAAAATCAAACATCAGAGTAATAAGCAGAGACATAAGCGCGACGGAGTCGGAGTCAGAAGAATCACAAAGTTTCCATATTTTCTTCCGACTCTAGTGAAACCAGATTGTCACAGTCGGAAGCAGAAGCGGAAGGATAAACCAATCACGAGGCTAGTTCCCACGCTTTGTGATTGGTTTAGTTCTTCCGCTTCTGCTTGCGACTCCCACAGTGTACGTTTCACTTGATCGTCGAAACGACGGAGTCGCAAGCGGAATCAGAGGAATCAGAACGCTGTTTTCACTAGATCGTTGAGTCCCATGCTTCTGATTTCTACTCTGACTCCGTCTCCGTTTTTAATGAAAATCTTGGGTGGTTGCTTACGGGAGGTTCGACTGTATTTTAAAACTGAGTATTTCTTGCAGAACCTCATACAGCTGTAAGTTTTTGGGAGGGTATTGGTCTATCGACGCCTTTCTAAGGCTTAAATTTGAACTACTGTACTTTGATAGCGAGGAGGTTTGAAAATAAGGAAAAGTACATATATTTCTCTACTTCCATGTAAGGTGTTTGGTCCGTTTCCCCAGTGCATACAAGTTCGGACACGGAAGAAGACAAAGTACTTGAGGACTCACCCAGCTGGAACAGGGAAACATCACAAAGTCAGTTACCTTATGGTAATTCTGGGAATAAACCGGCAACGAACATTTGCGTCTTTACAGATCGACCTATAGCTTCACTTGTACCATACAATCCTTTGGAAAATGTCAACGTCGAGCCTATATATTCTCCTGCTTTAGATCGAGAAGCTCGCATCAAAGAGCTGCTTAGCAAACAAGAAAAACTTCTAGCGAAAGTGCGCCAGAAAAAAATTGACGAGGAATAAACGATTGAAGTCGTCAGGAGTGGTTAGCCTTTCGCATGGACTTGAATTTATGGAAATCATATATCCTTGGCTAAGCTTTGGACTTAAAAGTTTAATATTGTATGTAATATACTGTACGATTCTCGCGGAGACTCGCAGCCCAACCCTTTAGAAAGGAAAATTCATTGTTACTGTATGTGAACGAGAAGGACGATAAAAACCGGATATATGTACCGTTAGTTTTATAGTTGTACCATGTTACGTTACCATTTGCAGTTTCACCGTCAAGTGTTAATATTACTTGATAGGATGCAGAGCGAAACATAGTTTTGATCATTCTTTTTGTAATGATGACGGTGCGATAATGTTTGTTATTTTAGAGAACATTTGTTTTATTCCACGGAGTGGAATTTTAGATACACAAGAATATTTAAGGGTATTTCTCTTCGTGGAGAAGATGCACTTTTTGTGACCTGAACCACAGCGAACCGATTTGGTATTTGTACCACAATATTTTGAAGTGCCCAGGGCTCTCATTAAAATTTCAAGTTGCCGGGCTAATGATACAAGTAGGCGAGGAACACAGCAGCTAAGGATTTTGCTTGATTCTATTTTTCTCCTATTTTCCTACAAAAGTAGAGAGGGGGGGGGTCACGTTCATTATAGCCGGGGGAAATCCCCAGCCCCCAGCCTTCTCAGTGCCTCTGAGGTGAGCAGTGGAGTTAAATCAAAGTAAGTGAAAGCAGCTATTTTGGAAAGTTTTGTCTGTGCTTTTGAATAGGGAGCTTGAGCAGCTACTGGGGCGACGGCAGCAAAAACTTCCCCCATATTGTACTTTGTAGATTCGCCTACTCAATGATTCATGGCAATTATTCCATCTCAAATATAGATGAATTTCCAGGAGTTTTGCATCCAAGTTAAGAAGAATTCGTCGTTGTGTGTATTTTATAAAACGATGCGTAATGGAGTCGTACAGAGCACGTCAAGATATGTGCGGTGGCAAAAAACCTAATGCACGCGCGGAATTATTGTCTGTTTATTTTAAAGGACAAGGGACACTCACTTTAAACCATGGAAACAACAGTGTTTAATGTTAAATCAAAGTGGTATATTGAACATTGAAAGATAAATTTTGAAATTTAGCAAAATCTATTTTAAAGACGCTTTATTTTACTTGTACAACTGTAATGTATTCGTCCTCTTTTTAATACTTTGGTATTTGCCCACTTTTATTACAGTTGAACTTCTCTACACTCTCTACAACTGCTACCTTGGGCACAAAATAAACTGGCCATTGTAGAGAGGTTGAAACAGGCGTGAATGTACGGACTGCCCGCCCAAAAAAATGGCCGTTGTAGAAAGGTCGCCCTTGTGGAGAGGTGGCCGTTATTGAAGGTTCGACTGTATACAGTACACACATGAGTCCTGCTTATAACTCAAGAGGAAAATAATCTAGCCAACCTCTTTAAGACCGTATTTGTCTTAATAATTTCTACAGTCAACCAAAGATTTAGAGCCTTTACAGAGTTGTCCGTTTTAAAGGCGTAGGAATTGTATGAAGTTTGTTCTGTTTGTTACCAGCAAAACACTTTGTGATCCTCGGCCTTGATGTATTGACCTCGCTACTGCCTCGGTTTGAGATTTCTCTGTAATGACCTTACTCTCGGTTAATAAATAGTATTTATTATATGGCCTTTTTTAGCGCGATGAATACAATAACAACACCGGAAGTAATTTTCAACATCCGCGCGTAAGAAGTCATTCGAGGTCTTGTCCCGGGGTCGTGTCCAACTTAGCGATGCGATCGAAACCACATGACACAGTTTCTTTGACAATGAAGACCCCCCGTCCCCCTGGAATTTCCATTCCTGGGGGTGCATGTCAGACCCCTTCACCCCCTGGAATTTACATAATTTTCCAACTTGGTTAGGCATCCCCTGGAAAAGATATTTCCGTTTAAAATGCTGTTGCACTAAACCTTTGTGCTAAAGATAATTATTTCTGCGATAGAGAGAAAAATCCTTTTATTCATGTTAATACAATGTCTAATAATCTCAATTTTGCCTTGTAAGGTCTTCTTTAGTAATTAACGGTAAGTCACTGGGAAACAATACCTCATGACACGAATGATGTCTCTGTCAAAGAACCAGTTAAATTTAATCTAAACACCAAATGGACTTCAATAACTTCCTTTCAGTTAAAAACATGTTAGAAGATGGCTTAGAACGCGACCACATTGCGGTGAATACCACAATATATTGTGTAATAGAGCAACAGCTAGATAACCACAAGTTTATTCATGAGCCGATGACAACTATCAATCGTGTAAGCCGTGACAAAAGCGTTCCTTGCACCTGTCCCGTAGTCATGGTGACCGTTAGGGCACCACGGACCCAGCAACCCTTTCCCTGCCTTTTTTTTTTTCAGATTCTCTTAGGCTGCGTGCAACTCCCAACATTGTTGCGCCAACAATTTTGGGAGTTGTTGCGTGCGTGTTGGCAGTGGTGTGCAAACGGATGCAACAACTCCCAACAATGTTGGGACCTGCAGTGCATCGTGGGTAGGATACAACCCATAAGTCTTTGTAAACCATGCGTAATGAGCGTGCGTGACCCCAACAATGTTGGAAGAGCTGTGCAAACGGATCCAACATTGTTGCGCTACGCTTCGGCGATCACGAAACAAAAGAAATGTTGGGAGTTGTTGGCTGAAAAGTTTGACCGGTTTCAAACTTTGTGCAACAACACGCAACAACATCCAACAACATGCAACAGGTTGTGCAAACATACAACATGTAATATCCAACAATGTTGCGTCCGTTTGCACGGGGCTTTAAAGCATCTCATCTCAGTGGCCTGTAATTTCTTCAGGATGTCCGCTATCAATGTCCATTACCCCGAAGGATTCTGGTAGTAGTAGTAAAATGACGCCATCGTGCAAATGGCCTATTGTTCTTTTAAAAGACCGTTAACAGTAAAAATGATAACTGAGAGCTTGCTCAACAGAGAAGCTGTTATTTCTTAAATAACCTTCCAATCTTACTTGGAGCCCCAAGAAAAAAGACCTCAAGAATCCACCCCCACCCCCTTTGAAATTGCCCCCTCGTGGACCCCCCTCAGAATTTCTGTTGCCCTCCTTGGGGCGGTGGGTTCTGGAACTACACATGAGAAATTTTGGACCTGAGTCCGCGAACAAGTAAAAACCATTAACTGGTCGGCGGATAGCTTTATGTTGTACACTTGAGCCCGTGATGTAGTCATGTGACACTGATCAGTAGGTAGCTTTTTTGACTGCTGTCAATTGACCATAATATGGGTGTCCACTATCACAACTGAATTGAAAGCAAGGCTGATCAGACAGCTGACGGCTGGTAATTTACAAATTCAGCTTAGCAGCCATCAGAGCGCGCGTACTATTGTAGCCATATAATAGTAGGGAAATATTCGACCGTGCAACGAAAACTGCCTTTATCCCTATGCATCCGTCCAATCAAGGGTCGGCCGAGTTTTTGGCTAGATATTTTAGAAGAACAATTTGAACCAACGATGATCCTGTGAATAGGCTTCGGATGCTCCTGTTACTGGCTGTTTGATTTTACAACTGAGTGTTTGTGTTTTACCTTGGGTGACATACTTTGCAAGTCTGTGGTACCCTTCAAACGAACACAGGGTCAGCGTAAACCTTGGTATCTGGTTTAACTGGTGAGGACTTTTCAAACTTGTTAACTGTATTGTAATTAAGGGAGTTAATATGAACCACCAGGTTTTCATGGCTTCCGGGTAAAGTACCAGTGAAAACGTAGAACTACTACTCTAGCCTGTGTACAGCCGCCCCTCCCCTAAAAAAAAAAATCGATTTTTTTGAGGGGAGGGGCGGCAGTACACAGGCTATCTTTACTCTTGAAATTATAGGCCAACCTTGGAAGGCTTGGCACATTTTGTGGACAAATCATTGACTGAGGCCAGCTCAGATGGTGCGTCAGTGGTTACTTTTCTGTTAATAATATTCATCTCTTCTGGACGTCTTTTCCAGCTTCGAAAGCCGTTTGATCAACAATCTCTTCACATTGCAGAGAATGTCCTTTTTATAAGGAGTTATCTCTCTCATAATTCTCTCAGCAATAATTTCAATTCTGCGGCGTATTTCATTGGGATCATCCACGTTCGATAGGCCTGTAGATTTATTCTCATGGCAAACAGATGACGGGAGAAATTCTCCAACTGCCAGTCTCTGTCTGGAAAGGTCTTCATTTTGGTCTGCATATTCCCTTTGGACCAAAACATTGCTGCCGACGTGATTGTTAAGCTCACGGGAATCCCTATTGACAAGCTCTTCTGGCTTAGATATGTGTAGACTCTGTCTAGGCTGGACAGTGGATGAGTGGATTGCTGTTTGCTCGGAGGACTCGACCTGGTAATTTCCTGGTGCGTTTTGTCGAAGACCTGAATTGTTAAAGCACTCTTCGTTAGATCCCCCATCATTGCTTGACGTACCACCTAACATTTCATTCAGCTGTATGTTCTCAGTTGAAGAAAGTTTTTCGGCTTGGCCCAACTCTTTCCACCATGATTGCCTTCCTATATCTTCTATTGTGTGCACCGCCACGATTTTAGGAAGATCGCCGTAGTCGAAAGTGTAGCCACCACAATCATTGAATGTTATGTCCTCTTCATATATTGTTTTATTTGAAACGTTTCGTTCCAACGGAAGTGCCCCAGCCAGGAAACTTTCTCCGTCTTGGCTGAAACTTGTCGTGACAGGCGTGTTATTACTGCAAGTTTCGTGACTCAAAGATGTAGAGTGAGGGAAAGTCGCTGAATCATTTAGTTCGACATCCCTAGGTTCTTGGGTTATGATATCTGGAAATGCGCTGTCAAACATCGGTGTCGCCTGCTCTTCATAGATCCCGTCCATGTCTGGCGGAAGTTGAGGTAGGAAGTTCTCACTGTCTGGGTTGAAATTTGTAGTTGGAGGCGTATTATCACTGCAGGTTTCCTCACTCTTAGAGGTAGAACAAATAAACTGGACATCTGAATCAATCGATCCGTCATCCTTAAATTTGTTGGCTCTCATGTTTTTAGATCCGCTGCCAGACGATGGTTCAGCCTGGTCGTGCTGTTGTTGACTCAAGAATCCCTGTAGCAGTGATGTTTGAGCATTAATCCACACTGTCCTAACTTTTTGGCTCTGAAGAAACATCCTTTTAAGCCTTTTATTAGTCTCTGGATTAATTGTTTCAGACAGCGTTATTCGTTTTCTGATACTTTTCTTTCTTCTTTTTTTCGGCTTTGTTTTATCTTTAGCGTTCTCATGGTCATCCTTCAAAGCTTGAAGTTTGCTTTGTCCATGAGAATGGGTTCCAAATGCATCATCGCCAATGTCACCATTAACTTGTGTTGTGGCAAGAGGAAATACTCCTGGGTTTAGTTGAATTAGTTCTGTACTTCTAGATTGTCCTTGTTTAAACATCGTATTATTATGATGGGGTGAAAGGCCCTCTGTAGGTGGTGGAAAATGGCATTGCATTGAGATTTGTTCCATGCAATGACGCCTTTGCAATTCAGTCAGTTCTTCGTGATAGGTACTAGGCTCCTCTGTTTGCCTTGATGAATTTAGAAGGGACTGATTACCCCCCTGGCTACAGATCATTTTGTAACAGCAGCAAAAATTAGCTTGGCATGCACACAGGTTACCGTAACTCACATTCATGCCTTCGGTCGGCGAAAACATGGGTTCCGCATATCGCCCATTGTCGCGATGAGTAATGTGCGTGCATGCGCCGTAGCTTTGATTGTATAGAGGGATCAAGAACCGCGCTTGTGATGCTCCTTTCATAAATGAGGTAGATGTGTTATGCAATGCACGGCCAGGCCTCAGAATTGGAGGAGGTGGAAGACCTTCCGTTCTGCACGGGAAATAGTTTGAATCTAGAAAAAAGAAAGGTATACTAGCAAGGTGTAAAACTGATCTGACGACGCGTTTATTTTTTTTCCTTACGTCTAATGTCAGTCACGCTATTTGTTGTCTTTTAAAAAAGCTAAAACTTGTCTTTGCATTCCAAATATAATAATGGTCCAGTTTTGTTATTTACTAGTCTATATTTAGGAGTTTACTGTCGTCCGTTGCATTAACATATTGAAAGGATGGCTATTTTTTTTCACGTTTTAATGCTATGGCTGCAAAAATCACCAAAAAAGTATTATGGTTAGTGCTCCCTGATGAAATTTGTTTGTGACGTCTTCTTTATAACTTTACAGAAGCATACAGTGCATGACTGAAGGCACTAAGCAATGCCTTCAGCACAGAATTGACCTTAAACAGCAATATCCTTGTGACATGCTACCGTAAAAGTCCCACTTTAAAGCTTCCCCCCCCCCCGGATATAAGCCTATCCATTTGCTAACGAAAATATTATCCCGGATATAAGACCCCCCGTTTATAAGCCCATCTAATGTATCAGTGTGTTCCTTTAGCGTTTCTTTACAAACATCAAAATTTGTTTTATAGATGTTGACCAAAACCCCTTATGATGTTATATAAGCGCGAGGCTTTAAAGTGGGATTTTACGGGTAGCCCTTTAAGGGTAAGCTGTGAGCATGACATAACCTTACCATTATTTTGAAAGTTTGAATTGCTTCTTGTCGAATCGTCGTAATTGAATGGCGAGGAGTGGCAAGCGAGGCCCAAAGTGGAGTAACGAGAAGGAAGGTACATTTTTAACAACTTCTGCTCGTGACCTGAAAATATTATGAAGCAGGAAATAATGTTTTTCCAACATTGAGCGTCATTGAACTACTAACGAACGTCAAAACGGAGAAAATTACAATCGCTGATTTTAGCGCTTTGATTTAAAATTCGGTAGACTTTCCCAGTCCTTTACAGGTAATGACTATACGTGAACACCATTCCTAATCTTTCCTGCGAGAAAGTTAAGGGCAGAATGAATTTGTGGTGTGACAACTGTATTGCACACGGAATGTCTCAAAATCATGCAGAAAGTCCTGTCCGGTCATGAAAATTCGACCTTGTGTAATGTAATCGATATTTGGGAGTGTTTTGCAAATTCGTTAATTTTTGTTGGCTGTAAACTCGCAAGCTTAAAGATGTAAGTTTAAGTAAGTACTCATTTATAACCTAAAGGTGTGCTCTTGTATTACCTACTTAACAGTTGTCATTCAGTTCCCCTTAAGTTGTGACCAATATAGTTTCATTTTGTCTGTAATGATTCAAGAATTTTTCAAAATGACTCATTTTCGATCATTTCTTGATACTTTTAGTCAGTTGAAACAAAAATATATGATTTCTGGCAACTTAAGCTTTAGCTTTCTTGAAAGTAAAGTTTGCGTGTCCAGGTTATGCTTTTGTTCGAAATTTAGCAACAGGATCTGGCTTTCAAGGCAAAAAGAAGCATCTTTTGACATTGATAGTTGACTGTTATTGTAAGACAACATGTGGGATTTTTAAGAGTCAATTAATTTCCCATGCAGATAGTGGTTGTCGTGTTTGATGTCAACACCACAATATTCTATGTACATCTTAAGCACAATGAAAATTTTCGGGCACGAATTTAATTCCTTCCAGTTGTTACCCTAACCGTTTATGAGAGAGTAATTTCTCTTCAATGATAAACCCATCCGAATATAAGCCATTTAAAGTAGGTCTTCGAAAATTGTAAACCCCGGGACTTTTATCGGATTTTTACTTAGAATTTTACGATAATTCGTGGGAAGCTAAGCGTGTTATTTGGTTCCGTTAAAAGTTTATTCACTCGACAAAAAATTAGTTGGGGGTGTATCCGCTCTAAATGAGACCCATAATCAGGCTTGAAGATTAATGATATCACATTTTGTATTTGTAGAAAAGCTCCCTTCATTTTTCTCGGTAAATTATCAAAGCTTTTGGTGCCATGAAATTGCCGTTTTGGGATTTTACAACTGTTCGTGATTTTGCTTTGTTGACTCAGGTATTCTTCGCTCACTTGTCCTTCTAAGTACCTCTAAAAATTAACCCTTGGAATCAGGGTCATCGATTTAATGGCACTAGCTTCCTCCTGGGGAGGGGGGGGGAAGGTTGATTCCCGTGTCAAAGGGGCGGTGTGTGCACCTTATGGAGTTTTAGTTCTTTAGTGGTTTGGCGGAACAGACCCCCCCCCCCCCCCCCTAAAGAAGCAAATTTCTTTTTGGTTTTGCCACTTTAGTCAGTCGTTCATGATCTTATGCTTAGAAAAATAAATAATCACATGCAGTTTTCTTGAGGAGCAAAGTATGAAGATTATTTACCTACTTAAAGGCTTAACAGACGAAAAATCATCACAAACACATTCAGGGGCTTATAAAAATATTGCACGCTATGAGCTAGATAACAAACACGGAAACTTGAAGCGAAATCCAGTTGCACCGTTGCTTAATTAAACCACAAGGCACAGGAAGGAAAGGATTCAAAGAGAAAAGAGAATCCCCGATTAAAAACAGTTGAAAAAGGACGAGATTTGCAAAACGAAAAGAGGCAATTAGTGTCAAATTTAGATGCGTAACTACGTACCTTGTGACCCATTTATAACATTTGGAAAAAAATAGTTTTTAAAGATTTGACTCGCCTCTTTGTAGACTTGCGTACGGATTGCAGACGTCCCCAGAAGACGTTTGCATTATCTCCTAGTTCTTCTCAACACTCGGATAAAAACTTACTCCCTCGTTTGTAAGTCAACTGTGGCTTACGGGTGTCCCCTTGATTGCGTTTCGAAGACGATTGGGGAGGACCAAGAGGAAGCACAGGGACCATACGTTTGGCCTGACATGAACTGTACATGCGCGAGCACTAAACTGGCATGGAACCTGAGTCTCAATTGTAAATAGTATTACTGATATTCAATCAGCCGAGTATGAGTGTAAGAGATACAATAATACCAAGGTAAAATATACTCTCAAAACTAGTTTGACTAGTTTTCTCACTATTAACTCCATCCTACGCCACAGCTAGAGCTCTCCCCTGCCAGTTCACATTGCACACTACTTTTTCTTAATCATTACTTTATAATCACTACTGAACATAACTTTAAATGCTGCAAAGCCAAATGTAATTATTTTGTGGTATTGGTTATCGGTTATCTACATTTTAAAGTTGTTGTTGTCGTAGGGTCTTTTTAACCTTTTGTTTTGTCAACAAAGGGACGCTTAACTTTGTTCTGTTGTTTACCACTGAAGAGTCAGTCCCACTTACATCGCGAATAGATATGTAGCTCGGCTAAATACCGGAATTTGCAGGGCAACTTGATTCCCAGGGTTCTCTCCTACCCGTCCCTACGGTACGAGAGAGAACCTGGGAACGAGGTTGTTTGCAAGACACTCCTTGCGTTAGGGAACTTTAGCAACGACGACGGCGACGGCAACCAAGACGTAAAAAAAGGTTTATTACGCAAAACAACAACTTTGCACGTGCATCACGCTTTTTTGTACATTTCTTTACCGTCCTTGCACGACTACGGCGTGAAAATGCCTAATTACAAGTTTTATGGAGGACGTAAACAAGCGACGATGAATCTCTTTTTCTCTCTCTAAACTTGGGTGCGGTCCTAAAGAAATCAACTCCAGGGAAATTTGCCTACACTTGCCATTTTCAGCAAATTGGAATAAACGCGACAAAGATTGAAAAAACGGGAATTCATTTTAAAACTGACGTTTTCGCTGCCGTTGCCGTCGTAGATGCTAAAGCTCCCTATTAATATGGGCGCTGGCATCCCAGTTTTATCTTCCTCGCTATTCTCATTTAATACTTGTAGTCTAAGGCTGATCGGTTAGGATTTTAATTTAGGTTTTGATTAGCTATTTGCAGCTGTGTAAAACATAACATTAGCAAGCCATAATATACCCGCGAGGATTTGATTCAATGTCAAAGGAATATATTTATGCATGTTTCTGGTACACATTTTGTTGCCAGGACATACATGCATAGGGTGGTGGCCGGGGGCGGGGGGGGGGATGCTCTAATCTCAGTTCGGCGAATACTAAGAAGGTGAATGCCCCTAATGACAGTTTTCTCAGCTTTCAGTAACATCTTTGGATGACAGATTGTAAGACGCTTCGTGTTTTAGCTTACTTTGATTAAAATCTCGACGAAAATCTCGACTAGTTCTCAGCTATCGGTTAATCAAACCAATAGGAGACCTTCTTTCAACGGCTCTTACTTGAGCCTAAGCATAGACTCATGAAAGCTTGCAATATTTTCATGTGAACCACTGAAAAGAACAATTTTCATAGTATATACAATGCGCAGGGAAATTATATCTTCCGAACTTACATTATTATTTGTGTAATGCAAGGCAACGATCCACCGGGAAAAGTAGAGCATTTTTCCCTTTCATTTACCGCACGATTATCCGGCGCATATTCGCCCTCGAATCCATCGTTTACAGCTCAAGCACCGACACTAGCTAGTCGTGCGCTCCAGCGAGTTCAGGGTCCTGCGCTATCAGGTTTGTTTTGATCTGTTGTGTACACAGTTTGCGCGCATATACCCATACCTGTAAACAGAACAATGTCGAAAGCAACTTCCAAGGCTTTTCAGTTGAAGGGAAGTCGGAATCTACCTGCATCATTCTAAGTGTTGCGCGATCCAAGCTGTGAATATTATGCTAGATACCCTTAATTGCTATAACGTTGTTATAGAAAAATATATTAAAGAGAAAAGCCAAATTGGAATTAATTAAGAAAGTAAACTAATTTTAAACATTGCAGAAATGAGATGTGAGATGGTCTGTACGATGACGGCTTTTGACTACTACTACCAAAATTCCTTCCGGCCGGGTTTTACTTTCTTGTGCGCGGCCATTGTTATTTAAACCTTGTTGGTATTATCGAATTCAAGAACGAAAGGCTGAAAAACGAAATGGATTCTGGTGGAAGAAGTGCAATGACGCTATTGTGCAAATGGCCTGTTAATATTTAATACCAGTCCTTTGCCGTCAGCCAATCATAGAGGAAAAACCGCATTTTGGACCAAATCCTTCTTTTTAAACCCTTTTTCTTCTAATTGGATGTAATTAAGCAGCTTTTTGTTCTTCGCACATTTGCATAAGACAAAATTTGGATTTGTTTGTTTGTTTTTTTTTTGCGATTCTATTTGGATTTTTTTTCTCACAGTTTTGTTGCCCACTTTACCGTCTTTCTTTCGCATGAATTTTTGGAAGAAATTTAATCTGTAAACTTAAGAGTAGTAGGTAAATAGCAAAATTGGTAGTGTATTTTTTCCCCAATTGTTGCTTGTTTTTTGTTTATGACTCTGTCAGCATTGGTCAAAATTTGCTAAATGAGAAACCAGTGGAAAACTCTCTCCTCGTTGATTTTGCTTATTACCATTTTAATAGCTTTAATGGAAATCTTAATGGGTATCAGAGTCCAGGAAGAATAATATGCATAGGACCATGTGGACCCAAAACCACCAAAGCGGACGACAAACTGGAGGCGCTAGGTCCAATGGCTGATCCAGGGGAGAGGCCCGGGGGGCCCGGCCCCCCCCCCTCATTTTTAGACCAAAATGAGGCCCGAAAGGCCGAACAAAAAAAATTTTTTTTGAGGCCGCCCCCCCGTTATCTCAGGGTCTTGATTACCCCCTCCCCTTATTCACTGTTCACTGTGCTGAAAGTCGAATTGGATAAGGCTGTTATTTATTTATTTATTTATTTATTTACTTATTGTTTTGTGTCTTTTTATAATACTTGGACTGCAAGCAGTGTCTAAGAAACGAGGGCGGCAGCCCGAACAAAACTCTTTTGCCGGTGCTCATTTTCTTGTCTTGTGCGTTTCGCTCGACGGAGTCTAATAAGAAAAAAGAGAGGCTGCTTGTAGTCTAGAAATACTGGGCGCTTTCCATTTACCAACAAATTTCGGAAATTCCGGTTTGGGTGCAAATGGAGCAGGGTTTTCGAGCCTTTCCAGTGGAATGAAAAGATATCCGGAGCAACAGAATGTCTGAAATGGTAGTCCTGTTTTTCAGGACGGAATGTTTCAAACTTAAAGTCATGTTCCAGTTGTTTAAACCCATCTTTGATACCAGTTACAGACTTGGTCTTTTTTTCGGTAAATGAACTGATTGATGCAGACCGAGTTATCGAGATTTCGGAATGAAATTTACCGGTCCGGTACCGAATTTTACCGATCATTTGCCTAAACCGTGATCTGACTGGTTTACCCTATGAATGAAAAGCGCCTACTGTCTCTTTCGAATTTCGTCTTATTCTCGTGCATAGATGCTCATAAATTTTTGACAAGACAAGTCAATAATCCCTTGAGAGACGGGGTGTCTTGGGAACATAACATGAAATCCCGGGGGGGTACTTTGGGAATTTCTGGGTGAGGATGTGCCGCTGGGACCTTGGAACCCTTAACCTATACCAGAGCTAGTTCAGCTGAATTTTGCTATCCTATACTAGACTAAACTCCCCAAATCCCCCTATCCTAGAGTAGCTGTTTCCCTAGTCTAGATAAAACCTTCAACCAACTGATCAGTTTCCTGAAAAATGATACCCTATTCTAGACCCAAACGTTCTGTTTTATATACCCTATCCTAGAGTAAACTGCTTGAAAACCATACCCTTCACAGCGGCACATACCTATATAGCCCATATATGGCAGTACACCCCCCGGCATGAAATACTTTAGAAAACAAAAGAAACAAGCTAACCAGGCTCATTAGCCTTTGGTATCAACACTTTTGTTTTCTTTTGTTTTTTGTTTTACAAGTGTAAGCAAACATAGGAAGGACAATAAGCTAAAAAGGGAAAGTGTTGGTAATTGGGGTATAAACTTTAATTAAGTTTTCGAAGCCAACCCCCAGCTGTGCGGATAGGACTTGATATATCTCAAAAAATATCCATCAAACAATCACAACACCGTTGGCAGAACAAATTAACACGATCCGGTTCAAACAGTCACAACCCTCCCTCAACAAATTAAATACTAAGTAAACATGAATGCGCTAATATGTTTAAAAGCGCATTAAAAATACGTTACACTGCGCACGTGTCATCTCAACAATCTATGAAAGTAGAATCAGGCTCAACAATCGGACCGGATTCTTGCCGGTCGTGACCAGCCGGCCGTATACAATAGTGGACACCGAGGCCAATGGACCTCTTTAGCTGTTTTGTTTTCCCAATACAAGTCAAGTGATAATACTTTAGTAGAGAACTGTTTCTTTCAAATTTCGATTTATTCACGTGCATATCTACGCATGATTTAAATGAAAAGACAAAGGGTCAAGTTTCCCTGGGACCTCTATTGGGAAAACAAAACATACAAGCTAAAGAGGTCTATTGTTTTTTATATATGTCTGAGATGTGTTACGTTACGCCGATCGTATCTCAGAGAGTCGTACGTAGACCATTACATACCTTGTATCATATCGATTAACCTGACGTCTACGATTAATGTTATATAATCGGAATATTATGTGTCAGCAGCATTCAGTTTGTAATCAGTATAATATTCTCTAAATGGATGCAAACTCTTGCACAATATATTACTTATATTAATAAGAGTTTTCCGCGGCATTTTAGATCCATTTTTAGTCCTATTCCGGTTTCTAAGTGGCCAATATTAGCTTTCAGTTTAATTCGGATCGAAATAGTTGTCAAAACTAATTTAGATCACTAAGAAAAGCAAGGTGTTTTATTTACGGAAAAATTTCTACTTCAAATACCGAGGAACTAGAGAGTATCTTTTGGGCGTGGACCATGAAATATTTGAAGGGGGAAGCGAACGGGGAAGGGGGGGAGATGCGCAAGCGACTAGGTTGGTGAAGGTGGTATTTTGGTTTGGTCACTACAGACTGCTGATTGTTGTAAATAATTTTTCCACCATTTGTAGCCGGAAATTTAATTACGCCATTTCACATTGGATGTTTTTTTGTTGTCTAGCGAGGCTTACGGGAAATTAGTCTTAAAACATGAACCCCACTATAAAATGTTTAATAGCCTATTACGTTCGAATAGTACTGATTCAAAGCAGAATATTTGACATCACGGCCAGCCAAGTTAAAAATAGATCACTCGAGACAGAAAGAAACTTAACATTTGTCATGCACTCATATCAATTTGTTGTTGGTCGGTATTGCATCATGTTTATAGGACCTTGAACGAATCACAAGAAGATCACATGAACAGCAAAAACATTGATTAGCATTAACTTCCTCATTACTGTGACGCCGTGTCACTCGTTATGTAACACATCACCCCCTTCCGTTTTTAATCATTATTGAATGAATTTAAACGATTTAATTTGCTGATACAATAAGCCAACTGGTTGATGGGAACTGAGACACTGCCCCGGTCGCCATCACTGAATGATCCATGTTTAGTGAGTATTCTCTGTCATTTCTTTTACTTTCCTACACGACATAGTCACCGAACAACAGTTTCATTCTCCGGGGATAACACGCTCCACGGGCTCAGAACTAAAAACATTTCCCATCCCCTGACTATCACTTTGGTTTACAGTTCATATTTTCCGTCCATAATAATAGTACCTAGCCGATCAGGATTGAAGTCCTCAATAACGAACCGAAGTGTTAAGACAGTGCCGCCTAAAAATCTTCATTTCACTGTAGGGTTTTGTCCATAGATTCACGTAATGTTTCTCTCAATAATTAACTTAGAGAGTGAAGTCTCCCCACGCAGAGACAACCTCAACGAGAACGGAACTAAACAATTCGACAACAGAGACAAAACAGTGGTGGGATTTATACACTGATTTTGATGCATTTTCTTCTGTCCTCCGCGAAAAAGGTTTAGAGATTCTATTGGAGAATTATAGGTTTGTTGAACTCTCTAAACAATTACGCAGCGAAAATAGTCTAATCAAGGGAGAATAATCTCTTTTGGTTTTAATTTAAAAACTCTGTAACAATCACAAAGACTCAGAGTCATCGGAAATTCTTCATTTCCGAGGGCCTCGTGTTGTGAGAATTTCCACGTTGTGTGTTAATGTCACCAGGACCAATATTTGCCATAACCACACATACCGTAGTAAAATAGACTACTTATTAATAATTATTATCCTAATATTATTTGCAAATAATCCATATGACGCCAAAACCCCAATGCCAAATGGCGCTATGAAACTTTTCAGCTAATGTACACAGGATGTTTATCTTGACCTAGTTTCCCTAGTCACTTTGTTGGTAGCAACCATGCCAAGCGAGTGTGACTTATCGGCGATCCACTGCGATTCTTTTTAAATGAATTCGTAAGTTCCTATTTCTGAACAACCGACGTCACCAACGATTCTTTCGTTTTCTTAAGAGGATTCCTTTTATGTTAGTGTTTTTCCTTTAACGTATTTTAAGTTTGTTACTGTGTTGTTATTATGGTTCTTTGGTGAAAAAAAAAAAAAAAAAAATTACCTTTTCATTACAGCTTATACTGCTGGTCACACTATCATTCTCGCCTTTTTTATATGTAACAGCTTGTGTCCATCCAAATTGAATAGCTACTCAGCAACGCACCTCTTTTCTAGTAACCGTTTATCACGTGCAATTCAAGTGTAGAATGCCATCCGTCATTATATATCGATGTAACTATGAGAACAACCATATATTCCCTAGTACTAAACAGTGTAAATTTATAGACTGTGAGTTTCATAGCACTTGACCGCCCCCCGGAAATACAGCTAGAGTTTTAACAACGTGCGCTCTGACAGGGCCTGAGTCAGGGGGAACCTCAAACAGGAGAACACTGAAAAGCTCTTACTAGTGTAACACGGGCAATTAAACATTCAGTAAATACTCAAATTCTGCTTTTAAAAAGTAAATATTCACGTTTTTTAACGTTGAAAAAATAATAATCTCACGGTATCTCAGGCCCTTCTCGATTCGTCTTTCTCTTGAGTCGGCCAATTAAACATTGTAACTATGTCTCCGGTTGTTTGATTAGCCTTGCGCATGCGTTGCAATAAATGGTTTTCACAGTGACGTCATCAAATTGTAAAGTCAAAATAGCGAGGTTTTATGAATTCTTATTTACACTAGGTTGAAGATAAACAAAAAGTTAATCTTTGTACAAGTTTTCAGTCCCATAGTATGTTTCATTTCGAAAATACAGCAATTTGAACTTCCGAGTTTTCAGAGTGCGTGACACCAAAATAGGAATGTTGTCTCGTTGAAAAAAGTCTCTCCTCTTGATTTTCAGCAGTATAACCATTTCAAGTATTCGAAGATATGTTTATGCGTACGTATGCTAGTTCTCGAGTGAAAAGAAGGAGCTTTTATAGAACAAGTGAACTCCTGATGTTTTTGTTGATTTCGGCGGCCATATTGGTGCACCAAAACTGTGCACCAATATGGCGTCTCCATACAAAGCTCTACAAAGATGCGTGAAACGTTTCGGCAAATAACTCAGAAACTGTGGGCCAAAAAGACCTGAGACCTGGACAGATTGTTTAAAAATTAGTCTTTTATAACATATCGTTTTCTTGGCTTCTTCCACTGGACGGTTTTCAATTTATTTTTTTGTTGCGTGACAGTGAAAACGATCTATAGACTAGGTAACTACTTTTTACGCAGCCGGTTTTACACGGTTAAAAAAAGTAGTGGTTGACGCGCACGCACGTACCCCTCGTAACAATTTTCCGCCTCTTGTCTGGCACTATACCCTGCGAGCAGAGGCCCTTCAAACAGAGTTGTTTGCACTGAAGAGTGAAAAAAGGAATGTACAGAGCATATGGCCGAATATTGATTTCACATATGATACTGGCAGTTCTAATGTATTTTTCTCTTTGAGTGCAATTATATAATATTTGTCATGAGTTAATGTACCCATAAAAGCACAGCGTTTCACATAATAGCCACGAGCACTCATTCAGTTCTAGAGAAACACAGCTTTTATGCTTGGTTTCAATCTGTTACCAAGAAACCAATTTTTATTGAAAAGAATGCTCAGTCATTTACTAGTTGTATTTTCCAGGCTAATTCTATTCTAGAAATTGCCAATTTTATTAATTCACAATTTCAGTCCCTTTCGTTTGTCAGTTAAAGCTTGTTTACTTCCTTTTACTCGGGCATAGCATTAAACTGTCAATGAAAAACGGTCCTTTAAGCTGGTTTGATAATGTGTTAAAAATTCTCAGTATATATCTAAAAATAATTGTTTTTTCTCGTTGTGATATTACGTGTTATCACTTTACAGTTGCTGTAAATAAACGTTGGCTATTTTTGGACCCAGCCACAGAGGGGTATTAAAGAAGATCAAGATAAAACTTGAACTTCCTTACTGAAATATTTAAAGGTTTTCCTTTTCATGCTCCATTTACTTTTTTTCACTGACAGTTTGTAGTTTTGAAACTGATGCAAACTTTAATCGTCTTACCCACGAAGCACGTGGGAGTTCTTAAGGATTCCTTTAAACGTGTCCGTGCGTTCCAAATCGAATTAGAATGTGAAAGTGTTGGTTTTTGAGGAGAGGGGAAAAACAGAGTACCCGGAGAAAAACCTCTCGGTGTGAGGGAGGGAACCAAAAAATATACTGCAGAAGCTCTGTAAGCTCACCTTTGCAGGGCTCACCAGCATTCTTACTCACTTTAAAATGTAGTGTATCAACACTAACTCGCTTATTTTCTCGAAAAGTAAGAGGGGAGCAACTGATGAGTTTATAACTTCTAAGTGTGAGCACCGTCCCGGGGGAAGAACCCCTAGGAATTCTTGGTGGTGGTGTGCCGCCCGGCTCCTCAAATGGTCTTCACCTTTTTTCAGATCACATCACTTGTACCATTCAGTTCCATGCTCGTTTTAAGCGGTACGACTTTATCTCTAAAATCCATGCGTGTCTTCAGCCGGACCTGGCTTCTTAAAGTTGCACTCGGCTAACAAACGGTCAGCATACTGTCAAAGCATTTTTTAATCATGATTATTTAAAAGTTGCTGTGACCCATTTAAAGCTGAAACGGCAAATACGATCATATGCTTGCGTGGTTCGAATACCAGTGAAAACCATTTCAGACGGGCAAAATCTTCACCCCCGTTACAACTAATATATGGTCAAAATTCTATTCCCCTATGGGGAGGCACATGCCTTGTATATAGCTTATATAGGGGACTAGCCTACCCCCCGGAAGGCATTGCATAATCAAATCATCAGGAAAGTATACTCGACTGACTTAAAGTGAATGACATCGACAGGTGTCTACTGATCTGTTCATGTAACATAGTATTAATATCTTGTATCACCTGCATCTTTCCTAGAGTCGATCACTGTTGAACTACTGCATCCGACACAGTAATCACCGGCTTTAAAGATGAAACACGGCTAGCTGAGTCTGACGGGATTCACTACCGATGATTTGTGAGTATCTATGTGTCCCGGTTTGTGTGCCATGTGTCTAGTATTTAATACTAATTTGACAGTGACTTATCTGCTGACGTTTTCTTTGAGCTTTATGTACCCTTAAACCGAAAATTCGCTCTTAAAAAAACAGCTGTTTAGTTGATGAGAATTACGATCATCTATGTTTTCTTGAGCATTTCAGTCGCCATTTATTTATCTAAAGCTAATCACTGATACTAATCGGCTGATACTAGTGAAATAAATTATTTAAAAAAGAGATAAAGGATTGAGTGGAATGATCTTTCCATGATGTTAGGAAACAAGTTGACGATTCTGAAAAAGCCAAATAATTAATAAGAATTATGACCACCTGTGTTCAGTAAAATTTCCTGTTATCCTCGCTATTTAATCCAAAACTAATTTCTCAGGCTAACGGTCGATAAAAAGAAATAAGAGTTAAACGCAAACAGGAGCCCATAAGTTGACGCAAATGTTTCTAACTTCAGCCTCAGCTTGGTGTAATATGTAGCGGTCGAAACATCAGGTTTAAAATTTCTTTACTGTCGATTGCGTAAGTTTACCACAAAAGTATCTGTTTTGGAAATTTTCCTATCTTGCCACAATTGAAGTTTTCAGTAGAAACTAAATCCTTTATCAATTTATTTCATGTTTAATGTGATAATAATATTTACAGACATTAACTGTAACATCTTCGACTTAGCGTGCCGATTATTTTCTATATCGCCATCCGTTAGCAGGAAACCAATCTTTGTCGAAAAAATGTTCAATTGTTCGGCTTTCAATCATAACATAATGTAAAAAAAAAACTTATAAAAAATTACATGGGGGATTCTGCCCTAGAAATGACAAATTTTTGAGAGTTGAAACTCATTTCCACAGCAACCACATGCTTATCTCCCTTAAAAGTTGCTATACGTTTTTAGGGTTTTGTCGAATGATAAAGGGCAAATGTGATTAATTGAAACGTTTGAAAGAAACTTACTGAAACAATGTTTTCCTCTTTTGTTTTTGTTATAAAATATAAGGTAGAGGCATCTACACTATATTATCCTGTACTGCTATAAATAGATACCTCCTAGTCCTACACGTGCACCGAATGGCTTTTCGTGTTACCAAATCGAGGCAAACCACTGAAGCTAGCAATCTGTCTGGTTAAGTGTGGACTTTGAACCTGTTTTCAGAGAGTTTTCAATGAATTGATAGAAAAACAATTGGGCCTAATTGACAATTATCCTTTTCTCTGCATGTAATTTGTTTCTATTGACTTGCGCAAATTATTCCGAGCGGCAGAAGCTTTCGAAAATTCTTTTCAATAATGACCCTCAGTCATACCGAATCGGCACTTCGTTTAACACAGATCGTTCTTTCCTGTCCTTGTCCTTTGCTGAAGAACGGAGTACGGTTCAATGGCGGGGTTCGATTGCGGCCTTAAGTCCTGGCTTAGAGGAAAAATAAAGTAAGTTGTAGCGCTGGTTTGCACGTGACGCCTCGGCGGCCATGTTGTTGATCTTCTCTCCACTGGGAACTAATCACTATTTTCATACAAAAAAAGAAAGAATTACAAACAGATAAATAAAATGAATTAATAATTGTATTAATCATAGCCGGCCACGGCCACAGCCGCCTTGTCACGTTGTTGCAAAGCAAGTACGTATCTTTGAAAACAAACCTTTGTCAGTGGCAACGTCTTCTAGATAATAGTAATGATAATAGTAAAATAATATCCGACACACTACAAGCTCAGAAACCTCCAGCTCATTTGTGTTTGTAACAGTCGTGCTGTAATTTAGTGATCAAATATTGTGAAGTGCTAATAATACCATTGTCTTTTCGCAGTTCGAAAATTAACAAACTTGCCTGCGACAGGTGTTTACAGTGACACATTGATTGTGCTTTTCCACGACTTTTTTTTCAAGTAAAAGAATAGGTCATTTTTATATGAAGGAAATAATGGCTAAAGAATGCAACTTTGCTATAAATATATAATTGTTTAAACTTTGCCCGCTGTATTTCCGGTTTCTAATATTGTGATGCTAATTTTCAAGTCAAACGCGCGTTCCGCCACGTCTGTTTCAAGCGAAGAATCAACGAATTGTTTATGTTTGTATCAAAGCAACAACTTCACAAAGAGCCCATATGGTTTTCAAACAGTAAGATGCCAGTGTTGCTGCTGAATTTAGGGATGCGATTGATAACTGTCTTGTAACCAGCCATGCAAGGTAAAGGTTGATCGATGTGTTATAAGGCCGGTATATTGCGATGATAATCTATACACGCTACAAGACGCATCTTCTAACGAATCTGAATACCCTTGGGCATCGGAGTACTCCTTGTGCGTCCAAAGGGAACAATCTCGAGACAAAAGTGTTTTACAGGGAGTAATGTGACCAGTCCGGTAAGTTTTCCAAAGTTTTTTTCTTCCTTTCTCTCCTGCGCTCCTAATGGCATTCTTAAATCTAATTAGAGTAGCTCTCAGTTAAAATTTGACGGTAGCTGTTTAGAATATCCTATTCTTTTGGTGGCGAGGGCGGAAGTCCGCATTGGAAGACTTCATTCATTCATTCAAGGTTTTTTTTAATGAGAAATGACTTTCATTAATGAAATCATGCCGATTTCCTTAATCTGATGGTTTTACCCGAGATTAAGTTTGATGGCGGACAAATATGAGCGGAACTGAAGCCTTTAGTACTTTGACTACAAATGATCTCTACTACTTCGGACAAACTATCATGGAAAATAAGAGTTAGAGTAGCTTGCGCACTCTTGGTTTGCTTGATGGCGAGTCAAGGGAGGCAGGTGGAGAAGGTAAGTCAGGGATGTTATGCAACCCTCTGCCAGGCCTTGTGAGAGCAATCGAACTTCGATGACTTTACGTGATAAGAAATTTTAAAAACATGTCTGAGTGACGTAAGATAGTAACACATTAATAGGCACTTGCGCAGCTGTAGTGACGATGTTTTTTAAAAAGTCTCTAAGAACTTTAAGCAGAGACTTTAATTAACGGTGTTTAAAAATTTGCGGCGACTTTCTTACGAACGTTTAGAGAACTGATGTGCTCGCTGGGCAGGTATTGACTGCCTTCTTCATTCAGTCGCACATGTAGAAGATCAGTAAAGTTAAATTGTTATTGTAGTTCGCAAGTGTTTGAGGGCTAGACGAACGGAACCTGGCGATACGCGAAGCTGGAAATCAACACCTGTGGTCAAATTAAATAGCCACATTTTCTACCTGAGGTGTTAATCAATATAAACAATCATGATAGACGAACGATTATATCATTGTGTCATCTTTTAAAAACCTCAAAGACCTCGAACTCCAAATTAAAAATTAACAAGAAAAAGGAACTCGTCTGATAATAATCAGCTAATACGGTAAAACCCCGTCAATACGGACACTAAGGGGGCCATGGAAGGTGTACGTATTAAGCGGGTTGATTTTAAATGTAAGGGCTTTCTATGCTCAGGGACATAGTAATCTGTCCATATTAATGAGGTGTTCCTATTAAGCTGGTGTCCCTAAACCGGAGTTTGACTGTACAAAAGACCTTCAAAACGTTAGACTTTTTTACTTACGCGAAAATAACGGTGTTAACTTCTTATCTGGGCGGCCTTCTTTTAGGAAAGCCGCCGTAAAGGGGCGGGGTCAATCGTCCGCTTATTTAACAGTAGAGTATTGTTGGATTGTACTACTCTTAATTTCTTAAACCGACCGTTTATAGTGGTGGGCAAAATTGAAATTTCAGAGCCATTTCAAATTTCTTTTTGCATATTCGTCGGCACCATGTAAAAGTTCTTCGGAAGAGGTTCAGCTGTTTGCTCTGTTAGTGACTGCTTTTATGATAGCAGTACCCACACGCTGGAACTCTCCGCGCCCAAAGAGCTTCGTACAATCGCAAATGTGAATAATTTTAAGATGCATCTGAAGACTTCTCATTTTAGATCTGTGTATCGGTGACAGATTTTTTTTACTTGCTTTTCATGCATATATTTTTCTTACTGTCTTTTAGCTGACTTTTGTGATGTTTGCGGTTGTAATGAGCAGCTGATCATTCTCATGTTTTAAAGTTGCGCACAATAAGTTTATAAATCATCAATACTAATATTACTTAATATCTATCTATGTAAATGGTAACAAAGCAGAATTTACGCGGCGTGAATACAGCTATTTCGAGAAAGGTTGTCGGAAAAAGTGCACGCTACAATCCCGAAAGGTATTGTGGGTGGCTTTATGGGCACTTTTCTTCAAAGAAATTTGAAAGAATAGTACGGGAGGCCACGGACATATGTTTGCGAGTACTAAAGGAAAGCAACAAAAGTAGGTTCGACAGCTTCAATCGTTACGAACAATGTATTGATCATATCCCATATTACCTTTCGGGATTGTCGCGCGTATTTCTTCCGACAACCTTTCTCGAAACAGCTGTCTACTCTATCAACAGAGTAATTCAGCCTAGGACGCCTAGAAGTTGACGGAAAAAGGAATGTTGGTATTTCAGAACGTTTGTTATTTCACATTAATATTATTAACGTTTTTTTAACAGTCTAACTAACGGCTTCCTAAAACATACCCAGAAGAGAAAAATGAAAAGTTTCAATCACTAATAATGTTATTGGAAAAAATGAACTGTGACCAATATGCTTCTGGTGCTTTCCGCGAGTTGGCCATGGCATTAGGCATAAGGAACTGCCCTAGAAATTAACACACCATGCATATACGGGGAACTGAAAAGAAGCACAAAACCAATTCTAAGATAGAGTAGCAGTTTTATTAGTATTTGCAAGACGCACTGGAAAATAGCAAAAAGCCAAAGCCGCAGTACTGATACAGACGATTACTCACTGAGTTATGTATAAAAGAGCATCCTTGTCAACTGTTTTTTGCTATTTTTAGTTTCTAGTGGCCCATTTTGATCACGCTGGCTTTGTTTTGTCTTTCTTATTTGTCCTATCGTTTTTTGAACTTTGCTGACCATAACGAAAGACATCTCTGCACCAACGCGGGGTGCAAAAATTGAAAAGGTTTTATTTTCATCAGACAAATTGATTACAATAGAAGCCTCGTTTGGCAGGAGTAACATCTAGCAGGGTCTATGGTTTTTTCACTTATGATCACGTATGAAGACTATTTAATTTATGGGAATCTAATTTAAACAAGAAGCTGCGCAAAGACATGTCTCGAATCATCGATCTCATTACAACACTGAAATTGGCAACAGACCGGAGTAAAATCTACCCTGAAGATTTATGATCCTGGCACTGTTTTACATGGTCTTGCTTGAATTTGGTTAACTCAAAAGAGGTATGATTTTAGTTATGAAACTGCATATTGATTCTTTTTTTGCAAGTGCTCCGAAAACAAACAGCGCCAGAAGCTCCTGGGCTCGTGGTGGTGGGAGGAGGGAGAGACGTTGAGCCTTACCGAACACAATCCGAGACTAGGCTATACTGTAAAAATGAAGCTCAACTTAAGTGTGATGTCCAAAGTTGATAATGTTTTCTTCGTTCTTGTGATGAAACCCTTACTTCTTGGTATTTTTTAAAACCTTAATAACAAGGAATCGATCGGTTTTTTTCCCTATGATTTATTTAGCCTAAGGGAATTTTAGTCTGGGTATGAAACTAATAACTCTGGAAGCGCTGTCTTCGATTAGTTTGACTTGTGTTGCTTGCTTAATTTTCATGGGAAGTATGAAGAGTCAGCAATGCTCGGGTCGGAGAATGTGGTAATCAAGTTATTTCACCAAAACTCCTGGAGAGGTAGCGACAAGGGCTGGTACTGCGGAGTATATGGGAAACATAGCCGACTCTTGTTTTTTAAGTCGCAAAAATGTAAATTCCTTGAAATCGTTGACTGTATGTTGCACATGCTATTTGCATTTATTGCACGGGGTATTGATCGTGAATTGCAGTGACCGAGACTAAATCTCTTAGTATTGTCCCTGATCGAGCTGTAACTTATCCTTACACTGATTAGATGAGTTCCTCTTTTACCTAGTAAACATCATAAACGTATTGCGTTTACAGTTCTGTTGCTCAGTGCCTGTAAAGAGTAAACAATGTCCGCAAGGCGTGATCGAACAATTTCAAAAGAAGTGAATGCCACTGTTATTAAAAAAGACTTAAGGTCAGCTGGAATGTGTTTAGCAGAGCGGTTGGTGTTGAAAATAACTAGATCTATCAGTCTGGGCAAGTACTACACCATTTCGGTAGTTTACCATTCTAGGGTTTGCTTGATTCTTAGTTTTAAACAGTTGACTATACTACTGAATTTACTACTGCTATGACTTTAGGTAGAATTCTTTTTTCACGTTACTAAAGTCCTTCTAACATTGGGCCAAATTTTGATTAATTTGGTTGTGCAGAATTTTTTTTTTTGCAGTTTAATGTCGCTTTTTCAAAATACTCGGCTACCTTTTAAGTAGAATCAAAACTCAACAAATCCCGCAAGGCATCTGAAAAAAAGAATTCCTAAAATTAAAGTAAACAGCTCATGAGGTATAAGAACACTGGCAGATTTAATCGGAATGGTCACTCATTTTTCAATGGAACGAGATTCACCAAATGCTTTTAATATCTGACTTTAATAGTGTGTGAAAAGGTAAAACTGGAATTCCATCACTAAATATACAGTCTAAACAGCATGGAGTCTTTGATAGCTACTTGAAATATTATTTAAAAATCAGTAAGTGGTAGCTGTTATCATGTACTTGTTACATACAAGACATTTTATCACCCCTATTATCATCATCATTCTTACTACTAACACTGTTGTATCATAACATATTATAACGCAAAAAAGTGCAGCACAGAAACTACGCTTAATGGCGTTTTTATCAAAATGGCAAAAAAAATCAGGAGGTGCTTTATAAATTCAAATTATAGGTCGAATTACACTGAATCCTTGAAAAGTTGCTGTGTTATTGTCCCCACCACACCCTAAAAAATTCAAGTTTCCAAGTATTCATTCATTCATATAATCCGGCAACCAAAATAAGGACAGGGTATATAGTGCATTACTTGTTCATATTACATGTCGCGGTTCAATTTTATCTCTGCCTTGGTTTAAATTGCCTTTTATGTGTTTTAAACTTTCTATTATAGATTAGCGCGTTCGTAGAAACTGGGTCCAAGAAAGCAAGCGCGCTAACAAAAAATATTGCTTTCTTAAAACAGAAGACTATTAAACAGGGTCTCGGTTTCGCCGGACTGACCGGGGCATTCACATGCTACGAAGGCTGTAAAAGTATTAAGAAGCAAACGACGTAATTTTTGCTAAAAAATTTGAGTTAACGTACGTAGCCCCTTGAGATCGATGATATGGTAATTTTTTCATAGTATATTGACTGAATTGCTGAATTCTTTGTAATATCATGATGCGTTAAAAATATCCGATGATCGCTTATGTAAAATAAAAATGATCGGCGAAATTCGTCAAAATTTTACCGAGGCGAGTGCCTCGGTTGGCCTCATACTAGCTACGGCGCTGCCTTGTACGTTGTTATTTACGGTCTTGATCGTGCGGTATCATATCAAGTCACGAAAAGTGCATCATGTCTCCTAGCCCTGATTCTTGAAAACACTACCGACCGCCGGGAAAAAAATAAGAGAATTTTGAAACAACAAACACCTCTTTGCGTCTTGACAAACCCTAGTCGGTGTTATATAGTGAATAATTGCATTGCACGTTTTTGTAGTAACAAAATTAGCATGATGTGTACCCATTTGTGGCTGACTGTTTACACCACGTCTTCTGCTGAAAGTTAAAGACAATATTTGTGTCGCAGAAGTCACTGTAATTCAATAGATTTTTTTCTGGTCTGTCTCCTCACATCTAAATTGACCGTTCTGAATTCATTAATACAGTGCCTCTGCCGGGATTTATTGAAGCAAGGAGTTACAAATGTCGTTGCGCCATTTTTAATTAAGGGTGGCTAAAATTTGTTAATAATCACCGTCAGATGATTTGTATATCGACTTAGCGAATGCTCCAGTTATAATTTTCCCGTGATAATTTTCAACAACCTTCACGACCTTCAACGCGGTAGTGGAAGATCATTTACACTGAGACAAGAAGACTGTTCAATATTGAAGGTTAGATGTTATCTTTTATTCGAGTTAATTCATTCAACCGCAAAAAATCTTAAATCTCATCGTCGGAAAGAAAAAAAATGAAAACCGAATTGTTCTTTTTTAAAGTACTGCCCAAGAGCTTTCATCTGAATGGACACGAGCCTTAGGATATTGTCCGCAGTCGCCAAAGTTAGAAGACAATTGCATGTTTTCTTTATCGAGATTACCAGTTATCAAAACAGCGAATGTTTTATTGGCACTTTGAAAATGTACTTGTTAAGGACTATAACCAGCTCACTAAATGCACTTTCGGGGTACTTAAATTGTACTTCTAAGCGTGAGATTAGAGGTGAGACTTAGTTGGACACGAAAGTACCTCACGCAAGTTTTATCGATGCCTCAGATTGTTGACGTTTTTTTGCTCAGCCCACTGCCTCGTTAGCAGCTGAGCAAATTATGAGTCGGTCAAGGGTAGCGTTTTGGTTAAAGAAAGACACAAAAGTCAAAGAACACGAGGAAAAAATAGAGATGTAAGGAAAAAGAGAAAGCAAACAAGACAGAAAATAAAAGACAAAGCCTGAAAGAGAAGAAAGATTAAAGCAACAGAGAACATACGTTTTTTTTTTCTAGAAAAAGGTCAGCTCAAAGTTCTAAATTTTCAATCTAGAAAAATCATGCTACACCACAGAATAATTTATCACGCAAAACGAAAATAAATCAATGCAGTATTTATTTAGAGACATTACAAAGCAAAGAGAAAAATCCGGATTTAATAAAATATGTATTTAAATTTTATACTCTTGCCGCCATTTCCGAATTTCGTTTAGTGTCGTTTTTGTAAACTTCGGAAGTACTCGGGAGACATGGATTGCAGACTATGTATAGTCAGTGTTAGTCAAACCATTTGTAACTGCGTTGGCCTCATTTCTTGTTAAGTGTTTTACAAAATCCCTTTAAACAGTATTGGCTTCAATCAAGATGTAAAATAATGTAATCAGCTAAAAATGGTTCGTTTTTCTGACTAATAGTTTATTATTAAATAATCTTTATTTGATCCACTTATAAAGACCTTTGCCCCCAAAGAGGACCCAAAATCAGTCAACGCTGAAAAGGCATACAGGAAACGAATCAAAAACAAAAAAGTAAACAAACATAATAAGAAACCAACAAAATAATTAGTTTTCGTTCGTTTAAAATGCCTCTCGCCTACCTAAACAAAATTACTTTTGAATGGCACTACTGATAATTTGCCGTGCGGCCAACTCTCTCTTTGCCAACTGGCGCTCAAGGTTTTCATTGTACACGGTGCTGAGAACTATGCCAAAAAATGCAGCAAACTCATCCCATCTTTGGTTACTTTCTGCGGAATTATTAATTAGAAAGAAGCGAATAAGATACTATAAGATGGACAGCTGGGAATATTTCATTATAATTAACATCATGCTTTTTCAAACATTAGACAGCTGCAAGCCAACGGCGTCAGCTTAATTTTTTTTAATAATTATCAGGCGAAAAAAGCTCTAATTGAGCTTTGATGAGTGTTTGCACATGACGTTCCTAATTCATTAAAATTTTGCTCATGGAAACTGAAAACGTTTTAGTTTATCTTTAAGTCCACAAACATGTAAATGACAACGACAATCTGTAAAGTTTAACGTTAACCCAATAAGAAATTCGAAAATTGACAATTATTTAGGCGTAATAATGATCGAATATTGTAGATATACACCTGTTGTGTGTGCTATAATTTCGTCAGTGATAGCTTGCTGGAATATTGCAAGGCGTGCGGACAATTTTCGTTATTTTTTTTTAGTGTGTTTTTGGGCATTTATGTGACCCAGCAGTGATCGTTCTTGCTTCACGTTAACTTACGGGTGCTTTTCAAAAGTCAGAACTGGCTGGTCAGACCGGTCATTTTGAAAATGAAATTTTAGTCTTTTCTCGAAATTTTTACTTACACCCCTCACAGCCATGCATACCACTTAAGAATAAACTGATGTGGCTGGATAATCGTGATTAATAGTGGAATTCTCTTTCCGATTGGACTGGTGTGGCCTGCAAATTTTAACTAGGCATAATTTCAACAGACTAAATTACTGCTAAGAAAAGGATCTCTCAAAAGAAATTGAAAGAGTAAGTACATATTTTGTAATTTCTGCTCCACCTCTGACTGCAAATAATTTTGACGCAGGATTGCTAACTACTGCGTGTCTTCGTTGACCAGTAACTACTTCGATGTGATTGGAGAACGATTTTAACAGTGTTAGAAATAAATCTTGATTTCTGCAAAAGATAATTACGAACACGATCATAATACGGCGGTCATTATTAACTTGTCAAAAAACTATTCAGTGTACATAATGTCGTCATTGCCATTTTCTAAAGGCATCAGGCGGTTCCACCAATAAGATCGGAAAAACACATTGTTCTGAGAAATACGACAGCTGCATTTCAGTTAATTAGAAAGATAGCATTTGATCAGCTGTGAATTTAACTCAAGCTCAAGTAAACAGTTCGCGCGAAAAATTTTAAGTTTGTGCCAATATTTACGTTGATTATTTTGGAAGAGCATTTTGTACACTACGTTAGGCTTAATCTGTTGCTCTTTAGTAAAAGCTGCTGATGGCTCAGCTAGGAGACCACTTCAGAAAAGTGGCTACAGCACAACAAATGGTATCGGGGAACGCATCCCATTGGATACACGGTAAATTATGGTCACTGAGTTATGTTCCACTTGCTTTTCCAAGAAGTTTCGTCTTGTTTTGTCGAAAATATTGAGTGCCGTTTTGCCAGCAGTCAATGGCCGACTTTTACTTTCTACTATATAAGTCCAAAGGGGGGTTTCCAAGAGTTTGCATTACAGAGCCGGTTGTCGACAGTCGTGGAAAGTTTGGCTTCTTCTCAAAAATGTTACTGTCTTTGGAAACATAAGTTGTTAAGAAGAATTTCATACTCAGTTCAAGGTAGCCTGTTAACCGAAATATTTCAGCGTTATTACAGTCGAATTCAAGAGGTGTACCGAGCAGTGAATAAGTTTAAGCAAAAGAGAAATTTACTTCACGCTGTTATTAAAACTCCAGACCTCTTTTCTATCAGTATAAGCATAGCAGGGAGTGGTGTATAAGAAAGGATTTTCTGTCTCGCGCGATATCGGAGTTACGCCAACGGTTCTTTGTACTCTGGTTCTAGAGCGCTCCGGTTCAAACCATATAAAAGAAAGTACTTTGAAGCCGTAAAGCCAATGTAAATTCATTTTTCTTAGTTAGCTAAAGGCGAACTCAAAACAACTTCAAGTTGGTTTCTTTAACCTTAAGGCTCAAATTTGTTTCCAGTCTATAAATTTTAATCCGCATTGTTTAGTTATATTTTCTCTGTCTACTGGATTGTTGCTTGTGCTTGTACACGGAATTTAACGATGTTTACGGAAAATAAAATAAACTGAACCTTGTTAAGGACAACCGAGATCCAAGAACAATTTTTATTTATACCCTAGTGTATTTGTTTTTCGCACCTTAGTGTATTATTTTTTCGCTGCTCTTTCCTGTTTGTAGGTCTTACTTTAAAATATATAACTGTAAGCTTCAGTTTACATGTGCATTGAAATTCACGCTACTTACTATTTTTGGTATGTGTTTTTTTTGCGATCTATTTCGTATTGAAGTAAGATATATACTTCATGGAAAGAAGTGTGCGCATGGGTACGCTATTTACGCGCGAGTTGTTGACCTGTCCGAAATCGAACGAGTGATCGCAGGGAACGAGTAAGATTTCTGATACAAAAAGAACGCACCGACCGTGCCGAAAGCACTTTGCATGTGGTTTTGTCTGTCACCTTTTTATCTTAATTATTTCCAAGGTGCAAAAAATACTAAAAACAACTGCCGCCAAACATCGTGAAACGAAATAAAAGAAAACGACGTCGCCTTTCAGATCAAAAACTATAGTAGACATTATAACGAGGGTAAGGACGATAGGAGGTTCAAGGAATTACAAGTAGTCCTAAGGTAATAAAAAAAACCATTGCCTGCGTAAAATGAATGAATTTGGGTATAATGGCTGGTTTGACTTAATAGCTATATAAACAGAGGCCAGCTACAAGTAAAGCTCACTTTCCGCCCTTCTACTGTTGTTTTGCAAGCTCTGTACAATGATTCTCTTCAGTGCCAATGAAATATACAAGTCATTCTATTACAATTTCCGGACTAATTGTTCACTTTTTTGCGAGAAAATCTCTCCGTTATGGACTCAAGAAATTTTCTCGTCGAATGACTGCGAAGCAAGGAAGCTGCAAGCACCTGAAAAGGTGCGGGAACCTTGGCGCAAAACTCATGCTCCGCAAGTGAAAAAAAATCGTTCGCGATTCTGATTTGACCTATCATTTTCTTCACGTGTAAAAAACATCGTTTGCTTGTCATGATAACTGAAAAACACATGTTCTCTTCAAAACCTGCCAAAAAAAAGTTCACCCTTGCTATGGTCACGTGATAAAGCTGGCCTTTTGCAGCACAAATACGTTACATATGAGATAGTTTATTACTTCATTGGTGGTTACATAATAAATAGAAAATTGCAAGGCTGCTTGGAGACGTGAAATAGCTGAAAAATATTTCACTCTTCGCTGCGCTCACTCGTGAGATCTTTTTCAACAAGAGAAGAGAAAAATTTTGTATCTTTAACCGACCATGTAATATCCTCTTTATATTCCCGTGTTCATGCAAATGCAAGCCTTATTCCATATTGAAAAATGAAAGAAACTGTATTTTTATATAGCTAGCTTATTGACTTTCATATTCTTCTACAGGTGGTAGCCAAGTGACTCCAAGAATGCATCAGTTTCACACCTACCCAGCTACAATGGGACAGATGACGTGCCACCCATTGCCATTCAATAATAACCAATCAGCGTTCACAAAACCTCAAACTTACGCACCTGCTTCATGCTTGCCCACCTTCTGTCCCGAAAGAAGAGTCCTGGATGATTTCCGTCATACGTATTTTCCTGGTACATCGGTAAGAGACTACAATTGGCCTGTTAGACAAACGTTCTGTGCGCCACTGGAAACAGGCAACGCTGTCCATTACCAACAAGGAAACCATTACCACCGTCCCGCTTGTCACGTGAACTTTTACAACTGTTGTACCCGCGTCTGGCGCTCTGTGGATCATTATTACTCTCCACAAAAGAGGCCCCGAATGGTTGAAGATAATTTGCCGAAAAGTACAGAGGGTTCGACTGACATCTCTGGGAAAAAAGAAACAGCTGCACGGAAACCCCTTCCCTCCCCTCCCCCTCTTATAAGAACATGCATCAAACAGAAAGAGTCAAAACAACTGCATTTGAAAAAGCTTGTTGGAAGGAAAACATACGAAAAGGATGTGTTAACCGAAGAACATGTATCCAAAAACAGAGAGCCTACTTCTAAGATACAAGTTCCTGTAGTCGACTGCTCCATGGCACATCGCAAAATATCCAACGGCGGTTACAGGAGTGAGTTTATGAAAAAGTTTTCAGATGAAAGAAACGCGGATATTGAGCAACGCAATCAAAATTTTATCGGGCCGGATGAATTTGAAACTGAACCAAGAAATGGCAGCCTAAATGCTAAATGGACATCACTGAACGACACACAAAAAAGCTGTAAGTCAACGCCAGGGGTCGAGAAGAAGCTTTGTAGTAACAGACAAGTGGAAAAACAAGTAGAGCAACAATTACCGCTACAACATACCGTTGAACGCTTTCACTTGGCCACAGGAGAAAATGCGCAGCGGTTGGGTCAGACAACAGGGCTTAGGAAAGAGAAACAACGCAGTGTTATCGTACAGAATGATAACTACAAAGTTAATAAACGTAGACATTCACATTATGAGAGTATGCCCCAGGAAGGCCAAATTATGCCACAAGAAGGACTAAAGAGGAGCCGATCCTTTCCTATAACTGAGCGACGAGATACATGCTGCGACAACGGTGATGATTTCTACGAAACAAAACCGAAAGATCATAATGCAGAGTATAGAGTGCCTTTGTTTAAGGATTGTTGTGAAAGGAAAACAATGGTTCCTAAGCGTTTAATTCAGAATGGCCAGCAAAGGCATTTGTCAAATGGTACAGTTCACCCGCAACTGAAGTTCTATCCGCAACCTAATACAAATCTCGAAAGGCACAGATCAAAGTCATTCGATGCTCCAAAAATTCAGACTTCCACGTCACAGTCTTTGTGTCAAAATCTCCAACCGGAAAATTTTTCTTACAGAACAAAAAAGCAAAGCGAAGTGCTTTGCGAGCCAGTTTTGAGGGACAAATCAGTAGAGCATGGTCATGTTGACTTATGCAGCCCTACGATTAGTGGGCGATATGGACACGAACACGAAGCAAAGGTGAACTTTGTCTCATCAAACGAAAAAGGGCCAGGGCCAAAATCAGGACATTGGGAACCCGTATCTTACAAGAATTCAAGTGAAAGCTTAATCGGGTTAGCCTCAACTCGCAAGGAAATTCGTCAACAAACGTTGATAGATCAGTCACAAGTAACCATGAAAATTGAGAGGATACCTCAACAACAGCCAAATATCAGCAAGAGGGGATGCAATAGTGACAGTAGCATGCTGCATTTTCAGGAAAACCAGCCGTTGTCATGTGATAATACAGGATACATACCCAAGTATCTAGATGCAAATCAGACAGGTGTATTGACGCATCGTGACCTGTCACGTGACCAGGGCAAAAAATCGCCGCATGTGACTAACAACCAGGTTACCGTTGGTGGAAAGGTTCGTCAGTTTGGAAATGTAACGAGTTCAGTGTCACCCAATGGTCCTCAAATCATAGGGCCTATTAGTTTGAGTGAACTGCAGAAGCGGAGGACTGCATTATCGCAAAGTCATGTCAGCTTTAACAACACCAGACCAAACATGAGCCGCATTTTGAATAATAAAACAGCGGTTAACGATCAAAAATCACATGATCAAGAAGCCGTGGAAGAACCAAAACTTCACAGGAAAGACATTAGCTCAGCTAGTCTTCAACAAACTGCCCTTAACTTTCCCGAAATTGAGCATCAAAATCACGAAGTGAAAATATCAGTTGTCTCAAATGATTATTCAAACAGTGTTAATAGCCAAAGTTTGAAAGATGAGCCAGCCGAGCAGCCAATGTCTCAATCACGGACCCTTCCACCCCTCCCTTCTGGTAAAGACTTGGACAAAATCGACTCAGGGTGTGGTGGCTATGCCATTGATCACTGTGCTATGCCCAGAATTGTGGCCGTGCATTCCATTGTAACAAACGACGAAAGCTTGAAAGAACAAGAAAGCGACTTGTTTTCCTTGAACGATAAAAAATACTGGAAGGATCTCCTGCGCAAGCTGACCTCTGATGTAGATGACAGTGACGAGTCGAAAACCTTTAAGACTACTCAAGCAAACAGCCCTGAAATGAATAAAGTTGACGATCCAAAAGACATTGAGTATCAGCAGGACAATGATTCTACTATGGAACAGGAAAACGAAAGCAAACCGAATGAGTTAAACAAGGTTAATAAATGGACTCTTTGGAAATATCTTTCTACGCCATCGAAAGACCTAACAATAGAGATAAAATGCCCATCAACAGACTGCGACGAAATTTGTGATGCAAAGAAGAAAACCCAGCCAGTTCGTAGAAAACTAACAGTGCGAGAACTGAGCGATAAAATTTTGTATACTCGAGAGAGAATAAAGAAAGAGGAAATTCCCTGGAAAAAGAAACTTCTTGTCAGTCTGGAAGCCACATTTATCAAACGACTAAGAAAAACAGAAAAGGAAACAGGAGAAAAAGCTGACAATTTTATCCTGAAGCAAAACGAGGATGACGATGACAGCAAAGAAACTGGGGAAAGAAAGAAGTGTAACAAACAAGGGAAAAAGAGGAAAACTGTAGCTAAAAGCTAATTAAAAATTAAACGCTAGTTTCACTTGATTTTGGCCTACTCGAGGAAGACTGTTCATCAACAGAGTAAGATCTTTGTTGAGCATTTGCTTCATATTACTCGAACACAGTTTCGCGAGGCGTAATAGCCAAGCGTTTGGTACAGGGGGCTAAATTACAAACACCGGTTTGTAAACAAGTCATATTGACTGACCAGTCGAGAAGTTCGGGCTGCGGCTGGTTCAAAGGCTCGATGCCCTTCAGGTAGAGCCTCTTTTTCTCCCTTTCAATCAAGGTAACGATAAAAGGAGCCTCTGGTCCTGCACAGGGTGGCAAATAAAGTACTTATTTATTTTGAAGAAGGTTTTGTGCAACGTCGTCTAAGAGCATTTCTCGCCTCTATTTTGAATGTCGAGTCGCTCGGTATCAATTTTCCTGCTTCCTGAGATTGTGTGAAAGGTTTTAAGAAAGATTGTTTTACTTTTTCTCAAAATTAGTTTAACTTATTATAAGAGTAGCATTGTTAAGAGAAATGCGAGCGATAAGGATCACATTTACCCTGTGAGGTTTTTAATTGACGTATATTTTAACTACAGTTTATCGCAAGCAACTCGATTTTAAATCCGTGAATCAGTACCCATTTTTTATCGTCTTTGTACGCTAAGTACCAGAAATAGTTGTTGTTGTTGTTGTTGTTGTTGTTAATATTGTGAGTTACAGCTGTAAGATAACTGGCCAGTGGCTGTTGATAACTTATCATAATAAAAACTCAGTAGACTGAAAATAGTCCCTACTTTCCCCCCTGAATATCGATGGGTTGTCATACGAGGGATCTTGGACTATATATACCGATGCTAAATATAGGGAAGACTAGATATTTACCCTGCATAGGGTGCCATAGGTTTTTTTTCCTTTTCTAATTATTGGGCTGCCTGTGGAGCACGCCAAGTCATAATTTCGTTTTTCGGTCTTCCGTACAGAAAGACGAACACCGGGGGGAGGGGGGGGGGAGATAGGAGGTCTGGGACCGAGAAACGATGTTCTCACAACTTGTTTCTTTTTTAATTTCAGACGATTTTTCTTTGCACGAATATTTTTTGTACCAACAACATGCGAGCGAGAAGTCTTGAAACTCTTTTAAGGCGCAAAATGCAAAGGATTTAATTCCTTTAAGTTGAAGAAAAATTACAAGAGAAAAATCTTAAAAACTGAATATTTTTATCTTGTGGAAAAATAATAACGCTTTTTCATGTAGACTGTAGACAGCAAATTGGGATCGTCTATTTAAAGTCTCAGTGCAATCAATGAGGCTCGGGGATAGGGATCAATGGGAAGGTGGTTGTCTGTTTTAGTCACGGTAAACTTTTCGTTTTCATACATACTCACTGTGTACTCTATTTCAGAATATCCATAAGGCAAATGTGAGCAAGTACCCATCGGAATTTTTGCATATTTGTTTGCTCAGTAATCGGCCTCTATGAATTATTAATCGAGCAATCCGGGGGCGTATTCCTGGGAATTGTTAGTGGGGTGTGTTGTTTGGTTTGCCAAATCTTAAGAGCGAATGCACAGAAAAATCGAGCAAACCGTGGCCACAGCTCAAAACCTAACCTACCCTCATTTTAAGTCTGTAATAAGGTTTTAATGAGTTTATAACACTGCTGAGGTTTAAATTTCAAAATGCGGCCGAGTTTGGAAATTATTTGAGATTTTCGATTTCAACGGTCCGCGGGCCTAAAATTAGCCGCCGAACACGGCAATATAGCCTAGCGACAGAAATGAGCTGACTTTCAGAAACGAGCGAATATATTGGCAATCTTCCACTTAAATCTCAAAAAGCAGATATCTAACAATTTCTAAACAGCACATTTTTTTAGATTTAGAGGATAAAGTATCGACGAACGAGCACAATTTTGAAACGTAATTTGCATAATGCTTATAAATACAACAATTTACCGCTAAAACCAAAATCGAATTTTCTATATGGGGGAATTCTCCAAATCACCCCAAATCCCGTTTACTACCTGATGAGATATAGTACTTCAACATTATCTGAAAGTTAGTCTGGTGTTCTCGCGAACGCTTGTAAAATAGATTGATTATTTTGAGGTTATTTTGCCCCAAACAACCGCTAATTGACCCCAGGGTCAGTTGACACGTGCACGTCACCTTAGTTTTATGCATCGATTTGAGCTCGTTAAAAGGGAGAAACTAACAAGATTTTTTTTTAATATGTACCTGCTTTAATGAAATACACTCAATCTTCAAAAGGATAGGCAGTTCAATGGGTAATGTCTGTTCTTGAGATCTTGTAGATTGTACCATGGCGTCTGCGAGTAGACCTGAGTCTAGGTCTGTTTTCCCGTGACTGCGAAATCAGAATAACATCATGAAATAATTCTCGCTCGAACCTTCGTAAATGAATCCGCTTTGCAGTGTCTTACCTGAGATAAAAAGTGGGCCGAATAGGAAAACATTCTAGCGCAATTTGGATCCTTTGCAGCACGTAGTGTATTTGCTAAGCGGGGATGGTATCAGTGACTTTTAATTACTTACTCACCTCCGATTGTGTGACCAAGCAATTATCGATTGTCTCCTGCGAAAAAGAAGTGCACGGGAAACCAAAGACACCAAAGCTTTCGGGATACAGTAAATTCATTTTCCTGTATGACCAGGTGTCCCTTTGTCCTACTTTAAAAGCGGTTAACTAAGATGATTAGCAAACATACTGTCCAACTTTTTAAAATGGTACAGTAACTGAATGTTCTGTTCTTCTGATTTTATCCCCAACCCCGGAGTGTTCAGAGGAAATATTTGCACCACGCATGAAAGGCAAATGGATTAAATTTTAAGGTTCCAGGCGGTTTTAAGGCATGGGTTACCAGTGGATTAGTCAGACTTTTCATAAGGTGCATTGAACGGAAAATTGCAGGCATGATATCTCTGCTATTGTATATGTATATATGTCCATTAAGTGATTTTCCAGCAAACATTTTTTGACTTTTTTACCCCAAAAGTTTCTTCCGTTCAATTCTTATCTATGAGATCTAAACTTAGTTAAATTTCTGTAATTTGTTGTTAAATGCAATTTCTGCAAACAACTAAGTATTTAATTTTGCGTAAAAGCTACATGAAATTGTACTGTTTAGCCGTAAATCATAAAAAAGAGAAAGCATCATGCTTTCTCTTTTCAAGTCTAGTAGGACTTAAGCAATGGCATTGCTTAAGTCCTAGTAGTTGTTCTCCATGTCTGCTAAGGAGGAAATAGTTTGCCCTTTTCAAGAAATTGTTCTTGCCCATTGCGGTTTCAAACCAAGGATAGCAGCAAGTCTTTCGTGGTCATATACTGCTACTTCAGTGCAAACGAAGCATAGGCGCACAAGTCAGCGATTTCGTTTAGTCAGGTGCGGAAAATGAAGTGGAGGGCGTCCATGTTCGCTCCGGCTCGAAAAGGTAGAATCAGTTGTGCAGTAAAAAGTAATGCGAAAAACCTGCGGGGGCTGGGGAAAGAAAGGCGTCTTATTTTTCTTTGGCTTGTTCTATTTTCGCGACGTGGCACAGGCTACGAAATACTGACAAGCTCAGTATATGTCTTCACCACCGAGAGTCACTTGCCCTTAGCCGGACACGCCCCTCACGTATCATGTTTCGTTCCTAAAGTTATTTCAAAGTACAGAACCAAACCTAATCAGCGACCGAAGGCAGAAAAGGGGATGAGCAAACGGATGTCACAGCATATTTTGCAAGAAACTGGTATCCTTGTGCCTATCGGCTCAGGAACGATTAATTACTACTAGAATTAATATCAGGGTCAGAATTTGAGTGCTACAATGGGAGGGAAGGAAGAAAAGGAAACCGTCGCGTACATCTGTTAAGTCTTTTATAAACTTTCTCGTCCTGACGGTTTCAAGGTATAGAGTGTTTTCACATGACGTCACGGCGGCCATATTGGTGTCCCAAAACAATGAAACGACGGCCATGTTGTGTCCCAAACCAATCCTGTGGGAGTTGAACTCCTTTCTTATGCAAACGCTATCTTTTGTTCCAATAAATTTGCATAGATGCTGGCCACGTGAGTGAAAACACTCTATTTAATTTACAGTGTCTGTTGCAAGTGTCGAATTAATCTTACAGCAAGTGGAAACGTGGCCACGCCTGCTGAAACTGAGATTGCTTGTAGGATGAACGGCTATAGTTTGGTATATTCACGAGCGCGTTTTGTCCAGTGAACTGAGTGCGTAGTTTTTCTTAAAGAAGGGATGGGGTGGGTCAAGTGAATAGTTCGGGGAACGTTTGCTCTCTTTAGAGGGGGTAGATTTGTTGATATCAGGAGTTCTGGCCTGGATAGAGTCGTTGTAAAGCTATTTTTGCTTCGGAGTATCGGTTTACTGGAAGCTGAGCAAGGAAAAGTCAATGGTGCATTTATGGAATAATAATAGAGATTCTCATGGTCTAACAGTGCGAAGATTAGACTTCTGGTAAGGTGGCAACGATCAAGGCCCGCATTATAATTCATAATAATTGAAGGTCATGACGTAAAAAAAGCGACTGAAATGGTGGATGCCATGCAATCCTCTCGGGTGGGGGCGGCGTACCTGGCCTTAACGGTTGCCCCTGCGACAGAAGGCAAGCATGCCCAGATTGTCCACGGGTTGCTAAATGAGACCGTCCCTTTCTTAGTACCCGTTCCCTGTCTTATAATTAGACCCCGGAAAATTTCTCGAGATTGCAACATCATTTTGGGCTTAAAGCTTCCAAAGTCCAACAATAATAGCGCATGTTCGCGACGGTTTTTTAAGTCAGTCAAGTTCTTACACCAGGCCTTAAACGGCCAGTTTTAAGTGTCGATAACAGTTAAAAAGGCATACAAGCCTCATGCAAAAGACAGTGGGAAGGAAGTGCACATCGGTGATGGGGAAAAAGGAGAAGCCCACAGTTATTTAGGGGTGGATCTTTCGAAACATTCTTATACTCTTGGACAGATATGCATTGTTTAAAGTTTTAGACAAACCAGGTGTAAATTTATAGTAACAAACTGTTAAATATACATCAGCAAGATTTTTGCGAATCCTATTTTTCGCTGGAGAGTATCGTTTACTGGCTGGTCACGCAATCAAAGGTAACGTACTTTCCTACGTTTGTTTACTCACCTTTCGCTCAGCAATACACTGCGTTCCACAAAGGATGCAAATTGCGCTACAAATGTTTTGCTATTCGGCCGACTTTTTATCTCAGGTAAGGCACTGCAAAGCTGATTCACTTACGAAGATTCGAGGGAGAATTATTTCTTGATGTTATTCTGATTTCGCAGTCACGGGAAAACAGACCTAGACTCAGGTCCACTCGCAGACGCCATGGTACAATCTACAAGATCTCAAGAGCAGAAATTACCCATTGAACTGCCTATCCTTTTGAAGATTGAGTGTATTTCATTAAAGCAGGTACATATTAAAAGAATCTTGTTAGTTTCGCCCTTTTAACGAGCTCAAATCGATGCATAAAACTAAGGTGACGTGCACGTGTCAACTGACCCTGGGGTCAATTAGCGGTTGTTTGGGGCAAAATAACCTCAAAATAATCAATCTATTTTACAAGCGTTCGCGAGAACACCAGACTAACTTTCAGATAATGTTGAATTACTATATCTCATTAGGTAGTAAGCGGGATTTGGGGTGATTTGGAGAATTCCCCCATATAGAAAATTCGATTTTGGTTTTAGCGGTAAATTGTTGTATTTATAAGCATTATGCAAATAACGTTTCAAAATTCTGCTGGTTCGTCGATATTTTATGCTCTAAATCTAAAAAATGTGCCGTTCAGAAATTGTTAGATATCTGCTTTTTGAGATTTAAGTGGAAGATTGCCAATATATTCGCTCGTTTATGAAAGTCAGCTCATTTCTGTCGCTAGGCTATATTGCCGTGTTCGGCGGCTAATTTTAGGCCCGCAGACCGTTGAAATCGAAAATCTTAAATAATTCCCAAACTCGGCCGCATTTTGAAATTTAAACCTCAGCAGTGTTATAAACTCATTAAAACCTTATTACAGACTGAAAATGAGGTTAAGTTAGGTTTTGAGCTGTGGCCACGATTTGCCGATTTTGCTCGATTTTTCTGTGCATTCGCTCTTAACTCTAGATTTTAAATCAGTTCAACACCTATAAGGGAAATGTGAGGGAGTACTCCCCCGGCGATTTTCGTTGTTATGACGATAAACCAGATCAATTATTTACTTCGCCACTTTTACGAATGTTAAGCAAAGGCAGCCATTAAATGAAGATGTGTTTGAAGCTGCCCTACTGTGCTTTTTCATCGTGTCCTTCGAAAGATGCTGCGATGAGTACCTTTTGTGGTTTTTCTTCACTTTTGGTTCAAGTTTAAACCTTTTGCTCAGTTTTTTCCCTTCCAAAACGTAATAGCAAATCTCTAGTCTCTCTCCCTCTCTGTACAGTCTGTACAGCTAGCGTGAGGTAGAGAGTGTGTGTACATCCATAAAATAAAGACGTCTCTCAAGCTATCACTGCACTTTTTCCAGTGCCTTTTTCAAAAAATGGTAGGATTGGTGGCTTTCTAGGTTTCTCTTTGCTTTTTGTTGAAGTTGAAACCGTTTAAAATGTGACGGCCAATGTCTCTTTTTATGTTATTGCGAGTCTTGCTCTGCGTGTGAAAAGTCATTCCTTACAGGAAAGGAATGTCTCGGGCCTGGAATGTGCTCATTGTAGAAAATAAATATATATATTTTTTCACCTGGACAGTTAGAAAGGCTTTAAACGCAATATCAGTTGAAAACAATACTTAAATTGAATTTGCTTTGTAAGTTTTAAGAACCAGAATCCCGGGGGGGTACTCGATATATCCCTGGGTGGGGAGGTGCGGCGCGGCGCCGCATACCCTGACCCTGTTTAAGACAAATATCGCTGATTTTCCTACCCTGTTTAAGGCAGAATTCCGATTTTTGATACCCTGTTTAAGACATTTATCCTGTTTAAGACAAAAATTGATAAATCGATACCCTGATTAAGACAAAAAATGATAAATTCGATACCCTGTTTAAGACAAAAATCCCGAAAAACATACCCTGGCTGGCCGCACGTCCCCATTAAGCCCTCATAAGGGAGTACCCCCCCCCCCCGGGACCAGAATATTGGGAAATGTACTGCTTCTGCTGCTGCTTGTTGACAACATTCCGCAGGCTAATGACGTAGAATGACAATAATTTCCGGTTAGGTCAAGAGGGATGCGTGAAAATAAACCTTATTGTTTCCTGCTTAGAATGGCTTTTTTGCTTACTTTTATTCATAATGGTGGAATTTTAAAAGTTACCCGATTTAAGAATGGTAATATTTTTCTTGTTACGAAAGTCTTTCAAAAAGGGTACAATGTTCAAATGAGTTTATGTGTTTCTCTCACGTGATATGGTATGTCACGCGATGGTCAGCGACAATGTAGTGGTCTCAGTGTATACAGACCTCCTCGCCTTTCGGCGATTCTTGTTCCTGATAGTTCGTGGCAAAGCTGCGCGACAGCGAGTCGCGAAGCACCGAGAGAAAAACGAAGTCTCGAGAGCTTCAAACCGTGAGCACGGTTTTAGTTGGGTATTTGAAGAACGGACCTCTGGAGCCAGGGTCCTTGATATGGGGAAAAGGTCACGGAAGGGCGCTTGCAAAGCTATAACACCCTTGTACCTGAAAGTCTTCAATCACTGGAAAAAAAAAGACTTATGACCCGAAAACCAAAAGTGTGACAGCTCGGACAGTTAGTCGATTTGATTTACCGGCAGCATCAGAGGCGGAGACTCGTTACTGCAAAAAAAAAGTATTACAAAAATTAATCTGATAATGTTGATTCATTTTTTGGTTTGTCAGTCCATCGCATATCAACTATCAGAAATATTTGCTGAGTCTTTGGGTTTAATAGAAACCTTATTTTTGTCATAATCAACGTTGATAGTGGCGCAACAGGCAGTTTTTGCCGTGCAGCATTGGCTAACAACCTAACATTTCTCACGAGGTTTCTATGTCATTTGTCAACAGTCCACCCCTCCGGGGACGTAATTTCCCGTTGTTGACTGAACGGGGCAACAACGTCTGAGTCGCCTCAAATTTCATTCAATACGAAGCGCAACGCTGCAGAGCTAAGTGAATTCGTGAATGAATGGAGGAGATCAAACAAAAAGATTCAGAGAAAAAGAAAAGAGGTCGGCCCTCATATCGGACGTTACCCTTTTTGTGCCGGGTCTGTGAAGGAAATGTTTTCCCGGAAAGCAAAGCCTATTACAGCACCTACTACAGTCTTGTATCGGCAAATGCGAAGAAGCTCAACGTCTTTGCGAGAATCAAAGGCCTTTTCGGTGTCTTGGAGGAACATGAAGCAGATGGATCGTACATCGTCTGTAAAATGTGCTTCAGAAAAATGGAACGTTATGAAGCAACTTTTAAAGAATTGACCTCCATAAGAGACATTTATCAAAGTAATGTGGCCCGATGGAAAAACCAAGGGCTTATTCGAAACGAAGCTCGAAGTCAACGGACCAAAGCATGCACGAGTGATCATGAGTTGCCGGGCGCTAGTATTGACGAAGGAAGATCCCGTTCTTCACCTTGTACTGATGGAGAAAAAACTTCACTGGACTCCTCAATAAAGCCAAATAGCGAAACATCGCTCGATGAAACTACCGCTACGGGTAATAGAGCAAAAAATCCGTTGCAAAGCCAAATGACGAATGAGACAGGGTCATGTTTTCAAACTGCGGAGGCCAACACAACGTTGCATAGGAAGAAGAGAGGGAGACCGTCGCAGACAAATTCATCGCCGTTGTGTCGGGTGTGTGCAACAAAAGTATTAACGATTCGCGGTTATTACTGCGGTTACTACAATCTTTTTTCGGCAAAATCGATGGAACAAAATCTCTTTTCAAGAATCACAGGGCTTTTCGGTGATGGAGAAGATGATAAATCCCTAGGACCTCACTTTCTGTGCAAGAAATGCCTCAGGAAAGTTGAGCGATATGAAGCGTGTTTTAAAGAACTGATTTCATTAAGAGAAGCGTACCAAAAAAATTTAGCCCGCTGGAGAAATAGAGTTCAAAGTTCTCAAAAATCGCCGCCAAGTCTAATTTCTTCGCCAGGTGATAGTGACAGCCTCACATCAACTGTCAAACCATCAGTCAGTGAAAGGTCAACTGTTTCTACTGAACAAGCGGCTTATTTCCTTGAAAATGAAAACATGAAGCAGTCAATCGATTCTGGAAAAGCACAGGTGAGAGGATATGTTTATTTTTCCTCCTTTGTTATTTTGTTTTATTAAATTCCACTGTACTCACTAATGTCCTTCACTCCTAAGTTATATTTTCGATTCTATTTTGCCCCCAACCAAGGTCAAAATTGCGGCGAAGTGATCTTTGGAGAAAACTACCAATTCACTATTACACACAATTTTAACACAAACGTATTAAAACGTAACCGTGGGTTATCTTAACCCAGCTTTGAACAACTCGGCCCAGAGGTCTGTTCCAGATTCTCGAGAGACGCTGTCACAGTGATATGGGCATCCCCGCGTTTTGGGCATCCCCATTCCCAAAACGCTGATCGCTTCGACTTTGCCTAAATTATTTCAGACTGGGGAAAAGTCGTTAGTCGGGATTGTCAATCACGAATTTACGGCTGAAAAGTGTAGGTGCGTGTAAGAATTATATCGTCTGACACTTTTCGTCGGGTTTATTGCGTAGAAAAAAAAACCCATAGGCACTAAACGTTGGCTCAAAGCATGACGGGACTGAAATAACATCGCGTCGCTTCGCTGTACAACTCTTCATTATTTGCGAAGCTTCAATTTTATTTAATAGAACTGTTTACAAGCGAGCAATGCCGCAATCGCCGGCAGCAGCGATCGTCTGATTCCAAACAGACAAAAACAAGAACACTAAACAAGCAATCAAAAGACAAACATGAATAAAACTGCGTTTTGCGGTGTTGAATTCATAGCATGCATGACATGTGAGGCCCGTTCAACTTAACGCCGCAGCGCTACTTGACACACGAAAGGCTGTCACACAATTTATACAGAGGCCTCTTGCACATACGAGACAGAAGAAATCTGTTGCCGTTTTGAGCTGTAGTAGGGCCTTCTTTTTTGTCTAAGGAGAAGAAAACAACTACTAGTGAAAGCAAAAAAAACAAAAAAACAACTGAAAATGTAGTTATGATAAATGGACGCTCCAATGATGGTCACAAGAAGAGATGTTGTGCTTGGCGCACACAAAAAAATATTTCTGACGTTGCGGGCGTGACAGCCGGCGTGACATAAATGGATGTGGGTCAACTGACAGAAAATCTGTCTTCTTGACCCTTCAGAAATATAACTTCTCATCTTTGTTCACATAACATAATAACAAACGGGAGCTATAATAAGGACTCCGGTTTACAATGCCCCCTCTACCAAAAGATGCAATTATGCCTCACCCTTTCAAAGAAGAACACTGAAAACCAAAGAAATTTAGTATACTGTTTTCGATTATCAACGCGGGCATTTTAAAAACCACGATCAAGAGGATGCATTGGCAAATAAATAAAATTTGTAACTAACCATTTCCATCGTGTCCTTGTAGTAGTCAGGCCAGTAAAACCGCTTTTTGATTTTCCTAAGAGTATTATCGCGGACGGCAGCATAGTGGCACTCTTCGAAGACCCTCTCTTCCTCGGTGATAACAAGTCGTCGAAGCGCTGTGCCATCCTCCTCCTTGGCCACACGTAGAACAAGGACTCTAATTCTGAGTCATACTCGAACTTTTTGGCAAATTTTCGCAGAGTCGTTTTGTCTTGCTTTGTAAAGCCTTCCGGATAAGCCTTCTTTTTAAGATACTGGAAAACATTTCTATATTTAGCGGAAGCCATCTCTAAAACGTTTTCGATTTTCCCGCGAAATCCAGCATTTTTTGGAGGGGATGACCAAAACACTAGGGATTTGGGCATCCCGGGAGGGTATCGGGGGATGCCCAAAACGCTGCAGTAATATGAGAAGGGGATGCCCAAAACGCTAGGGATTTGGGAATGGGGATGCCCAAAACGCTGTGACAACGCCATGTTTATTTGGGGGACTGGGGCCTAGCAATTTAGAGGATTGGTAATGCGTGAAATCCATCGCCGACGACCCCTATGGCGCGCTGTTTGTTTTTTTTTTTAAATTTCCGCAAAAGTGATTAAATATTTATAACCAATGAAAAAATTAATTTTAAAACAAACTGCGCGCCATAGACCCCGACGCTACAAATTTGAGTTTTCCTTTGCCCGCAATGATCGCCGCCCATCGTATAAATCTGGGACGCGTCGGGAAAATAGAAACGCTCCCGATTCTCCAGATTTGTCCCCGTCCATCCCAGACGATCAGGGATATCTGCGATTTCGAGTTTTCAGTAGTGGGCAAAATCTGGGACAGTTTGGAAACAGTAAAATTCCCGATCGTCTGGGATTTTCCTGACATATGAAAAACAGGCTTTTATTGCCCCCGCAGGGATTTCGCCCAGAGGCGAAATCCCGAGGAGGCACCCTAGTAACTAGCGCGTATATTAAGGACAGTACTTACAGTTCAAATATACAGTCAGTATATACTAGAAAAAATCTCGATTTGCTCGAACTGGGGCCGCGAGGAATCGGTAGGTAATGATGACGTTTCTATTGTTTGCGCCCGCAAGTACGAAATGGTTAGGATGACGTAAAGACAGAAAATTCCGAAGGGACCACTCAGGTAGATTTTGTAACATTTATTGTGCAGTCATACTTCGACACTCTTTTGTGTTACGCAGTGACATTCTGTGGAGCAGTTGTTTTGAAAGTTTTGTAGCCTGCGTAGCAAGCATTTCCTCGCGAGTTCGTCGAGAAAGTTGGGAAACGCTTGCTACGCAGGCTAAAAGTTATGGACCAAAGACACTCGTTAAGCGCAGGGGAGGTTATAAGGTGCGTTTAACTGTGTATATATAAACACTTGGAGAGTTTGCAAGACACGTATTCACAAATCTTTGATTTATATTGGAAACCTTGCTAGACACTCTTTCTCTCTCTTTGACCGGAATAAGACTCAGCCCCAAACAAGCAAGACGAGTGAACAACGGCTAGCTTATCACTAGCAGATTGATAGATATTTACAGAAATTCACAGACAATCAAATTCTGTGCTGACTTATTCCCTGCTCACAGATGTCCTTCCGTTATAAAGTTTCAAATAAGACTAGAATGCGCTAGCGTGAATCGATCAAACGTCCTTTTAATTTCTAAGGCTTACTTTCCGGCAAATAAAATGTACTGAATGTAAAAAGGGAAAGAGAAATAGCGGAAAATTCAACTTCTAATTAAATCTTTTCGTATGGTTTAGAATAAACTATTCTCGAAACTGAGAATGTAAATGGAGCTGAAACTGTGCATGGAACCTTGCGTTTCCTGTATTTATCTCACCCATTGTATGGAATATGTGTGAAAATCTTCATTATGAATCGGTATATTTCAAAGAGCTACACAACCAGCAAGAATACTATTGACCGACAATATACAGAACGGGGGCAGCTGTAGTGTCAACTATTACTAGTGATAGATTGTATTCGCGACTGTAACACTTCATTTTTCTGGGCTGATCCGGTATGGTTTATTCACGTGCTGGAATTTTAGATTTGTTTTTTGATCTTTGGGAGCGTGACAACCCACTCCAACTTCATGTGCTTAAATTTTTCCACTTTGTGTTCTTGTTTTTACTTTTTCATATTTTATTATTATCTTTTATGAATGGAGAATATCATCAGGTTTAATTAGCCTGCCACATATTATCCATTTATTCCCTTCCCTTAGCTACAACCTTGGTCAAAACATCTTGAGACACGTAAGGAAATGAGGCGCGAAAACGCACCTCCGGGGGTAGAGGGGAGAACGAAAATGCCTCATTTTGACCAGCTATTACGTTGCTGTCCCAAGAGTTTTGACCAGGGTTGTATTGATACTCCTCTCGCAGTCCAAAAAAGAAAAACAAGCACCTGATCGCAGATTAGTTCAAGGGAAGTTTCAAAAATCTTTGTTCATGAATAACAGGATCATTGCAATGAACGCGAAGTTTCTTCACAAAGATTAAAATTTTCACCCGCTTTGTGAGTATCGCGGAATTCGGTGAAATTTCAATCTGAGATTGATTGACATTGCAAAAACAAGCACCTGATCGCAGATTAGTTCAACGGAAGTTTCAAAAATCTTTGTTCATGAATAACAGGATCATTGCAGTAAACGCGAAGTTTCTTCACGAGGATTAAAATTTTCAGCCGCTTTGTGAGTATCGCCGAATTCGGTGAAATTTCAATCTGAGATTGATTGACATTGTGTTTGTAAATATGGAAGAGTTTTGTAAATAAGACGGAAAATTGGCTTGATCTTATCTCCTTGCGCACTCGCGCAGAGGACTGGAGGCTTTAGGTTTGTCCCCAGGACTTGTTTGAAACATCAAAATGGCCGCCGTGTTATTGTTTTGGGACACCAATATTGCCGTCGTGACGACATGTGAAAAATCTCTATTAGACTGGTACCATATCCTGTCAAGAATAATCAAGGGGCAGGAAATATTCTAAGATGTTTTTGGGGGAATTTTTTTGGAAACTGGCTCGAACTTTTGCGATTCTGTTGACCGTTCGGGACTGGGTTATATCTTGTGAATTTAAGGGTCTTTAAAAAGGCTGACATGACCGACATACGGTAATTTTCATATCAGTGAAACTCGTAATGAAACTGCTCTGAAAAGGGGTTGCCTTCTTATCGGCATGATTATTACACGTCAAAAAAAAAAAACATCTTGAAAGGTGTGTTTAGCAAAGCTTTTACCTCGTTTAAATATCGTACATTTTCAGTTGAAAGGTCCATGCCTAGTGAGGGTTCTTAGTTTTTGGTCCCTAGCTGGGAAAAGCCAATAATTTATTTTTAAAGTTTGCCGTCTAATGTTATAATTAAAGCTTTCATTAACCTTCACTGAAATAGTGTGCGTATGGTAATAACCGTTGATTTAAGCAAAGAAACGTGCCATGATTTAATGAGTTAGTTTAAAATGTATACTTTTTCAAACGATTTTTTCAATACAGCCTTTTCTGACAGTTTTTTTACAAAGCAATAAAAATATGTGAAAGTGTGAAGCCGATGGCTTGTCTCCACACTATGAACCGATGCCACACAAATTGTTTTCAGAAAAATAAGCGAGCCTTAGCACGGATGCAATCTTCTTTTCCGTTATGTTTTGTCAAGTAGGAACGGTTTACGCGAACATGTTATGCTTGTTTCTCTTGTTTAAAGTAACCTGTTTCCGTGCAGACCAAATAACGAAACTGATCATTAAAATTCATCCACTGAATAACTGCCACATAAGACAGATCAAACAAACATCTTCAATGATGGACGTTTGTAGCTGTCGAAAATTATATAGACCGATTATGTTTCATTTACCATTTTGCTATTGAATCGGGAATTGGCTTCTTTTTGTTACGGAGAAACATTTGAAAGTCTTCAAATTTGTGGAGAGATTGGAGGTAATGCCCCAATATTTAACAAACGAGCTTTCCAAAGTAAAAGAAAATATTGCTGCAGAAACGGGCTTCAATTTCCATTCTGGTTTGAATACAGGATAGCTTCAAGGCTGAAAACCACCGTAAAAAGGAAAAAAGTGAAAGGTAAAAAGTTCAGAAAGCTTTGAGGTGAACGCACAAAACTTCTAAATGGATACACTTCTTTCTCCTCGTAATTTAAAAGCTGCCGAAGAAGACATGAACCCTACAAACGGAACTCCTCAATCGATCACAAGCTCTGAAAATGTTACAAGCGTTTGGTTTTGGACAATTGCTGGGGTAATCAACCTTCTCATCTTTTCAGCTAACGGTCTCCTCGCTTACGTTATCATTAAAGCACAGAGACTTCATCACTCTGCCAACTGGTTTATTTTATCACTTGCCGTGTCCAATTTTCTGTCGGGTCTCTTTGTAATCCCTTCGTGTATGATTTGCAACCTTTGGTTATCATGTTACGATGACGTGCGCTTTATTCTTCTTGATCTTGTCGTTTATGTTTCCATTGCTAACGTCAGCGTTATGAGTCTTGATCGTTTGGCTGCAGTGGAACTCCCTATGAGGTATCAGTCTATGGTGGCACCCAGATTTAAATTGTGGATTCTGTTTGCTTGGCTTGTTCCCGTCGTCGTTTCAATTGTCCCACTATGTTGGATGTTTGCCGAAGCTGGTTCAACCATAGTGAAAATTAACAAGATATTTCGCGCAGTGCAACTTGTCGTCTTCGAACTTTTGCCTTGTGCAATAATGGTCATTGTCCACGGTCGTATTTTTATAATACGCCGAAAACACTCAAGACAAATTCAACATCAACGAACTCAGCTTAACTTAGAAACCCAATTTTCTAGTGAAAGTGTGGGCCGCTCTAATTTTCGAACGGAAAAGTCGGTGGGAGTTATTGCCTTCTTAGTGTTTTTCTTTGTGCTTTGTTGGATTTTCTCCTTGGTTCTAACTTCCTGCAAGTATTTTGAGGTTTGTAAAGTGTCTCGAGAAGCTCTGATCGCTTCTTCGTTACTGGTTTTTGTAAACCCCGCTGTGAATCCTTTGATATGCTTGTTTTTGAAGACAGACATTCGCAAAGAGGTACGGAGATTGTTAAGATTTTGAATGGTTGTGTCAAAGATGGACGAAGCTGGTTATAAATGCTACTATTTACGTACGTGACCGCCAGCACGAACGCCAAGATAACGTTTAACAATTGATAGGATGGATTGAGCAATACAGTACTTCCTACAGTACCACTGTATTTAGTTTCTTAGTGATTGTTATGGAAGAAAGGAATGCTTGTTTACGAGTTTAATAGTAAATATAGTCTATTTCTTGAAGCTCTGTCTCACGCGTGTCACTTTATCTTTCTTTATTATGATACAAAAACAAGAACACATAATCAATTTTTTTAGTTGTACTGACTTAACAAGTTTTAAAACCCTAACCCGAGACAATGGCAGTTGCTACATAAGAGAACCAATAGCATCACAGGATTTCGACAGCTGAATGCCACTCCGCCACAGATAACGCTTAAATCAAATGGCAACGCATCACACCCGCCCTTATTTACGATATTACGACCTGGAATAGCATCCAAATTCACACGTAGACACGTAAATTTTATTGTCTGGCTTCCCAAGATGAGTTGACGAGACCTAGTTCCCAGGCTAATCTTTTTTGTTTCTTTTCCCAAAGAACACTGGTAATGTGGTTGAAGTTGACGTTAAAAAGTATTTTAATGAAAGCGGAGCGAAAAGCGGTGTTTTGAAAACGAGCACGGGGCATGGGTTAAATAATTCTGGCCACCATCAGACTTTTCATGGGCAAGTTTGTCAAAAACGCTTCTTTACTGAGTGAGCATCTGCAGGCGGCCTGGAAACTAATTCGCGCGCGGAAGGTTTCATTCGATTTTTGCGCGCGGAGTTTTTCCCTCTGTGTCGTGTGCACATTTTGCATTCGTAAAATGCGCTAACGGCGCATTTTAAAAAGTTCACAAAAAACTGCCTAACGGTAAATTCCGCGCGGGATTACAAGGAGAAATCAAGTAAAGGTAAGTTGTTTTCCGGGTAGATGACATCATCTTCGGTGTCCTGTTGCCTTGAGTGAGGTGGGTGGGCTTCTAAAAACTCTTCAAGACTTCAGGTGAATCAGTCTGTACACATGTCCGACTTTGATATGGCGCACAATTTCGATTAAGGCAATTGAATATGGTTATTACCCCTTTAATCTATGTAAATTATTAAATTTCTAGAATTGCAGCATAAATCAATTTTCCCTTTTTTTGTCGTGAAACTTTTATGTGGTTAGTTTTTAGTGCTTTAATCAGGTTAGTTTTTAACCCCCCATTAGCTCGTAAGGAAATGTTGGCAGTAAGGTGTCAGGCAATTTTTTGTCCAACTAGATAAAGACGTCCTATCCATGCAAACTGCAAAGTTCTTATTGAAACAATGACCTTTATTTCTAAGAATTTATTTTTGTTTTCATTTGAAAGTTTTTCGTCTATTGTGTTTGTCAAATTTATATCATCTCGGAGATCAAGTGTTTCGCAAATAGTAGGGAGCTTAAGCAGCGACGTTTTCGAGCGACGCACGTCAACCGGAAGTGAGGTATTTTCCCTCTTAACATGCCTTGATGATATAAAATTTGTATTCCTTAGCTTCTTTACTTTTATAGAGGCGATTTGACTGAAAATTTGCGCGAAACCACCGTCAAAAAATGAAAAAAAGCCACTTCCGGTTGACGTGCGTCGCTCAAAAACGTTGTTGCTTAAGCTCCCTAGTATGAATCTTGCGATGGTAATAAGAATTTTGTTTGGGAAAAGGCTGTTAAGGAAATTCCTCAAGTCATGATCACACTACAAAACGATATTGTAATAATGTAACCGTCAACACCAAGACGTAATTATTTTACTAATTTCTGTTTGTTGCCAGTGTAAAACCTCCCCTTGGTGTAGTGTACCCTTCGCGGACATTGTTGATACGTTAGCTCTCAAAAAGGAGTGGCATTGAAAAGACCTTTTGGTTTGGACTAGTCAAACAAGGTCGACCTCTCTTTCTAGCTAAAGTACGAACAAGTGGGAGTTTTTGACAGAAAGAAGGCAACACTGTGTTTTATGATTCTTCTTGAGTAAGCATGTTTTTGCAACGTGTTTAATTTCAAGCTGTTCTTGTCCTCTCTTATCAGAAAAGAAGAAGTGACATGGCCTCTGCCTCTTCCTCAACCGATCAAACTCAGAAGGAAACAGCCCCTGTCAGCCCGGCTATGTCGCATTCACCAGCTGGAGAGAACCATGTGACCACGGCAATAAACAGCAACACTCAAAATTCAGCTACCGGCAAGTTATTCTAGAGAGGCAGTAGGAAACTTAAGCAAAGATGTTTTTGAGCCACGCACTTTAACCCGAAGTGTACACCGTAATTTTTAGGGAGTTATTGTAGCTCCAAAAATGGAGTAAAAATTTTAGGTACAGCATAACCCCGTTTTGGGGGTTTCTTTAACTCCTAATTTAGCTCCTAATTTGGGGTCATTTTTACTCCTGAAAAAGAGTTCTTTTTACTCCCAGTCTGGAGTTAAAATAGCTCCGAAATGGGGTTATTACAAGAGTTGTTTTTACTTTTTTTGGAGTTAATTTAACTCTGGAAGTGGAGTAAAAATATTAGGTACAGGATAACTCCTTTTTTGGGGTTATTTTAACTCCTCAATATCTGGGGTCACTTTTACTCCTGAAAAAGAGTTCTTTAAACTCCTATTTGGAGTTAAAATAACTCCCCAAAAAATAACTCCACTGTAAGGAGTTAAATTAGCCCCACTAGAGGAGTTATTATAACTCCTTGAAAATTACTGTGTACTTCTTACACACGGGCGTGGCACAAAAATCGCCTTTGCTTAAGCTCCCTATCCCCCGACTGGGATGAACTTGGGTAAGAATAGTGTAGAGTTGAGATCAGCTCTAAACACATTCAGACTATCCAACCTTCTGGGTATGTAAAATCGGGATATTTTTTTACCATCCAGGAATAACACGAGCGCCAATGGCGCGAACCGCTAAGGGGGTCTGGGGACATCTGCGTAGTCGAACTATTTTCTGTAGTTTGTCTTGAAAGACTTATTACAAAGCAAGTTCGTTAAAGACGGACAGCAAACAACCTTTGCCGATGGATGGTTATGCGGTAATGCTTGTAATTATAAAAGAGGACAAACAGTTTTTTGTCAAGACGAACTACTCTGACTCTGACTTTCCACGTCTAAAAGGAGTAACAAGGAGTTTATCGTATCATTTGATTTTGACCTTTGCTCGCCGTGTTAAATACAGAGTTCTTGCCCACCGCCAAGATAATGTACCTACGGTCACTAGTCGGTGCGCCAACGCGCTTATAACTCACTCACCTACACAATACACTACACCGAGAATGAGCCAACTTCTTTCCTGCGGAAAAATTTCATAGAGGTAAATTTTTATTTGGTATTCCAATGTGCTTAAAGGAAATTATTCAACCAGGCGTCTCATTAACTTTTCACATTTTCTTTGTATTTTCTTTCCAGCTTTTCCCATTAGCGTAAAGTGTTCCCTAGAGAGTGCAAACCTTAGGCCCAAAGCACTCGTTTTTCCTTCAGGAATAGCTTTTGACTATGAAAATTTTCCAAAAATTGTCTCCATATGCTGGCCAGTTATCACTGATCCGAGTGGAAACAAAGTCATAGTAAGAGATGGACCTACCCGTGAAAGCGTGTCTAACAACGATGCAGTTGTGCCATCGAGTTGTCTTAGCATTAGAGACGGAGCATCCAGTTTTAGTTGGGGCAAACCTGAGAATAAACCTGGCGCACCGTTCATAAATTCGCCTGTTGGTTCATCATATAACAACACGAAGGTGCAGAATGACAACAGTGATGCTTTTCCAACGAATACATCTAGTCCTCTTCGGATACCAACATTAGCTCAACCATGCGAGTGCCCAATTCATACTCAAGGCATGTGTAATGGTCCAAGACAACAACACGTTGAAATAAGTGCTCAAATTCTGCTTAGTGAAAACTCTGCAAATTATAATAACAATGACGATGCAACTGTTCCTGTGATGAAGAATCAAAGCTATCCTTCTGAGTCTAACTCAAACCACGAGGCATTGTGTTTGCCGCATTATGTAACAGGATCATTGAGCCAAACCAGGGAAAAGGAGCCGGTCTTTGGCCAGGTTCTGGTCAGCCCCGACAGCAAACACCCTGGCTGCAATCCGGCGATTATTCGTAAAATCCTGCCGGTGAAACAACCCTTGCGAGTCAAGCCTCTGCACGTTTCGTTTTGTTTACCGAGTGATCCAAAGCCGGCAGGCGTGGGGGGATTACCTACGTCTACTACAGATCAGGAGGTAAAAGAGATTCCATGTTCAATCAACCGCTCTGACAAACAAACCAGCAACACTGAAGCACCCAGGAATAATGAAATGCAGGAGAGTATTGAGGTAAATGTTTACAGTAAAGCCTGGTCAAGCGTACCCCCCCCCCCCCCCCCAAGATTAATTTATTATTCGAAAGTTGAATCTGCGGGTAGTTGTATATTTCAGATTCATCTCTGCATTCTTGCTTGCGTAATGAGCCGTGAATTCACACGCGAGGCAGTTACGAAATTTCTACCGGCTCAGTTTCCCTGAATTTGTTGTAAAAATTAATGTCGTCTAAGAAATTTAATCCATGAAAAGATTTTCAATCTGACCAAATACAGAAAAGTTCTCGTAAAATATTCACTGTACATTACGCATGCGGGAATGCTGATTTGAATTTGACACTAGTTACGGGAACGACTAACTGATTCGTTTTTCAAATAATCAATTCATTAATACAATCTCGTGGGGAACGTTTGACCTGCCTTGACTGTAATGTTATTTTTATGTAGTTGTAGTGACTTCCAACAACTCGTACTCCCATATAGGAACAAAAATACATGCATATCTCAAAGTGAAGGCCCACTTTCGTCTAAAAAGTTTTACGGCCATTATTTCCGATCGGCTGTTTTGTCTTGAAAAGCTGAAATTACTTGATGTTGACCATTGCAATTAAATGACATGTTTTCATATATGAAAAGTTTTTCTTCGGCGCACAATACCTTTGCAGTGGAAGTGTCTCTTAAAAAGCTTAAATAGAAAGCAATCGTGTACAGAGTGTCCTCAAACAAAAGCGTTTTCTTCGGAGAAAATTGAAAATGTATTTTGCAATAATTTAATGATATCAGTATTTCCAATAATTTAACATGCCTTTTTTATGAGGAGTAAAGAAACCTCTCCGGCTGATGCCGTGCGTGGCAACCAGAAACCGAAGGTTATCCATTTCCTGTCTTAACTTAAATTTAATCCTATATTTGACGATAGGTGTCTTGTCAAATTTAATCAATAGATTTTGTTCTATCTGTTATTAGTAGAAACCATAAAGCATACTGTATACAGGCTTACTTATGTTCAACACTCTCCTTCGTAGCTCAGTTGTCTTGCATTCTTTGTTGCCTTGCATTGGTTTCGAATCATGTCAGGGACGTAGACTTTTTCTTTGAGCCACTTTCTTGATATTAGTAGTAATAACATTGCTCTCCTTTATGATCAATAGGCTGATTTACCAACAGAACGGGAACGTCAGTTGATGACAGCGCGCGCAAATCAAACAACTGGCTTGACCAATGGCAGAGCGGCAAATTGAGCACCGGAAGTCGTGTTTAGTCCTTTCCGCGCGCTTTCCCGTCGTCAACTGACGTTCCCGTTCTGTTGCTAAATCAGCCTATTAGGGAGCTTAAGCAAACTTAAAAAGACGTTTTTGAGCGACGCACGTCAACCGGAAGTGTGGCCTTTTCCTTCTTAGTATGCCTTGAAGCTTTCAAATTTGAATTGCTAGGTGTCTTTAACCTTACAAGGCCGATTTGTCCATAAATTTGGGCAACACCATTACCCAATGACGCAAAACGTCCACTTCCGGTTCACTTGCGTCGCTTAAAAACGCCTTTGCCTAAACTCCCCGATGTTTTACTTAAGATGTTTTCTTTGTTTTGCAGGAAAGTGAACTGACAATGAAAGATCCTTGCGAAAGCCTCAAATGCAAGAGAGCAATGGACCATGTAGCAATTGAAAATATGGACGGTCCATCCGAAGTAACCAATGCAAAAACCTTAAAACCCTCAGACGAGTCATTTGTGCTTTATTCCCCATCTGAAGATGAGGATCAATTTGTGCAACAGTCTACGGAAAACGAACATCCATCTACCGGAAGTTCAGTTCATTCTGCTACAATACCCCAACAAAATGTTGAATTTAGTAATAAGCAGGAGAATGTCAGGGACCTCATCTCCAGGATTCGTTGCATAAAGAGTAAACTACATCGAGCAGAATGCGAGCAAAGAAAGAAGCAGATGTTAAAAAACATTTTGGTCTTACAGAAAAGAGTCAAAGCTCTTACTAAAGGAATGCGCAAAGGGAAAATAGACCCCGTCAAAATAGACGAACAGACGGGCAATTCAGCAAACAACAACAACGATGAATCAATTTCCAGTCAAGAATCACCGGAAGTAAGCTGCGTTCAGTCAAACTCAAATGGGACAAATGTGGAGACGGAAGTTGGTCCTGTAGTCAGCGATGAAACTGAGACAATAAATGAGGAAAGAGAGACTGCGAAAAGTAAGGTGTTGTTTTGTGAATGAAATTTCTGTTGTAACTGATGATTACCAAGAGGCAACCCAAGCTCGGTATTTGAGCGCTTAGTGATACAATAATATTCATTCTTTCGGCACCTTTCCAAAAGTTTAGCCTTAAGACGTCTATGCAAAACTTGGCAGTTCAACCCACCAACTAATTGTGCTTTTAGTTGTTGTTTGATTTCTGTCCATCCATCTATCGTTACCAAATTTTTTTTCCTTCTGTAGGTGAACTTCCATTTTTACCTGACCGTGATCAACAAAACCCAAAGGTAGCCACTCAAAAAAATTGTCTAAATGGTGACGAACTTATTATTCCATTGGTCGACATTCTGCTCAACACTTCCAACGAAGCTGGGACGAACAAACCGCAAGACATGGGTGAACTGAAACCTTCGGCCTTTTATAGTGCTGACAATGCTGAAAACAAGGAGTTCGGTGGTAGCAACTTAGGGAAAGGCGATGATTCAGGTGTTACACGAAGGGAATTTATTGTGACATTACCAAGTGGAACTCGACTGGCATCTTCATCTGAAACTTCGAGAAAAAGGTCTTTCCCTTCGTCCAATGTTGATGAATACTCATTTCAGGGAAGTGAGTGCGTTGTAGCGTCCAAGAAAATAAAACGTTTATCCCCATCCGGCAATGAGGCACCTGAAGTATGTTATTCCTTTCAAGACGCCTTACACCGCAGTAAGAATGTCACAGAAGATAGGATATCAGAACATCTTACACTAGTTGATAAGGATAACGTCAACGGTGACATGAAACATGATAAAACGAGTGTGACAGAGAACGAAATAACAGTCATGTATGAAGGGAATAGGAAAAGTGCTTATTGCTGTTGGGGTAACAATGTCAAGTACGATTCTCGAGGTGTCACACAATCTGCTGCCTTGGGAAGTCTCGTGTTAAATGACGTTAGTGAACTCAAGGGTTGTTCAAGAGATTTTGATAAGGATTCTTCCCAAAGAGAAATATTTAATGTGGCACTAATAAAGGAGACTGATAGTTATGCCTCTGCTTTATGTAAACTTAAAGGCAAATGTGTCGAGAAAGAAGATTCTGCAGAGATTTTGGCGGAAAATTTAGCGCCGATTGAAGATGAAGAAAACCTCACCAAGCAAAGGACGATAAATGTGTGCGAAGACGATGAATTAGGGGAAACCTCAAATCTATTTCTTGGTTCTGAAATTCTTTCTCACAATGTTCAAATTGTCACCCAAGATGCAGAAAATGGAACTAGTTTAACAGTAACTCGAACCAATGCGACACCAAACAAAATAACCGACGAGGAATCGATAACTATTGCAAGTCACCACCCACAGCGAGAGACACGTTTGGTATCGAGCCACAGTAAGGATACGCAGATGTTTAGAGAGGAAGAGAATACATTTCCCGATTACAGTGTGCAGGGACAGGAAAACCCAAATGCGATCAACATAGAAGAAGTAGGACCACCCAGACTGGTTTTGGTCGATCGACTCTTGGATGAACGTGTGGCAGGCAAAGTCTACGAATTCCATGAGAGTGTTGAGCAAGGTAATTTTGAGTGAGAGCTTATCTGTTTAAACAATAATTCTGATTTCCGGAAAGTGACCAAAATAAACGACAAACAAATAGAAATCAAATGCGTCTGATAAAACGCTAGTAGTACTTGCAGAGACTGTAGTATCCGTAAATAAGGTGTGAATTGGAGGCAAGCTCTCGATAGCTAATTAAGTCTAGAAGTAATCTCAATTTATATTACGCCTTGATTGCGCTTTCTGTTAGCTTGGTGCGTTATTTGTTTGCTTATCGTGTCAATGTTACAACGTTTTCTTAAAAACAGCCGTGAATGATGATGAAACCTTTTTGTTCGGCCAAATAATTTGCTCAACCTCATAAAGGCATTACAGTGCCGTTTTTAACTTTTATTCTGCCTTAAATACATGATATAGCCAGCATCATACCATCGCTTTTTAACACGCGAGTCTCATAAATTTCAAGCCTTCAACGTTAGGACGACTGTCCGTGCAGACAGTAGGTATTGATAAAATGTTATGCGTTGTTAAGCCTGTGCTCCAGTATGTTAAGCGCGAAGTAGTATGGAAAAAAACGAATTATCCTTTCCGTGCAAAAGCCAGGGTTACGGATGGTATTATAAAAGGGCATTATGAATCTACACTGGTGAAAAGAAAGATTCATTCCCAAGTATACTACTATCGAGGTATTTCTCCTTAGTTTCAAGTTATTGAAATACTGCGTTTTCATCGAAGGTCACGCTGGTGCAGCAGTTGAGATCAGCAACGTATTTGGTAGTATGAACAACCGAATTGAGGAAATCGTGAGAGAAGAAGAGCAGACTCGGCTCACAGGCCACAAACCTTTCTCAGAAGAAACTCAGGGCATTTCCTCGGCATTTGACCGTGCTTCACCCTTGGTCCGTGATAACAATGATAAAGAGCTTTTCAGCTTCTCACTGCAAAGAGTTGTGAAAGAGGAAGAAACCCAAGAGTTAACAAGTCCTTCCGTGCACAATTCGACTGAAAGCTCAGAAGAAATTGATTTGATGCAAAGTATACAGATTCGTCGCGCGAGAATTTTGAATCTGACGGAAAAGAGAGATAGACTTTTGAATTTGGCCGGGCTCAGAACGAATCGTTTGTAATTTTTGTTGGAAAGTGTACCTGCTGTTATTCTGCGCTTGGTTTCTTTGTTCAGTCGCCGTGTTTTACGTCTTCTCCTTTTTGCCGAAATCAGTCGTTAATCATCGTTTCCTGCCAGATTCTTTCCCTGCAAACGGTTGTCGTTAATTTTTTCCCTTTCGTTATTACCATTTAACAGCTGAATTTTTACGGTAATTAAAAGTCTCTTAAATCTGCTCAGTAATTTCTCACAACATGCAAAATTTCTGAATTTTACTGTAAATTACATTAATGTTAAGTGTTTTAGATTTCAGTAGTGAATAAAGAAGGAAATCATTCTAACGTACCACAAAGGTGGTTGTGGACCGGTTGAAAAGAGCTATTTGAAAGAAACACTCAAAATAGGCCTCTGATGATTTTGAACATGAACTTGCATTCCCAGGTATTATTTCAAAAGAACCTTAGCTTTCAGTAGTTTTAACGTGCTACAAATGAGGTTAGATAATAAGCTCACCATCAACATATTTACACTTGATTATCACTTCAATTTCCCTTGCGGTAGCCATGGCAATACTTAAGGAGGCAACTTAGCTGCGGACACCTTGCGTCCGTTTTCAACGACCATAAACATCTTTCATGAGAATACTAACGTTATCAAACTTAAGGCTAAGAGTGCGTAAAGGTCTTTGTATCTATCAAGGCGATCAATGACACATCTGAAATTACCGGAAAAGCATGTCATAATAGTTCTTTCAAAACGAGTTGAAATGTGTTTTTGAGTTGCACGAGTTTTAATCAGACAATTTAGATCAAACGCGAGAAATGTTTCCTGCGATATTCAAAATGAATAACATATCAAACGTGAGATTAAATGATTCAGGTGATAAACAAAATTTTAAACACGAGAAAGAATATTTCATGTGATATCCAAACACTGAAAAGTAATATATCAAACACGAGACGGAGTGTTTCAGTTGATATTCGAAAACCGAGAAGTTGAAGAGCAACACTCAAATGAGAAAAAAGATTCTGGGAACTCTCCATCTACCTTTAGCTCCCCTAACCCAACATTTTGCCCTAAGTGAGAAGTGAGCGTTAACGTCAGGTTAGTGGAGAGGTTAGGTTGGCGACTTGTGAAGTCACCATCCGTAAAATCCAGAAACTCACTCTTCCTGCCCCCAAAAAGAACCAAATTGTTGAAAGTGTCAGCTTCAACAGCTAGTTAGTCTGCGCTAGCTTCTTTTCTAAAAATGCTTCGAGTCTGGTTAGATATATTTTCTTTAATTCCGATGTTTCTTGTTCCATTTTCTCGCGTATTATGTGAATTTTTCTGGTTAGTTCAGCGCTTCGTTTACTTTTTGTGTTTTCTTTAACGACCTCCACCGTCGAGGGCCTTTTTTTAACCTTGTTTTTCAAATCATTGCTTCGTATGGATTCAAAGTGTTGCTGCGGTTGTGAATTAACTGTGACAACATCTTTATATGTATGATTTTTACTCAGTTTGCTTGGCTTTTCTATGTCTTTAGTTTGCATAGTGCTTTTCATTTTGAAGACCGCTTCACTAAGATCAAACTGTTGGAAAGTAGGTTTGTTAATGGGTAAGACATCATTTTTAAGGCTTGAACGGAGCCTTTTAATGTGTTTTTCAGATTTTACAGCATTAGGTTTCTTTCCAGATGTGGTGGAAATTTCTGCTGTTGTGGGCACTACATTTCCCTTACGTTTGTTATTCGTGGCTTTGTTCAATTGTAATTCTTGGCCTAGATGCGAATTTATCGCAACTATCTCATATGTAGCGTTAGCTTTTTTAGCATTACTTCTTTGCCTGGCCAATGGAGATTTTTCTTCAACGCAATTTTCAAAATTCGTGTTCAACTTCATTTTGGAACTTAAAGCCTTTTCACTAGAAAATTCTGGATTGCTTTTCTCGTCTAGTGTTGATTCAGAAGGGTCATTGATCGAACAAGCTTGGGGAACTGCGTGCTCGTTTCGCATTATGTAAGCGTATTTGCTATGTGATACTGGCTTGTTCAAGTTAAAAGGGCTATCTAGAAAACGCCCATTTCGACCAAGAGTCTGTTTTACCTGAGAGCTCGTGACTGCTCTTTCTTGGTAGAAAGACAATTCTCTTTCCAGTTTTTCCACCTGTGTGGTTTTACTTCTGTGGAATGTGGATCCAGTCTTTATTCCTGAACTACGATATTTTGGATTGATGCGGCGGTGTGCAGCGTCCTCGTGACCATTACCTCTGCAAACTGTGCTGCTCACCTCGTTGTTGTTAACATCATTACAAATCTTCTGCCCTTTGTAATCGTCAGATTTTCTTTTGGTGGAGCAATTACCTGATGACTTGACAGGCTGACATGCAGCTTGGGGTAGGTCTGGCTCTTCGTACGATGTATATCGATCGGCAACGAAGTCCATTTTTTCCTGTTCATTGTTCGTGGCAGCTGTGGCACAAGCCTTTCTGATTTTCGTTGGCATTGAAATATCCCCTATTGGTTCTGGTTCTTTGACTGTATCCCTTTCAGTCCGATCAGGTCGAAAATTGGAGGAGACTAAATTAAGCTTTGGTGACGGAGGTTGCGCTAGTCTTATATTCCCCATAGTATCTGCATTATTATCGTCAGTTGTGAGCCCTTGGTTTGGAGAACATTTTTGTTCATAAATGGGGTTGGAAACGTGTATTAGACCTTCGTCAGCTGGTAAACCAAGCGAGAACTTCTGATCCTGACCTTTTGTCGTTAACGGCTCTAGCACACAATTTATTTGGTGAGAGTAATGGTTAGATTGGACTCGTACTAAACTTAGTGTTGGTTCTGACGAGTGCACTTCAACAAGTTTAGGAAGCAATTCATAATCAAATGCAAAGCTACCGTTTTCTTTTGAATGTTGACTGAGTGAGTTTTCCTCTACGCTTAGACCCTGCGGAGCACTTAGACCCGACTCAATTTCTGGCTTAATCTGAACTGCTTGATGCGGACTGACTAAGATTTAGGGTACAGGTATCAGTCTATCTCTGTAAGCACAAGGGGATACTCTCTCGGCATTTTTTGGCCCATTCACAAATCTTCCATTTTGAGATGTCTTAAGTTGTGATTCTTTGCGTTCAGAAGCAATTTTGTCATTTAGAGTTAATCGGGTAGGCTTCGTAGGTGAGAATCTTAAGCTCTCCAAAAACGAGAAAATATTTTCGGAGGCTTTGTGTTGTTCTCTTCCGTGCTCGAAACGTGGTCTGTTCTTTTCTAATTTTATGCTCTTTGTATTGAGCGTGGCCATCATCGGCTTTTGCTGGTTGTCAGCTAGCTGACGTTTAAAGGAACAGTTGATCGATGATGATGCAAGAAGACTAGTATTTTGCTGTGTACAGACAGCTCGTCTTTTCGTATTTCGCTAGTGTTTAAAGAAGACGTCTGCCGCTCTAGACAATTTGTCAGTAACGTTGACCGCTTTGTCATTCGGCAGTAGCGGACGAGGCCATTGGTGGAGAACCAGTGTCTGTATCAGCGCCAATGGGATGGACAATCAGATGCAACTACCATCTACCCTGTTGAAAAAAAAATTACTGTCGCTCATGATTTAGACTCCACTAGATTTTATAGGTCAGTTGTGGAGCAAAGTTTGATTTTCTGTCGAAAGAACTTAAATTCTGTTAGTTTGGTGTGGTTGTTCATTTTGTACTTTATAAACATCTTGTGCCATTTTGTTAGTGTTCGCTGATAGGTAAGACATAGCCAGTTGGGAGAAGTTTTCGTGCTACTCAGCGTGGTTTACTTGGGAGTTACGATTGCTTATCTTTTGTGTCGGTTTCGCAAAACATCAAAAATTTGGCTGTAATTAAGATAAAAACCTATGCTGAAATCATTTATTCTTTAGTCTTAACTTCTCTAAGGCGCAAACAACCCGGATATTCATTAAACGCAAACTTTTTAAAACGTAAACTTTTTTGTCATGACTGCAAAAGCCGCAAAGGCAACCTGTGAGAAGCCGTTATCCACCTGTCGCGAAAATGTTATCCTTAAAGTTCTCTTTAGAGTCCTTTTCCTCTATGATTTTTTCCCCCTAGAATTTACAGGGACCTGTTTCTCGAATTGCTCGGCCAAAACACTCCGAAATTAAATATTCAAATCGAAATATCCGAAAATCAAGACTCCTGATATTTAAACTACTCGATTTTGTTTTTAACCTGCAGAGGTCCATGTTAGATGCAAAACTACTGAAACCTCGATCTTTAATGTAAACGGAGACAGCTTACCGGGCCCGTTAATTATCGGGACTTTCGAGAAACGGGCCCCAGGCCCTAATGTTGGGGCTATTTTTGATTCGAAGAAAGGTAAATTGCACTCAACGCAGGCGTGTACTTTTCACTTCAGAGCACTATGGGCTTTACTCCGGGTCCTTAGATTGAGGTCGTATCTTTTCTCGAAAAAATTCGGCAACAATTTTCTTTGACTTACTTGACCGCATTCTGTCTTTCTTGCTTCAAGGGGTTCTCTTGTTCTGTGAATTCTCATTGCCTATTATATGTATTCGTTCCGTATATTACCACTCTTCTCGGCCAGTGCGAAAACAGCTTTTTCACGTAATCACAATCAATGTTGAAACAGACTTTGCCTTCACAGATGGATACTGAACAATTGGCGGAAATCTTCAATGGAACGCTTTGAGAGACGGCCTGTTTATCCTAGGGGAACACTGTCTATGGCTGCGGGAAGGTCGGGATATATTACGGCTTTTGAATACCTTTGAGACAATAACCTCACACAGAAACGTAGCTCCTATGTAGAGGTTTAATCCAAGACTATACTGTGAGTGCAGTCAAAATATGTATTCCAAACCTTAACCAAAATGTAACCAAGATGTAACTGAAGAAACTCATACCAAACACTCGTATTAAGCCTAAGCTAGTGAAGCGATGTCATCATAACTCTACGAGTCAAATCACAGAATACAACAATCATCCCTGAAAGACTATTGGTGGAAACCGTAAGCCCGTAGTGAAACATTTAAAATTACTTTCAAA